CTCAACGAACTGTCGGCCACATAGTTCACGCGCCAGTCCACACTGATCCCGGCGCCGGCCTCGGTCTGCGCCCACACCGCCACGGCGATGGTGTTCTCGCCGTTGTAGTTCAGCACGCCCGCGGGGACCGGGTAGACGACCTGGTTGCCGATGTAGGGGAAGTACCGGCCGTACTGGTAGCCGTTGACGAACAGCTGGGCGCGGTAGGCGTTGCTGGGGGCGTCGTCGGGGGTGCCGAGGACGAACGAGATGGAGACGTCCAGTCCGGTGGGGATCTGGAGGGGCACCGTGGTGCGGAAGAATTTAATGGTTGCGCCGGTGAAGGACAAGGAGGAAGAGGAGGACGAAGAAGCGACGGTCCACTTGCTGTCGTCGAAGTCCGGAAGGTGCCATCCGACACGCTCGGCGAAGAGGCCGTCTTCGTTGTAGACGCCGCGGACGGGGTCGAGGTTGGATTCTCCGCCCGCGGTGCCGGCGAGGCGCCAGTGGGTGAATTCGGGGGCGGTAGAGGAGGTGTTGGACAACAAGCGCGCTTCGAGGATACCGCGGGGGTTGAGGACGCCGGTGGTCTCGTCGTGGCCGGTGTCGTCGTGAACGACGAGCAGAATGTTGGGGGTGCTCTTGGGGTCGGAGGAGAGGTACTCGGCGGGGAAGGTGATGGTCTTGTTGGCTTGGGTGATGGTCGCGTTGCCGAGGTAGGAGCCGACGAAATGGCCGTTCAACCAGGCGGAGAAGCCGCTATTTGGGGGATTAGCTGGTTGATGTCTCTACGGGTAAAAGGCGTTAAAAGGGTGGCGGGGAGAGGGGATGAGCTTACAATGCGTCTCCACCTTGAATGTTGAGGAATACGCCGGAGGCGGAGCTGTTGAAGTATCCGCGGAACAGACGGATGCCGTTGTGAAAACCTGTAGTCGTGATTAGTTGACTGTTGGTCTTGTAACAAGCCAGACTGCCTACCGTAGTCATCACCGTAAAGGACTGGAAGGGTCGCCGGCGGCTGGGGGTTGTAGGTCGTCATGTGGTCGGCCGCTTGAACTCTGTTAGTCTGTAACCGGAAGAAGATCGGGGTCGAGTATACATACCAACCCAAGCAGCACCGGTATCATCATAAGATACACTACGCTCAGGCAAGCTGTCATTCGATCTCCAGGATGCGAAAGCTGGAAGAGTAATAGCTTTGGGAGCAGCTAAAGAGGCTCGCAGACTACCGTGGGCAGTCTTGGTCGACTTGATCTGCTTGCCGTTCCAGGTCAGGCTCTTGACCTTTTTGGAAGCGAAGACCTCAATCTCCGTAGCGTTGACCGCGTCACCCTTGATTGCAAGAGTGTTGCCATCTTCCTTAACGGAACGGACAAGGTAGGGACCTTGGATGAGTACTACCAAAAGTCAGTATTCCGCAGACTATAAGCCAAGGTGAGCTTTCCATACCTGTCTCGTTGGCAGGGGCCAAAGGATTCTCGGTTAAAGTAGGGGCCCAGAAGAGATAGGCTACGGTCCGATCCAGAAGAACCACGCGCAGCTTGTCGTCGATCTTCAGCACACTCATTCCCGCGGACTGGGTGAAACTGACGGTCAGACTGCCTCCCTGTCGCTTGAAGGTCGGCTGAGAGCATTCCGCACACTTCGAGAGGACGGATCCAGACTTGGCACCCTTCACAGCGAACTCTCCAGACTCGCCGGTCGGCACCCAGAGGACAAGGGTCGGCTCGTTGTCAATGACCGAGTAGGTAAGCACTTCGGCCGTAGAGTACAGCAGAGTCTCCGAGCCAAGGTTAAAGTCCGTGACAATGATCTTGGACTGATGTCCATCGATTCTGATCTTGCCTCCGTTGCGGGGAACGATCAGGTTTCCAGCCGACGTGTTGAGGTGCAGCTTGAAAGCTTCATTCGTGTCCGAGGTGGAGTCCGCGTGCCGCGTCACGTAGAATGCAGCATTTGTCTCCGGGTTCCGAAGTTCGTAGGTAGTGATAACGGAGTTGTCGGAGTACTGGGTTCCATTTCCGACCAGGTCCGTCATGGTCAAGTCGCCCGCGCTTCGGGTGAACAGCGACAGCAGCTTGGTCTCATAATACTTAGAGCCAATTGAACGATCCTCAGAGATGGGTGCGGAGTAGTCATAGCTGGTCGCAGTCACAGGAGTAGCGATCGAACCCCAGTTGGTTCCTCCGTACAGCATGTACAAGCTCATTGCTGTGACCCGCTGCGCGATGTTCCAACGGTAGAAGAGATTGACAAAGTCCGCACCGGTATCGTCACCGCATCCACCTTCGGGGCCAGCCCATGGGTTGTAAGAGCCGCCCTGGAATTCGGGGAGGAATGAGGGCATATGGGGTTGGAACTCTTGGAAGTAGGTATAGTATTCGACCAGCTGATAAGGAACATAGGCGCCGTTGGTGGAGTCGCACACGCTAGTATCGCATGACCAGCACTAAACAGGTCAGATTGGTAAAGAAATATATTTCTGAGACGAATCACTTACGGAAGGGTAGGAATCAACACCAGTTACGTCAACATTGCCTCCAGCATCCGACCAGTCACTGGACCAGGACTTCGCATTCATGTTGGGGTCATTGAAGGTCAAGGGAACTGTGATGCCATTGTCGCGTGCGCTTGCCTCGAGAAGCTCCATATAATCAATTGCAGTCTCATTGGGAACCCTCTGGCTCGGGTCGGTAAGCCATTGGTCACCATACTCGTTCTCGATCTGGTAGCAGATTGTGTTGTGGCCATTGGTGACCTGGTAGCGGCTGGTGATCTGAGAGATCTCGTCGAAGTATGGCTTCCAGGCGTCCGTATACCGCGAATCATTGTTCCGCAGGGTTCCGTATTCACCGGAGGTCAACCAGAGGGGGAACCCACCAGCATTAGCTTCCGCGTTGACGTACGGTCCGGGACGGACGATGATGTATAGACCGAGCTCCTTCGCAAGATCGAAGATCGAGGTGATGTTGTGGGCGCCGGTGGAGAAGTCAACTGTGTGGTTGTTCGGGGAATGGTATCCCCAGCTGGTGTAGATGGAGAAACCGGTGAAGCCAGCAGCCTTGATCTTCTCCAGGATGTCCCTCCACAAGCCGGGAACAGGAATGCGCCAGTAGTGAAACTCGCCAGAGAACACAAAGACTCGCTGATCATTCACATGAAAACTGTAATGATCCCATTGAACGTCCGTGGTCAGTCCATTGTTGAAGACTTCCCATCCCTCAGCAGTCTGATTCTGAGCAGCGGTCAGCAGACCTGAGTTTGCCAGCAAAAGAGAAATTGGCAAGAGTAGTCGCGCCATGGCTCAGACCATGCACCTGTCTGCGCCGGCAAGACAATGGCAAGGCAAGGGAAAAAAAGTGCTTGGGAGGAAAACATTTTCCTTGAACGGCCGCGACCAGGCGCCCTCAATTTATACCCGGTTCCTTCGCCAGGCAGGTAGGAACCCCACATCACCAGAATTTTTGCATCGTCAACAGGAAGAAGCTACTAGACACCGGAATTGACTTTTGGCGTGGGCATTGACGGAAGACCGAAGGAGAGAGAGAGAAAAAAAAAGTCCTCTCGAGCTCAACTGGGTAAAAAGCTCAGCTTTGCTGGGGAAACAGGAAAGAGGACCAAACGACCAAACGACCAAACGGACCCGACATTGTCCACTTAACTCCACTGGCGGAGGCCGGAGACGGTAAGCGATTGGGCCCAAGCGAGGGCATTTAATATGTGGTTGATTAGGTCGCTCATGCGATGCACTAGAGCCGTTGCGCGTCGATAAACTGGTAAATGAAGAGGCGCAGAGGAAGCTTCTCTGCCGCGTGCTTTAGAGCAAAGAGCCCAAGGCGAGATGAGGGATGTGGGGAAAGGGACCAGGGTCTGAACCATCGCCGGTTCGTCATAGCCAGTGAGCCGCCCAAGTCCGGCGGGGGAGACGGCTGTGGGGAAGTTTAGCCTGGGGATTTTTCCTCCAGTCACCGTCCACGCCCGGCCTGCGATTTCGCCGGTGGACTGACTTCTCGAATAAGAAGAGGGGGAGGGTCCGGTCATTTCCCTTGATTGACCTGGCAAATTGTCTTATGATGTGTGGACCTGCCCTGGAAGCACGAGCCTCGGTTCCAATCTCCTCACCATTGTGTGGAAATCACTCCCATCGCAAGCAATACAGGTCAAATGACTGCGGGAGATGATAGCATCGCTGCAGAAGACAGAGTCCGACTTCGACCGGATCGATGCCAATGATGGGTTTCATCCTAAGAGCTGGGAGCGAGTTATCTTGGGAAGTGGAACAGGAGGGAGGGAGAGTCCGGCTTGGAGTCAGCGGGATTTGGGCAAAGGTAGGCGGTGGCTCACTTGACCGCCCTTACCTCATACTCAAAGCAACAGAGGAACGACAACTACGAGAATATTTCGAAAGTCTTCCATTCTCAGACCATGATACTGATTCGTTTGTTCCATTGTTCCGATCTGATCTTGCTTATTTGGTCAATAATAGATATTCACTTTTCCGCATCCTACCTAGAGACTCCTAGTGACAACAAAAGCCCAAACCCACCTGACAATGACGCCCCCAATATGTACACCAACCAAAACAAAGCATTGAACGGCAAAAGCACAAATGTTGTTATAGACAAGAATAGCAAAGAGCTGCAGCCCAATCCACCATCGCAAACAAGACACGGGCCTGGAAATAGTATACAACTGAGCGTGGGGAAAGTGCGAAGGCAGCCACCAGGTAACCAGCTTCCGCATAGCTTTGGCGCAGCGTGCGGAAATCCTTCGCACCCGAGTCGATCGGGGCGCAATCGCTGGATCATCCTCGATGGTCGGCGCGGCTGGTCCAGAAATTCAGAGCGGCATGAATTCTGACAGGAGAAAATCACAAGGAAGAAGTTGAGCTGAGATAAGCGATAACCTCTGGTGAAGCCGACTTGGAGGATTTGCGCCATCTAGCTCGTCGAATACTCCTTGAAGCGGATTTGAGGTAAAAGGTATTCTCGAAGAGGCACCAGTGCTCAAACTCCCCTAACCTAGGCGGATCGATCCAGAACTTCAAACGGGTTGGAGTCCTTGGCATCGACAACTGGAGGGGTCTGCAATTCTTCCTTGGTGGTCTTCTTGGCACCCTTCTTAGAAGAAACAGTAGAGAAGCCTTGGTCGGAGTCAGCGTCGCTGGAGACAGCGCGGGCCTTCTGCTTGGCAGTGGTGGCGCGTGTGCGAATGGGCGAATTCTCGACAGCCGACTTCTGCTGAGACTTATTGTGCGATCGGAGAGCCTGGACGCGGTTGAGGGCCTCATCCTCGGTGCTCTCGCTGGTCTCTCCGTTCACCTCAACTGCCTTGCGGATTTCGCGGCTGACGCCCTTCAAGGCATCCAAGCCAGCCTTCTCCGCGGCCTGGATGTTGCTGGGCTGGCGAGCGCCCGGCTCCTTGCGATACAGATAAGACCGGACAAAGAAACGAGCGAAGAGGTAGGTCAAGGGGAGAAGGTACACGACGTTGAGCCAGATCGCGAAACCCTGTCCGGTAGTATCCATGCAAGTGACCATGGGACCAACACGGTGGGATTGCACAGGAGCAGCAGCAGGGGTGTCAGGAACTCCCACGTTCTCGGCAGGGCCTTCCGCACCTGCAGCCCGGAAAGCAAGCTTCTTGATCCAGGGCACCAATCCCTCCTCCGCAGCTTCGGCAGCCACAAACTGGGCAGTCGAAATGGGAGCTTCGAAAGCAGCCTGGCTGGCTGGAAGGGTGTAACTGATGAAGAGATAGGAAGCAGCCATGGCAGAACCAATGACGAACTGAGTAATCTGCATAGTGGTCAAGGACCTCTTGATCACGGTAGGAACACGGATACGCAGAGCGGTGATGGTATAGTAAGTGTACTGTACAATACGTCAGTCAGCGCTAGGCGAGCAACGTTGTGAAAAGAGTTTGGATGTGGTACGTACCATCAGAGCGTGAATGCCGGAGTTAACCAAGGTGAAGATCCAGATGGGAGGCGCAACATAGCGAATACCAGCCCACATGCACATCATGGCACCGGCATGGTGGTATGTCTGCAGCGTGGAGCTCTTCTTACCCTTGGCGAGGATAATCACGGTGTCCAAAACTTCGTAGAACTTGGACAGATAGAAGATCCATCCAAGGAAGGCCAGTCCCTCGTTCCACAGGCGACCAACATCCGTGAAGTCAGGCACGCCCGTCTCAGCCAGCTTGTATTCCGGGTTCCTAATGGTCCACTGCTCGACAGAAGGATCGTAGACAGCGGCATTACCATAACCGCGCGGGCCATTGACCTTGCACAGAGTATCTGCGACGGCTGCGACGTAGTTGGGATCATCGTGACTGGGCCACGAGTTGCGGAAGGCGCGGATCATGCCGGCAAAGGTCCACGCGGAATAGATAGCCAAGAAGACATTGTGGAGGATCACGAAGAGCTTGAAGAGCCTCGTTTGACTGAATCCCCAGGGTTTGTAACCGCGACTCTTGTTAACCCGGTTCAACAAGATGACAGTGACGGCGTAGACGCTGGCGATGGTGATGGGGACGCGCACGTCCAGGAGCTGGTTGTATAGTTCGGGAGGGATGTTGAAGGGCTGATACCAGGTCGGTTCGGAGGTGATAGGCGCAGGCAGCGTAGCAGGAAGCTCACTGGGAGGGAATTGTAGAAGAGAAGAAGGAGGGAGTCCAAACCGGATGACAGCCGGGTTCGACTGGCCATCGACGGTGATGTCGACCATCGTGACGCAATCGGGAGCGGACAATGGTGTATAGGTATGAATAGAGAGGTAGATGATGGTAGTGACCACAAAGGGGGATATTGTAGTGCCTAAGTGAACAAAAGGGAGGAATTGAGCAGATAGCCCTAGTCACGTCCAATGGCACTGATAATGGGGTAAATGGGGAAGCTTTTCTCAACAGTCCGCGTCCTTGACCCCAAAAAAGGGAAGGAAGCCGGCTTTGGAAAAAAAAAAAAAAGTTCTAGTGGAAAACCACACCCGCAATACCGCGATACCGCAATAGCGCAGGCGCCAATCAATCCGATAAGAGTTCGGATAAAGGATCAATTATTTTGTTATTGCATCAACCCTGTTAATCCTCGGGATATGCAATGTGGGAAGAGAAGAGGAAATTCAAAAAGAGCAATGACGAAGGTTAACCAAGAAAGTAAAGAGGAAGGAGATCGTCGTGGGCGCCTGGGGAAAGCAGAGGCAATTATCTCTTTTCAACAGGTGAAACTTGGGACTACTCAGAAACAGTCAAGAGGTCAATAATAATCATTACAGTCACTTTGATCAATTCCAACTTCCATTCATTGCAGCTCCGACCTGTCGCCGGACTGAGCCAAGCAGGATACCCAGATAAGGACAAATGGGAGCAACGACAAGGGCATTAAAGTGGAGCCATGATGCGTTTTGTTGGGAATTCGGTCGCTGTTCAAAGCCTCGGCCCAACAAAGGCAGGCAGACTTCAATGCGCAATAATTTTTCTGGAGAGGTCCGGTATGCTTGTGATTGTGATTAACGCCGGTATCACACCTTATTTGGGATTCTGGGGGTGGTCCGGCCACTCTCCGGCAAGGAATTGTGGTCAGCAACCAAGGGATGCTTTGTAGGAGTAGGAGTTCTGTAGTTCCAGAAGGGGCTGAGAATGGAAGCTATCTTCATAGTCTTGTGAGAGCCTAAGGCACTTCCCCGGTTCCTGCATAAAAGAATCCTTTTCTCTTCTCTTCAATAGGGAGGAGTGCTTTGCGCCTCGGTTATTCAACCAGCTCAATTGGATGATTCTCTGACCATCTAATGACGCCAATGGTGGCCAACATCCATCCATGGCGTACATCATGATCCCGCATGTTCACGCTCCCCGCAATCAAGCCATTGACGGATGAACAATAAAATACAGTAACCACCATTTTAAATCGAATGACATCAAGTAGACCTCATCAAGAATCAATTGCGAGCACCCGTGCTTAGGCAGCAGCCATGTAAGGCGGTGAACAGCGGCAATACTCATTCTTCGGACTTGAGTCAACATGACCCACCGACGTCATTGCCTCTCCTTTACTGGCTATACTCAATCGGATTAGTACGTTTGGGCTACTCCAGCATCTGTCATCCATGCTTCTTCTAGCCTGGAACCTTATATACAGTTGAATGTAGAGAGAACGACTGATATCCAGCAATCACCATGATATTCGCTGAAGTACATGTGCAGCAGCGCGAGCACATCGCGCATAGAATAACCGACTAGTTAGTGTTACATATAAACATGATAGTCACCCTTCGATCAGCGGGGTTTGGTGCTAAACGGAACAGGCGGCGGCGCAGAACCCATGCTATTGACAGGCGTTGATCGCATGCCCGCCTTCTTTGGAGGTGGCGGCGGCGGAGCCTTTCTCTGGCCCAAGGAGTCGATGCTTGACGAGGAACGATGCACAACCGGGTGCGGGGGCACCGGGGGCACCTGAGCACTTGGGGACTTCTGGTCATCGAAGAATTTGTTAACCCGCTGCGAGATTCCGTATCTCTCATTGAGTCCGTTTAGTTTTTGTTTGCCGGCATCGATTTTATCCCCATGTCGCTCGCGAAAGTCGTTGAGCGACGCAGAACCACTCCGTGCGTGAGTGGCAGAAACAGTCGAAGATTCGTTTGCGTACGTACTCCCTCGTGCTGGTGGAGGAGGTGCTGGGGAGGAGGATGTAGTTCTCAATTGAGAAAAGCGTGACTGGAGCTCATTGACCGGAGCTTGACCAACTGGGCCCGCAGTTGGTGGCGAAGCAGCGCCGGAATGCCTGCTATCACTCCCGATTCCGAGAGCAGGCACTGAGATACCGGACCGAGAGAGGTTAGATGTGGCATTCTGATTCAGGTATCCTTCAAGAGGTTTGGTTGTTGACGGCTGTGTGGAATAGGCGGGAGGCGGAGTGGGCGGCTGCGAGGATAGTGTTGAGCTGGCCCGGGACGGAAGTCGAGGTGGAACACTGGGTTTTGGCTTGGAGCTTGCAGATGTCACAGAGTCCGCCGGAGAGTCCACGCGCCTGACTGGGGGCGGCGGTAGGTTGGCGGTATCTAGTCCTGTCCGATTCACTCGATACGGTAGGGGAGGCGCTGCTGGCTTCTGAGCCTCTTCGTTCCGAGCTTGCTCTTCCTCCTGCTGTCGTGCGTGTTGCTGTTGAATCTGATCTCCTGATAAGGGGGCGCCCAAGCCTCTCCGATCAGGTGTGAGTTCGTTCGGGAGCGCTCCGGCGCCGTGGTATTTGATGTGCTTCGGTGGTGGTCCAAAAGAGGCAGGATCCTTCAAGGATGAGAGTGGTACGGCGACATGCTCTTCACGCTCGTCCTTGTCCTTTCCTTTGCCCATCCATCCGGCCTAAGTGTTGGAGAGTTGGTCAGCACTAAGCTCAACTGCGTCATCGGGAGCAGACACGAACCACTTGATTAATGCCTTTGAAATCATTCCTCCAGCCTTCCTTCTTCCCTTCCCGGCCTTTAGGGTGCCAGCCCTCTTTCATAACCCCTCTAAAGCCGCTCATATCGACTGGTAACTGTGAAACTGATAGTGTCTATGTGAACCTAGGCAGAAGGCACGCCGATCAAATGGCAGCGGTGGTTGATAAGAGCCAGACGGATGCGGTCGGGGGGGAGCGGAGCCCACCCCACGCCTGTCCGGATTTGGCTAGTCGAAAACCTTCTACCATTTTGACTACCACAGTCCCGTGCCGGGATACTTATTTAGTCGGCTTTGTACGAAACGAACAGTGTACAGATATGGTGAGTCTAATGCCATGAAACGAGGTATGGAACTGATTGCTACTTTCGTACAAGAGCTCTCGGTGTTTTTTTTTACAAAGAGGGTTCCAGATCCTGCAGTCACGACAAGCAGGTTCTGGAAAAGCTCATGCCTGGCTTACCACATACTACACCTTTGCAATGACTGTAAAAGATGTAGTCTGGTCAGAAGTACTCGTACATCGAGTTAAGCCAGAGGTTACAGGGAGCAGAGTCTCAGTGATGACGACGATCAATGATTCTTGTTAGTGAGAGGTTATGTCGAATTTAAGGAAGTGCTAGGAAAATATATTCCGCGTCGGCCTAGCGCCAGCAAAATCCCTCTAAAATAGAACCAACTATGATCAATCGTCATTTTCACTTCCATATTGTAGGGCAGAAGAAACTCAAGTTCCCTCTCAAAGCCCCGCATGTGACAAGGCTCTATTTGTAATCGTGATGATCAGCCACCAAGCGGGGTACATGTATAAAACTGACCTGTACCTCCCAAGTGAGTAGAGGATATTCAGTGTAGACCACGAAAGTAGACCGCCAACTGATCATGACGCAGACTAAAGTCCTTTTGACTGGGGCCACTGGATTCATGTACGTCTCAGCTTGAAAGGGCGTCGTATGAAATGCTAACGCGATCATTGCAGTGGAGGAACTGTACTGTATCAGTTACTCCAATTGGCCGAGGCTCAACCCGCAAAGCTATCCATCACGACTGTTGTACGTCGTTCAGAGCAAGCAGATCTCTTGGCCAGTAAAGGGGTTCAAACGACCCTTGTGTCTGGTCTTGATGATGCAGACGGACTAGCACGAGCGGCGAGCAGTCATGACATCGTTGTTAATGTTGCGACCGGCTTCCACGTTGCCGCCACCAAGGCACTCATACAGGGTCTCAGCAAGAGACGTGAGCAGACTGGTCGCGATGTTCACTTCCTTCATGTGAGTAGCTGTGTCCGCTGTTATCCACAATATTCTCCAAAGAAAGCATATTGACAGAGCAATCCTGGAACTTCTCAGCTCTCGGGAACAACCTGCGTATCCGTCTCATCTATCACGCCATCTTCATTCGAGTTACGAACATTTTCCGATCAAGATGATGATATATTCAATTATGAGCAGACGCGCGACTCTCAAGAAGCCTACGCGCAGAGAACGGCCGAAGTTACAGCCATACAGACGAGTGAGAGCCTGGGGGTCAAGGCGTACGTCGTAATGCCCCCACTCGTCTATGGCCGGGGTAGCGGGTGGTTCAAGAAGCAATCACACCAAATCCCCACACTGATCAGGAATGCAATTGCATCTGGCTTCGCAGAACATGTCGACACCGGCGAAGCGCAGCTGGGCCATGTCCATGTAGAGGACCTGGCTCGTCTCTATGTCACTTTAGTGGCGAGGATTCTGTCCGGCGAGGAAATCCCCTATGGCCAAAATGGTTACTACTTCGCCAATACTGGGTCTCATAAGTGGCTTGATGTGACAACCCGGATAGGCAAGGCAGGGCATGACATGGGCGTCTTGAAATCAGCTAGCCCCAGATCGATAAGCCTTGAGGATGCTGCAGAGAAACTCGCCGATGGAGACTTGGGTTACGCGGAAGCGTGCTTTGCTTCCAAGTGAGATTTAACTCCTCAATTTCAAACTGAATAAGATCTGATGGAAAAAATAGCTCTAGTACTAGACCCGATAAGGCTTTCGCGGTTGGATGGGAGCCCCTGAAGACCGAGCACGACTGGGAGCACTCCATCAAATCGACCTTCGAGGATATACTGCAGGAACAATAAGGGTTAGTAGTCAGGCCAAACAGCGCTCCTCGACTCGAGCCAAAGCTCAGGAAGCTAGTTGGCGACCGTATCGAAGGCTTCGTGCCGCTGCGCCGCTCGGAACTGGGTCATGCACCCGAGATTTGTTTTAAGTGAATTCGCCAAGCTGTGGGTGAATGTGGATATTGTCCTTCAGCATGCAAAGCTTATCCATTTGACCCCACTTGTCCATGTTCGACAAGGGGCAGGGGTGCTGGGGGCAATCCCTATCCTCAATGCTAGCACTGGCTTTGCGGCAGGTTCCGAGCTAGTACACTTGTCGATGCTGGAAGAAGTCAGGGGATATGCAAGCTATGACATGATTTGTACAAGATCAGATATGAATAAAACCCGATGAAGAGATATGATTGCCGAGGTGGAATTGCCGGAGCATGATCGTGCTGCACTGTTCAGCCAAGATTTTCAGCAAACCAGTCATTGAGGATCACCGTGATCAGGTTCCACAGAGAAAAGCGATAGGAGACATCGATGAATTGAAGCGGTAGCTGCCTGGCGGCGATAACGCGAGGCGGAGATTCAAGGGGTTAAGGCAGGTGGGATGCAGTGGGATCTTAAAATGCTCACATATAGGCCTCGACTCAAGCTTTGTGGTATCCCAGCCATGTTGTGAAACGCTCGGGACTACCCAAGTGACGGTCGATCATGATTTGCAGGGAATGAATGAGGGGAGAGAGAAGGCAAGTGCCCTCCGATCATTTGCTCTTCCAATAAAAGGGGGGATTAAGCTATGCCTGGGCGAAAGAACTGTGCTGCCTCGATGCGGATCATGGGATCCATCATCCATGCCAGTGAAATATGAAGGTTCCTTAATTTGCCCGGGCTGTCCGTCATAGAAAGAATAGGCAGTCGGTCCGGTCAAGCGGGGCGGTACGGTGGAGAGTGGTTTTGGCTGGTTTGTCTTCCCGCTCGGCTTCTGGAAGCCATGCAGCATCGCCATTCCCTGCCATTCTCATCCGTACTACATTCTACTTGCTCATCCGATGAACCTCATTCCTCAAGCCAAGAACAACTTACCCTCTTCTGGAATCACTCCTGAGCAAATAGTCATATGACGGGCACACTCAGCTTTTAGATTATTCTACAGCCCTATGTCCAATAATAACGTCCCTACAACCAACTGCCCGGTCGGGAAAAGAGACCACCCATCGGAAGTACTGCCACTTAGTACTTAGATTGCTCTCGATCATTGCTGAGCACGATTCCATTCGTCGAGTCGAGCCATGCTCGAAGTCATATCCCTAAAGCTCTGACACTGGCTCATTAACAATATGTTGTCACTCCCTGCCACACCAGATAGCTTGTCACAAATTGCCGGCAAGTTCGGCGGAGTGCATACGTCAACTGTTCTATCGGTGGCTGGCTTAAAGACTAGATGCCCCGAGTCAATTCGTTGACCCAGAGAACAGTCACACCGCTTGATACTTATCAACATCTATTAAGCACCATCAAAGCTCTGTTTGGGAATCTCTCCGTGGCTAGCGGGTCTCTTACGACCCTGTCTCATATGGCAGAAACATGCTTGATCGAATAGCGCACGGACTACCGTACTGCCTGGATATCTGTCATCAGGCCACCGATTTTCCCACGTGCCAAAGGTAGAAGTTGAGTCAGAAAACGTGGGATTTTTGGGGGCGCGAGGATCGCACAGTTCCAACCCAGCAAGGATGCATCTACAGGGAGAGCTCTTGCGTTACCGGAAGAGGTTGAAGTGCATGTAAGAACTAAGCTGGGGCCGGAAGGCTATGTTTGGCGTCCTCTCGGACAGACCGAACTGCTGCACTGAATTCGTTTTCAAGGTTCGTCGAAGGGATATGGAGCAGCTACCTTAAAAAAGTCTTAACGAAAACATCGGGGCTTCTCCTTTCTTTTACTGAGTCAGTTCGGAGCACAGTGGATGGAGAACAATTAATCTCTGGCAGTTAGTGCGCCGTTCCGCGCCAAAAACACGTACTCCGGCCTGTTTCCCGCGAGACACTTGAAAAGTGACCGACCGGGTGGAAATCTTCCTGTCAAAGCGCCCCCACCCGCTTTCTATCATGCTAAGAACCAGAGGACTGCCTTTGGCCCCCCGTGATGAGTATACCATCCACACAATGGAAGCTCACAGGCTGGATCGCTTGTGCGTATTCTAGAATGTCTACCTTGCAGCGGATCGGAAACGCAAATCAGCCCCAGTGTTACTGTAATATTGCATCATGGTTAGGGCTAGGCTCACCCACTGTGCTTTGGGCCATGTGGTTCAGTCTCTATATTAATGCCAGTTCACCTGGCCCCTGATCGATGGATCAAGGAACAAAAGCTAGTCGGACCCCCGGATTGTCCCACTGTCCTCTTCAACTTGAGCATTGCTCGTCCCATGATGCTTGTGGGCATGCTCCATCGATAAAGGACCTGGATATGTCGGACCTCGTCGGGCTACCGCCAAAAGGCACCGACCTCACAGCCAACAATGAATCCAAAAATGACGCTATCGTCGCGACAATGTACACTTTGGCTTGCATCACAATCAGTGTCCGGTTGTTCTCTCGGATAAAGGTGCAACAGGCTCGCATAGGCTTGGATGATTGGCTGATCGTCGCAGCGCTGGTACAATCCCAATGTTTTCTACTTACTTGACCTCCACTGATGCGTTACATAGCTCTCTGGCACGGCAAATATGGTTAGTGCTGTAGTGGGTTAGTGGCTTTCATGTCTTCTCATGTGATCCAATGCTAACTATACGTAGGAGGCAAATACGGCGTCGGCAAGCACATCTGGGTAGTAAACATGGACGATATCGTCGCCATGGTGAAGGTCAGCAGTTCCTCCTGCCGTACAAATGAAACAAGGGACTGACTTGGAAACATTACTTAGGTTCTGTTCGCCAATGTCCTCCTGTACGTGACCACTGTCACGCTCATCAAACTCTCGATTATCCTGTCCTACCGGCGCATCTTCGGTATGAGGTGGACAATGTGGGCTTGTATAGTCATAGCTCTGAGTTACTGGGCCGGCTGTACCATTGCGTTTCTGGCAGCCTGTCAACCTGTCTCTTACTACTGGACCAAATACCTGGACCCGGAAGGGGGCAGAGAAAGATACAATTTATACGCATTCTACATTGGCCACGCAGTCGCAAACATGGTCGGGGATATAGTCATCTTGCTGGTGCCTGTTCCTCTGGTCTGGAGGCTTCAGCTGCGGCGATCGCAGAAGATTCAGATCTTAAGCATCTTCCTCCTAGGCGGATTGTAGGTCTTTGCTTCTTCCACTGCCATGCCTTTCGACAGAGTGTAACTGACGGTTTACCCATCTGACAGCGTCTGTGTGGCGAGCGCGATCCGGATCTACTACTTCACATTCGTCAACAGCGTCGATGTGACCTGGATTCTGGGCGATGTCTTCATCTGGTCGAGTATTGAGCCCTCCATCGGTATCTTCTGTGCTTGTCTTCCTGTTCTCCAACCACTCTTCCGAACCATCCTTAATCGCATGCTGGGCACACCTGCTCCCGTCAAGCCCGAGCCACGCAGCACTGGCCCACCTAAAGCCGTCCGGTACGCGCCCAACATCCTCAGCAAGATCCAAGGTGGAGATGAGAGGATCGCTCGTCGCGACGAGGAAGCCATGCTGACGACGACGTCTGCGCATTTTGAGCTCGACAGTATAGGGAAAGGCCGCCATAGCGATGAGGAGGCCGGCCCTATGGATCTTCTGTCTATCACGATACAGAAGGAGTTTCATGTCCGGGAAGAGCATCGATAAGGCTGGTATGGTGACAAAAGCGCAATTCTAGAGAGGGAGATGCCAAGTACTTGGTCAAGATCCCGTTGTTATTCTTGTTGAGTATTTACTGTACATAATGTTTACTTTTGCACAGGGCTGGCGTTTTCTTTTGCGGCATTGGAGTATGTGTGGACAGCGGAGGTTCGGTCTGTGAAGCTCTCGTTTAGTTAGACATGGACAAAAACAATCATGACCTGATTTTTTCAAAGGACGCGATTCTCACATTCACTTGCAAACAGGTAGTTTTCTTTTCATTTTATTTTGATGTTGTATTACTCAGTCACCGGGAGTGAGCTGACAGGTTGACAAGGAACAGAGTCTCACCAAAAGGAAGAAGCAATAAGGTACCTGGTAGTATCTGCAGGGTGTCTGCACATCGGCCCGAAATACGATTCGGCTTTGAGGGTCCCCGACTGGGGTCGGCATGCCGACATGCACGTTTCCTGTGGGGTCTATGCAAGTCAACTGCCACGAGGTGAATACTCATACTTTCGCATACTATACCCAATTCGGCCGTGGTTATCCCATAAGCGAACAGGCATTACATAGTAGGGCGAAACATAGATGTAGTGGGCTTTACACACCTTTCTTGTCCATTTCATCATCCTGTCATTTTCTCCTGGTGTTTTGGACTTCATCTGTGCATCTCTTCTCACCTGTCTCCCTTACCATCTACCATCATAGTCCCAGTGAAGCTACAGACAGTCTATCTTCGCCGCATCAAACCACTTCCATATCACTAACCTTTTACCTAGCCCTGTTTCTTTTCTCGTGTCATTCCAAAAGGTCAAGCCAAAGGATATCACCTTCATCTTACCCAATCCTCCCAACAAGCAGAGTTAACTCTCACTACAGATCGGAACATCTCCTCAGCCCTCAGCCCTCAGCCCTCAGCCCTCATCTTCCCCTCACCCCCAGGGCATCCAAAAGCCACTCCCTCGCCAACCCCACCAACCCCGCCACCAACTCGAATCACAAGTAGCCATGGACCCCCCCGGCCAAGCGTCGCTCGTCGAAATAGCCTGTAAGTGTCGGAAGGCGCTGAACAGACTGACCGCTCGCTTCGCAGATCGCGCTCCTCACGCCTTCCATGTCCACCGGGTGCAGTTCGCGGCTTGGCTGGAGCACTGGTGCGTGTTCGAGACCGACCGGGTGGACATGACGTTGGACTACCAAGTGCGCAACAAGCTCGAGGTGCAGAGTGAGCTGTACAGCGGATTGCGGTTGATGCTGTTGAAGATTTTGTCTTGTGAGTCTCACCCTAACCTTGACCTGCAGGTTTCATATGTGAAGGTTTTGGAAGAGAGGAGGGTTGTGCTAATTGCGGCATGGGCTCAGATCGGTTAAAGTTGAGGAAGGCCTTGAAAGTCGTTGAGACTGTTGAGGCTTTGGAGGTTGCTGTTATTGGTGCTGCCGTCGCTGCTATGAGAGCAGATGAGGGAGATAGTAACAGTGGCAGCGGAGGTGGCAGCGGTGTAACTGGCTGGTGTTCTTCCGATTCATCAGAGGCAGCCGACCTGGACGCCGAGTTCGCCGAAGCGCCGCGTCACAGGGACTGCGAGGACCCGTTCACCAACCTCCTGAAGTTCTGCCGCTACGACCTGTGGCATGCGATCCGGACGCTGGACCGGAACACGACTCTCTTCGCCCAGTCCAGCATGTATGCGCCGAGTGACCTGCTGGTCCACCACCCCAACTACATCATCTGCGACGAATGGGATCGGGACGTCACCGAAAGGTTCGAGGCGATGGTCTGCCGCGCTCTCCGCTACCGCTGCAAGGTTCATAACAAGGTGCTCCAGGCCCGACTGGCGAAGATGGTCTCAGATCGTCGCAGGGCGTTGAACTATCACAGTCGCTCCCAGGATGACTCCCCCATGCACATCCCCAGGCAGAACCTGAACCCCGTCACCTTCGTATTGGCCATGCGGGACGCAGCGCAGGAAGAGCACCCCCCTCCTCCCCCTCTCGCCCCGGGCCAGGAAGAGTTCGCGTGTCCGTACTGCCGCTACAAGCTGCCAGCAGCTCGATACGCCTCGCATGATGCATGGAGGTGAGTTTCTTACCCTCGCCCCTTCTTCTCCCTTCTTCCTCTTCCCCCCCCCCCCCCCCCCCCCTCGGAAATCCATATTACCTTGGCTAACAACCCGAACCAAAAAAAAGAAAACACGTGCTCACCGACCTCGAGCCCTACATATGCATCTTCGACGCCTGCACCGAGGAAACCAACACCTTCCGCACCCTGCAGCAATGGCTCTACCACATGGAAGTCCACCACTCATCGACCTGGATCTGCCGCGTGCCCCGCTGCCGCAACCGCACCTTTTACCGACAAATCGCCTTCGAACAACACGGCATCAACGCCCACGGCTACACCTCCGAATCCCTGAAAACCATCTGCCACGAGTCCCGCCGCCCCTACCCAGCCATCTTCCACCGCTGTCCCTTCTGCGGCCCGCGGCCCGACCAAGACCCCCCACGCGACGACGACGCCTACCTCGGCAACGCGGCCGCCCACCACGCCGCCCACCGACTGTACCATCACGTCGCCCGCCACCTGGAGGAGTTCGCCCTCCTGGCCATTCCTTACGCCCCGAGTGAGCCTGTCGTCTACCCTACACCTCCCGCCGGCGGCGGCGGCGGCGGCGGCGGTGGTGGTGCTGGTGGTGCTGGTGGTGGCAGATACAGCCGCCACATCCTGCCCATCCCGCGGGTGGAGGACCACGGCAACTGGGAGTGGATCTTTGATGAGCACCTACCCGCGTACATGTACCGCCGCGACGTGTATCCGGGCTCGTCGCGGTCGTCGGTGTCGGCGGCGTCGACGCCGTATTATCGGCCCTCGACGCCCGTGGACGGCCCGGATATCTCGGAGTTGGTGGATGTGGTGGAGAGTGAGGATGCGGAGTTGTTTGAGGGGGACGAGGATGGGGTTTTGGAGGGGTTTGATGAGTTTCTTGCTGGGGTTGCGGGGGCGCGTGGGCTGACTGGAGGGAGCGGAGAGAGTTGAGGAGATGGGGTGCTGAGAGAGAGAGAGAAGTATCTGAGTGGGTGATTGGCTTTGAGGAACTGGAGATTTGAGGGAAGGTGGTGGTGGTGCTGGTGGTGGCGGGGTTGTCAAGTGTAGATGATCTACGATACCATGTAAAGAGTACATACTCGTTTTGTCTGCAATTTTCGATTTGATGCTGTTTGTTGATTAGTTGGATCTAACGTGGTCTATTCTCTGCGGCGTCTTGAGGTGATTTTTCCATTGCCTACCGTACAAGCCTCCTTCCCCACCCCTGTCACTGCACGCATATACAATATCTCACCCTTGACCTTACGGCTATGATTTGCTTAACCAATCAGCAACCAAGTGGCTTCAAGTGAAATCCCCAACCCACCTCCACCAATTGCCGGCCCAGACGGAAACCCTCGTACGTCAAAAGCCCCCAAACAGACACCCCGTCTCTCAAACCCACGGCTCGGGAAACCCAGCACTAATGCAGGTCTGAAGTCCGAGGCCGTGTGGGGAGGATGGTTGTGGCTGGGGAACGGCGGTTGAGGACTCCCAGGGTCAAACCGGCTGGTCCATTACAATTCCTGACTTTGACTGAGGAAATAGCTGGAGGGGATTGTGTTCGGATCGGCAGGGAGATCTTAGCCTGCGAACGGGTTACGCTGTACATATAGCTCTAAGATGAGAAGCACTGAGAAGAATCATGAATGATATGGAATCTAACTCTAAGCACAAGGAAAACAATCTATCAACGCGATAACAAAATCACAAATTTGCACAATATGTGGCAGGCAGTATATGCAGGAGACAACACGGCCGTCCCCGGACCCCTGTCATGTATATGCAACCTCAAGCCGCACCAAGTACCGAAACAACCCCCTCGATCTCACCCGCAATCTCCGTCAACAGACTATGCACCTCTTCTTCATCCAGAATGCCCCCCTCGACCCGCACACCAAACCCAATTGAGTCAGTCTTGGAATCAGGGCCAATATCAATATACACATTCTCGTCAGGAAGGAAGGACGTGTCCAAAGCCGCCACCGATGTTGCCGTCTCGGCTAGCGGCTCCGATGGGATGAAGTCCGTCGGGACGCCGATTTGCAACGGCAAGAACAGCTCGCTGCTCTCGTCTACGTCCGCATCCGGCGCGGTGTCATTGGCGGACGGGACAGCGTTCTGCATCCAAAGCAGGTTCACCCAGGTGTTGAATAAGTGGCCGCCGGTTTGTTGGGTGCTGGACCACGAGAGCACGTCTTGGAGCGAGCTCTGCTCGTACGACACACGCTCTGCGAGGGCCGACTGGATGGCTCGTGCCTGCTCGACAAGAGCATCAGTCGGAGAGGCATCCTCGTCCGGCGTGACCCCAGGAACACGGAATGGATTCACATTGAGACATGGGCCGGATAATCTGTCGATGTTGTCGAAGGATGCAGAACGGCCAGTCTGGTAAAGACCCATCGTAGGGGCCGACACCCCGGTAAGTCGAGCGATGCTGCGAGAAACCGCGAGGAGAACCACCGTCTGCAGGCTGATGCCTGCTGCCCGACAGGTGCTTTCCAATCTCGACAAGCCCTTGACCTTTTCCCAGGCACCGACGAATAGCTGCTCTGGCACCTCTCCGCTGCTGTGGGCTTTCTTGATCAGAGTAGGGGTGGCTGACCCCACAGTTGACGACCAGTATTGCTTTTCATCGAGCTCACGGAGAGAGCCAAGCGAGAAATCCACGAAGGCCGGGAAGTCAGGATTGCTGTCGAGCTCCTGACCACGGTAGAGCTGGGCAAGCTCAGTCACAAACATTGGCATGGTCCACGCATCGTACGCAGCGTGGTTGATCAGCACGAGAATACCATCACGATCACTGGCTTTCAAGAGCCGCAGACGGACAGGAGGCGTGGACAGGGAGGACGGAAGCAGCGCCTCTTCCCTGGCTTGAACCTTGGCAGCTTCCGTGATAGGGCAGGAATATTCAATGACCTGGAACTTGCTTGTGTCACGCATCGCTTGCTTCAGGACAACTTGTACGGCGTTTGTGGCAGAGGTCGCTGCAAAGCAGGTCCGCAGTATGGGATGTCTCTGCTGCAGTCGAAACCAAGCCTCCTCTAGCCGTGCGGCATCAACACGCTCGGAGCAAAAGTACGGCCAGGCAGGTTCAAACAACTTTCTTCCGGACTTGAGCCAGCTGGCAAGGTGATAGTACTGTCCACCGAGGCACGGAAGGATTGCTTCGACCGAACTCTTCTCCAGACTAAGTTGCTGGAGGACACCCTCCTCGACCTGCTCGTAGTTCTCAATGAGGGACCCCCGCGACTGCGTGCGATCCTCAGAGACAGGCTGAATCCGTTGACTGATACCGCGAAGAGTGTTTCCTTGCAGTATGTCGGCAACGCCAGTTCTGAGTCCCTTTGCGCGACAGAGAGAGGCGATGCGAATGGCTGACAGGGAGTCCAGCCCGATGCTAAAGATGCTAGTGTCCGGTTTGATATTGTCCACGGTGACACCAGCCACCTCTGCAAGTATGGATCGGACTATGTCTTCATGCACAGGCTTAGCGGAATCTTCGACCTCATCATCCTGCGATTCATCCCGAGACAATTTCATGGGAAGATCACCAAGGCCCTCGGGCACAATTGTCGCACACCTCGTGGGGTGTTCGACGATATCGCTGATGATTGCAGCATACTCATCCAGGAGCTTGTCAAGCGCAGTCTGGCTGAAATGTTTCCCACTGCAGGCAGCATTGACCACAAGGCCATGGCTAGCATGATCCACCTCGATGTTCAGTTTGTACTCAGCCTGCATGGTATAACCGTCAACCTCATACGGGGTCCAGATCGTCTGCTCACTGACAACACTGCCGGCAAAGTCCGCACTCTTCTGGAAGACAAAAAGAGTATCAAACAACGATGCCGAGGTAAGAGCATTAGACCGTCTGAGCGAATTTTGCACCATGCGCAAAGGCGCATTCTGGTGCATCTGTGCATCAGTTGTCATTTGTTGCAGGCGAAGAGCCATTGCCTTGTTGCTTAGGAACTTTGGCTCGAAACTGACTCTCTGGGCCACAGTGTTGAAGAGGGGTCCCAGGGTCTTCTCAGCTCCTGCCACTGACAGCGACCGCCCCGCCAGGACTTGTCCAAATACCACATCGCGCTTCCCCATAAGATGAGCCAGCAACTTGGCGTAGGCCAAGAGAGACACGCTTTGAACTGTGACCTCCATTGCTTTACAAGCCTCAATTACTGTAGACAGATCGACATCCAATAGTCGCTCGGAAGTGTACACACAGTCGGCAGATTCAGAGGTAGGAAGCAGAGGAAGCTCAGAGATCTCATATCCCTGTAATCTTTGAGTCCAGAACTTGGACGACTCGTCTTGTCCTTTCAGAATATGCTTGACTGTTTCCGAGAAATTCGGTCTCTCCGGGGCCGAATCACCATTGTAAATCATCGCCAAATCTTCGAAGAAGTACGGGATAGAAGCACCATCATAGAGCGCATGGTGCAAGACAATCACAAGGACCCTCCCCTCCGGTTGGCTGACCAAGAAATTTTTGAGAGGAGGAGTTTCGAAGCTAGATTCTTCCCGAAAAGAGTACATAGCCGCAATCTCTGACAGGACGTTCGCGTCAGAGGGTAGGGTGATCTCTGCCCATTCAAGTGGTGGTTTGCTATGGACAGCACCAATCCAGGAAGTCCCGAGCTCTTCTATCTGGTGGAATGAGGTGCGCAGGATATCATTTCGCTCAATGACCTGGACCAGAGCCGCTTTGAGACAAGTGATGTCAACGGAATTGGCAAGCCTGACGGGATGGGGGTAGACATAGACCTGCCCCTCGGTGGCTAGGGTTTGAGTGAGCATTCCCGACTGCAAAGACGTAGTCTCGAACATCGCAGTGATAGAATCCTCCTTGCCCAGAAGGCGGGCGTATTGACCGTAGATTGCAACATCAATTTGGTCACCTTCGACGCTTTCTAGGTCCTGATCTGGGACCCCATTGCTGGTAACGTCATCGATGTACTTGGCAAGTGCGCCTATGCAGGAATATCGCATCACGTCGGACGAAGAGACGCTCAATCCCACATCGCGAAGTCTGCGGGAGAATTGGATCGCCGTGACCGAGTCGATACCTAGACTCAGGAACGATGCACCCTTCGTGATGTCCCCTATGGCCAGTCCACAGAAGTCCGCAGTGTGCTCTCGAATCTGAGTTTCTATGGAGGACCAGTTGGAGTTGTCCCATGCAATAATGGGAGACTGTGTGCCCGGTGTGGAGGGCCGGGATAAGTTAAAATTGGCCAAAGAAAGACCCTCACCAGACACCACACTCGAGATCACGGCCTCCATCTTCTCTAAAAATACCTCCGCATCGTAGGGAGATCCAAATGACGACGAGAAGTTACAGTGCAGTTGGATCGTGTCCGTTGCATGGTTCGCCTCGACTTCCACTGCAAAAGGGTATTCAGCAGGCATGTGGCTATCCAACTCCTGCCACATGCAGTGTTTGGGGGAATGTGTGGTGCGGATGTATGAGAAAAGGCAGTCAAACAGTGGTGCTTCGGCGTCAATCCATCGCTGAATGTGTCTCAGGGGAGTGTGTTGGAACTCTAGAGATCGGATTGTAGACTTTTGCACATGTTCGATTACCTCGTCAACGGTTTCTAGTTCGGTGACATTAAGACGGCCTGGGACAGTGGTGATGCACGGTAGTAGAACGGACGATGCGCCTGGTACAGACACGGCTCTGCCCGACAGCACCAAACCGTATGTCACGTCGGGAGCTCCAACAGTATCCGCCAAAAGGAGCGCGAATACTGCTTGGACTAGAGATGGCACGGTGGTATGGAGGGCTGCGGAGCACCGGTCCAGTTCGCTAAGACTGTTGTGGAGCTTCCTGCTTCGGGAAGCAGAATCCTTCATGGCATCGGCATCTCTTCGGAAAGTTGTAGGGCGATAGCCCGCCAGAAACGAAACCCAATGCTCTTTTGTTTTGTCCAGATTCTGGGTGTATACATGCTCGATGAATTCTGACGGTGAGCCTCTCTGGGCCACTTCATCACCTGCATACCGGGCTGCAACATCCTCCATCAACATGAAGAAGGACTCGCCGTCGTAAAGTGCATGGTGAATATCGATGAACAATGCAAGAGGCTCATTGGTACCAGAGGACTTTGCAACTGAGAATCGTACAGGTGGAGATCTAGTCATGTTTGAGACTATTTCTCGAGAGATCTGGTCATGATTGTCCTGATGTCTCTTCATGCATTCGTCCAAGTTGTCGTACTCTTCTTCCACCCAGCAAATATGATGGGCATCAGCTGCAAGTATCACCTGCACTATCTGCTTGTCGAAGGGAGCAAAAGCAGTTCTCAATATCTCATTGTCATTGGCGACCGTTTGCCACGCAGTCTTTAGCATATCCACATCAACAGATTGATCAAGTTTCAGTATGATGTGATTGACGTAAAGGTGGCGGCCTTCAACATTCATGGATCGCGCAACTAGACCTTCTTGGAGGGGCAAGCAAGGCCGAATCGCAGCCACGCGAGCTGGATCAGTATCTGCAACAGGATGCTCCCTATACTCAGACTCAATTTGGGCAAATTGCTGACGAATAGTTGAGATAGCATTCTCTGTCGCCGAAGAGGAACGTCTAGGCAAACGTGCAAGTTGCTCGACGAAAGGGTTACTCATGACAAGAGCCACTGTAGCCTGATAGCCAATTCCTCTGAGCTTGATTGAGAGACCAATCGCGCTGAGACTATCCAAACCGATCTCAAAAATGTTCGTCATAGGTCCGATTGATGTTGGATCTGCCGCAACAATTTCGCAGAGTTCTCTCACCACAGCCTCCTCATCGGCAGATAAAGGCCGGTTACCAATGGTGCCATCTTTGCTCGAGGCATTGTTTCCTTGAAGAACAGTGGTAAGGGGGATGTCGGAGAAGAGAGCAGCCAGTTCCTTGATGTTCGCTTTGCCGGACAGAGGCGCCAGCGGAATATAAGTGATGGGAAGAATAAGCTCAGGCACCATGTAATTCGGTAGCTTTCTCTTGCACGCATCTTGCAGCTCTTTACCGAGCGTGGCGAATTCCGAGAACAGGAATGCGACATTTGCGTCTTGCCCACTTTTGTGGGCGTTGGATCGCGCAATAAAGGAGATTAGCTGCTGCCTTGAGAGGCCAGGGTGTTTTGCGACCGTCGTGACAACACTGATGTCAAGACTACAAGAGGAGCGAATGACCTCGGAAACCTCTCCAAGCTCTAGTCGTTGGCCACGAATCTTGGTCTGATCATCGCCTCGGCCGAGATACTCGACCGAGTCATCTGGCATCAAGCGTCCAATATCGCCAGTACGATACATCTTCTCCCCATTCGGCCCGGCAACAAACCCCGTTGCATCGGGCCTATTGAGATAACCCTTTGCAACAAGGTCACCCGTGAAACAGAGTTCTCCTGTCTGGCCCCTGAGAGCGTATGTGAGTGTGCCAGGCATGAGGACATGACCGACACAAGCACTTAGTGGAGGCCCAATGTTACGTAGATTCGTCTCTTTGCCCACTGGAGCGAAAGTGCAGCCGATTGTTGCCTCGGTAGGACCGTATGCATTCACAAGAGCAAATCCTGGTGCCGAAGCCCATGTATCCAAAACTTTCTGCGATATCTTTTCGCCGCCAACAGTCATGTACTTCAGACTGGGGCATTGCGCAGGGACGATATTCGACTGATCCACCAAGGATGGAACAAGGCTGGCGTGCGTGATCTCCCATTTGGAGATCGTCAATCCGAGATCATTGAGAATCATAGCTCTAGGAGCTGTCGCGGTCGCCATGCCATGTCTCCATGGGAAGAACATCTCCAAAAGGTGAGGATCAAAGGCACGGCTGGCTTGAGCGAGGTATCTGCCAGTTCCCGCAAGCTCCAAAGTGACAGGGGCACGTCGGCAGGTGAATTCAGAAAAGGACTCGATGAATGACGAAAGATTGCCTCTGGTTACCATGACGCCTTTGGGTTTGCCTGTCGATCCAGAGGTATACAGCAGGTAGGCTAGATCATCTGGATCAGACATGTAGTCCTTGTCCTCGGTTCCCATCGCTCTCAATGACTCAGAGAACTGAGTATCATCAAAGCACGTTATCTGGCAGGTCTCCGGCACATTTCCGAAAGATGCAGCAAATGATTTCTCGGTGAAGACGAGCGGGCAATTGCCATCCTCGATCAAGAAAGCTTTTCGATCAGCCGGGAGACCGTCGTCGATTGGGAGATAAGTATTTCCCGACTTGAAGATGCCAATGATGATAGGATACGAGATCAAATCTCGCTCGGAGCAAACCGCGATCATTCTGTTCTTGTGACCTAGTGAGGCGATGTAGGCAGCCACTCGATTCGCCTCGGCATTCAATGTACCATAGGTCATTGTCTCCTTCTCGATCCCGGACTCTGCTATGCGACTGGCAACCTCAACGGCAATCAACTCAGGACTTCTTGCAGCATATACCTCGAGCCAATGCGTTGGACTCAGCCGCACTGAGTTTGCCACTTCTTCACTAACCGGTTGGTCCGAAATCGACCGCAGACATTTCGGAAGATGGTTGACCAGACTTCCGAAAGACTCGTCAATCGATGAGAGCATTGAACTCACCAATCCATCAACTTGGCGGACAAAGACCGACAGCTGGGCTCGTGACATTATCTTGCTGTCTGAAGTGGCTTCTATATGTATCGTACCGTTGGAGCGCTGGAAAACATTGAACGCCATGGGGTGTTCGACGTGTAGGCCCACCTCATCATCCAATCCATGCCAGATGCTTGGCTCTATGTGCTCAATAGAGTCATCGGTGACAATATGGAAATTGAATACCGCAGGGTATAGCGCCTCGCCTCTCTGACGGTGCAACCACTTTCGAACCTCGCGAGCATGAATATGACGGTACTTCCAGGACTGGACAGAGACTTGATGCTGATTGACAAGTATCTCCCGAACGCTTCCGTTGGGGTGGAATGGAACGGGTACGACGGATATCAAGGGACCAATGCTGTTCTCAAGGTCGGGGTGTAGAACACGATCAGAGAGCGTCTCAGCAAACACGGCTGCTGGAACTCCAAGGTAGCTTAATGATACATAACACCACGCTGCGCGAATGATGGACGCGATTGACGACAGTCCCAATTCTACTGCAGTTGTCTGCAACTTGGCGCTCGGCTCGGTCAAGGGAAGCCCTTCTGAGATCAACTCGTACACTGGGACTTCGCCCGGTTGCGTTCTCGTGCCAGTAAGATCTGGCCAAACAGGAGCATCTTGGTCAGAAAAGTTCTTCAGCTGCGATTCCCAGAACTGGCTAGTCTTCTTGATCCTCTTTTCGTTTGGAAGGATGAGTGCGAAGGCATCACTAAGCTGTACCCGCAAGGGCGGTTTGTAAGTATAAGCACATCGCACGTCGTCTAACATGAGACCAAGTGAAGGCTCGTCATGTATAGAGTGATGGACTGTGAACATCATAATACGTTCGGCGCCAGTATCAAATATGGTGACAGCCCACGGTGGGTGTCTGAAGTAGGCCTTCTGATGCGTGGACATGATATCATGCAATCTTTCGTCACGAAGCTCCGCCATATCAGATTCAGGGCATTGCAGAACCTTCCAGTTGAGGTCGGGAAGTTGATAGACAATCTGCAGTATAGATGAATCACGGTTATCGGCCGTACTGGGGCCTGATGTTCCAATTTCAGCGACAGGAATAAATCCAATCCTCAAAGCTTCGGTGCGTTGGCACGTAGCGAGCCAAGCTTGCTTCAACCTTGTGAGATCCACCATGTCGTCCAAGAGAAAGAAGTGATTGCTCCAATACATGGAGTAAGTGCCCATTGTCTCACTAAGCAAACTTTCCTGTAATGGAGATGCTTTGAGGATCCTAAAGCTTTTTCCAATGTGATTCGCAGCGGCACTATGCCATGTCTCATTGAAATCGCTCACGTCGAACGATTCGGATATTTCGGCTGGAGTACCTTGACTTGCGTCAGAAACTAGCAGCATCAAATCCTGGACAGTCACGCAATTGAGAACGTCAACGACCGAAATTTGATGGCCGGCTTCTTTCAGTCTAGAGGCCACCCGAATTGCGCGAATCGAATCGATGCCGAGGCTACCAAGCCGGCTGGACTTGGAGACAAGTGAGGTTGAAATGCCGGCCAATGAAGAAATTGTCTCAACTATGTGGGCAGCAACGGATGCGTCAACGGAATCGACGACAGTACCCAGCGAACCATTGGCCAAGCTTGTTTCGGTTTCCCAGCCATCGATGTCAACCGATGCATAGGCAGCTTGTAGTGCCCTGCGATCAGTCTTGGCTGAAGGAGTTTTCGGAATATTAGACACCACAAGAAAGACAGAAGGTATCATATGATCGGGCAGAACACGCAGAGCTTGTTCGCTGGCAGCTCGAGCTATTTCGACAGCGGATTGTCCCAGTAATACCGTTTGATTCTGCTCTTCCATAGCTGCAGCTTTCGGCGCCGAGAGAAAGGCGACCACCACACTATTTGGCCTGTCCGGACGACTGAGAACAAGAGTCTCAATGCTCTCAACAAATTGATGACATTCTCGCAGGGAGAAGCTTATCTCACTCAGCTCCACCCGAATACCGCCCAGCTTGACTAGATCATCGACGCGGTTGATGTACTCAAGAGAGCCATCGGCAAGCATTCGAACGAGGTCACCAGTATAGTAGACGATTTGTTGAGCTTCTTCGTTCCAGACGTACTTCGCCTTCGTGACGTCGTCCTGATTCAGATAGCCAGGCGAGAGCTGTGGACCGCCGAGTGCCAGCTCTCCGATGGCATTCTTCATGACCAGGCGCTGACCCTTGGTCACGAAGACCGAGACAGTCTCCATGGGCCAACCAATGTTCGCGCTTTTGACATTCTTATGTTCATTGCCGAACTCTCTGATGGTCGAGACGACTGTAACCTCGGCTGGTCCGTATGTATTAAAAGCCCTCATATTGGTACCCCAATCATCAGCCACGGACTGTGTCAGCTTTTCGCCAATCATGGTAATGACCTGTAATGTCTCACAGCTCTTCCGAGGTACTCCAGCTGAGAAAGCAGGGGTCAAATGCGCATGCGTTGCTTTGGTAACATTGGCGAGCCTTGAAAATGACCCAAGCATGATATCTCTCGTAGCAGAAATGAGTACGCCACCAACACCCCAGGTATAAAAGATATCCTGAATTGATACATCGAAAGTGTAAGACGAAAATTGCAAGCATCTTACACCCCCCGGCACATCCGTAGGAATATCTTTCTGCAGCGTTCTCATACTAGACACAGCAGACGAGTGTTTGATCGGCACACCTTTGGGTGCGCCTGTTGTTCCACTGGTCCAGATCAAATACGCCATATCGTTGCAGTTGGCTGGAGATCTGACAATGGTGGAATTCACTCCGTTCGTTTCAGCTGATGTCTCATCAACGAACCTATTCACATCTATGATCTGTACCCTGGCAGGAATCGAGCCTTCTGGCTGGGGTCCATCAAAGTCAGAAACCAGTAAAATGTCAGATGAAGTTCGGGCGATCAAGTCGTGACGGCGCTGTGCGGGAGACATAGTGTCGATTGGACACCAGGCGCCTCCAGCCTTGAGAATACCGAGGATCGCAACATACATGGCAGGGCTCTTCTCGATGCAGATTGGAATCGGACGGTTGTTGAGCTCACCACTGATCCGGGTAAGATGCACTGCAAGTCTTTGGGCTATGTCATTGAGCTTCCCGTAAGACCAGGTGATATTCCGCACGTCATTTTCATCATCCAGATTATGCTTGAAAATCAAAGCATGGTCTTCAGGGTGTGATTGTGCGTGGTCCTCAAACTGCGATTGTAAGAGAGATCCTTTTTCTGCCTCCTCGATAATTTTTGATTGCGGATTGAAGCATGATTTCGAGTTACAATTGGTCTTCATCGGGCCTTCGAGAAATCTCCCTTCTGGCTCATTGAGGATGAATTCGACGATGTCAGACATCTGTCCTAGCATCATCTTTGCCGAACTCAGATCAAGCTTGGACTCATCGAAACTGGCACGGAATGTCAAGGAGGAGTCGGAACACGGCCACACCTCAATCATAACTGCAAAGTCATTCGCCATGGGCGGGTGATGGATTGAGCTCCAGATACCACTTGCATTGGAGCCTGCGCTGAAATCTTGATACGCTATCAGTGTATCATATGGAAGTCTTCCTTCCGCCGTAACGAGCGATCCCAAGCCAGGTTGCAGGTGAGACAGAGCGTCTGCATTGAGCTTTGTTAGGCATTGGGTGATGGCGCGATTTGTGCAGGTGTCAGCTGAATTGGTCTGCGAATTCTCAAGAGTGAGTCTGATCGGAACAGTGGTGAATGTCGGGCCAATGCAGGTTTCCGAGACAATGTCAAGGCGGCCTGAGATAACGCTGCCCATCACAACATCCCGATCAGGCGTACCACTGTAAGCTAACAAGATTGATCCCCAGGCTGCCTGAAGTACAGAAAGAGGACTTGATCCAATAACTTTAGATCTGTTCTTGAGGGTATCATGACGGATATTGGCTGTGATCTCCGCGCAGCCGGTGGTTTTGACTGAAGATGGTCGGTATGAGGTCAAGGATGGAAACGAAACAGGAGAGTGTTGTGCTAAATGCCTGTTCCAGAAATCGGAGGTTGCGGCCTGATTTGACTGAAAGTGATGCTTCACAACATGCTCAATAGAAGTTCGTTGCTTGGCTGGCTTGCTATAGTAGATAGAAGTTACATCCTCAAGCAAGAGCTGCAGTGAGCCACCGTCGAAGATTCCGTGGAACATACTCAGAACAATCTGGCTCCCTGTGTGACTACTGACCAGAGACAACCTAAAAGGTGGTTTGCTAAGATCAATGGCCTCCTCCGCATCGCGGAGTGCAGTTTGAAGAGCCGCCTCGTTCGAGACAGTCTCGGTTACTTGATAGACAGCCCAATCAGCGTGAGGCGCTGCTTCAGAAGCAAGAATGCATTGGGCAAATGGCGCCATATCATCGTCAACCCAACAAAATACTGTGCGAAAAGAATCATAGCTGGCAAGGACCGTATCCCAAGCCCTCTGAATCTTGGGAAGGTCGACATCAGATTCAAGCCGCAGGACGGTATGGTAGATGTACGAGCGAGCCGCAGATGTCTTATCAGATGAACTACGCAGAAAACTGGTTAGCATGCCTGATTGCGTTGCTGTTGTCGGAAGAACTCTCGCAACTTGACTCGGCATCAAGTCTAGTCTTTCTGCACATATGAGTGCATTTCGTTGACTGAATTCTTGAAGCTTCTGATGGAGCGGGTCGTGGATTTCGTCAGTATCTGCCTTTCCCGCCATCTGACGACGCTGGAAGACGAGTGAAACCAGAGCTTCCGGTGTCGGTGACTGCAACACATCGCCGACAGACAGACCATCAATAGCATGGTCCCGTAACCGCTGCAGAAGTCGCATCGCGCCGAGACTGTCAATTCCGAGGGAATACAGACCAGCCTCAGGCGTGACAGCAGCGACATCCTCGTCTGTTGTCTGAGCGATGAGTTCAATCACAAGCTGTTGTACAGACAACAGATTCTCGTCCTCCGGAATTTCCCACTGATTATGCACATCAGTCGTAGTGTCTGGAACAGTCTTCTGTGGGGTGTACAATTGAACACCACTCTTGCCTGGTTCTCGAAGTTGAGCCGAGATTGCTTTGCGGTCAACCTTGCCGGAGCTCGATCGTGGGAGGCTAGGAAAGAAAACATATGCGGAAGGGCACATATAACTGGACAGATATTGCTGCGCTTTGGAGTGTGCCTCATTTGCTATCGTCTGTTTCTCGACAGCACTCGTGTCGCTGTTGTTGATAACGAGAGACGCCACTATTTGCTCACTTCCCTGTACATCGAAGTCGCGTTTGAGTACCACGGCCACAACTTCTGTTACTCCAGGGATTGTAGACAGAACCGACTCAATCTCGCCCAGTTCAAGCCGCCGGCCGCTGATTTTCACCTGATCTGAGGTTATCCGACCGAGAAACTCAATCACTGGAGAGCCGGATTCGTCCCAGACGATGCGCGCCATGTCCCCAGTACGATACAAGTACCCAAACTCTGCGCTGTTCACAAAAGCCTTCGCAGTTTCCTTCGGGCGGTTCAAATAACCCTTGCTGACTTGCGGACCTCCTATTGCCAGCTCACCAGCAAGACCCGCTGCGACTGGTCTTGGTTCGTGATTGTTGGGATCTAGGACAAACATCGCGCAAGTCGGAAGCGCTTTGCCAATAATTGAGCCCCGAACCGAGCGACCAACTGGTGCCAAATAGGTACAATTAATGGCGGCCTCAGTGGGTCCATATGCGTTCACCAACATTCTATGCGGTTCATCGAGTGATGTAGTTGAGAAATTTGCAATGACTGTCCTATTGAGCTTCTCGCCCATCGTCCAGAGGGATTGGAGTGTGTTCAATCGGGATGGTCGCAAGAGTGCAGCCAAGCTCGGCGTAGCCATCATGACGGTCGCCCTTGCTTCGTTAATGGTGGCTTCGAGATCAGTCAATGTCAGGCTCCGATCGGCAGAGCAGAGAGTAGCTCCGGTGCTCAAGGTGACGAAAATCTCCATGAGGGACGGGTCGAACGTGGGAGAGGCAAATTGAAACCAGCGGAAGTTGCCTACAAAATCTCCAGGGAGCGGGATAGTCGTAGCATGGGACTCTATTGAGCAGGTGACTGCAAGATGGCTTACTTGCACACCTTTCGGCTTCCCAGTGGAGCCACTCGTAAAGAGAAGATAAGCGATTTGGTCATCCTGGATATCCACTTTCTCAAGGACACTCTCAGCTTGCGAGGATTGAGTACGATCTATCAGCTCCTCCCATCTGGAAACGTCCTTTACGTTGACCCATACGGGCATGCGCTCATCTTCACCACGCTCATCAGTAGACCAAGGCCCCAAAGATGGCTCGGGTATATTACCCAGAAGGATAGGACAGTCTATGTCCTGAAGAATTTCAAGAATCCTATCCACGGGAGCATCCTGTGGAATAGGCGAAAATGCAAACCCGGCTTTCAATATGCCAAGGTATGAGATGTACAGTTCGGGCGATGTCGTCATGTACACAGGGATAATCCGCCCATAATCAGCAGCATCGCGGGCCGCCAGCAGGCCCCTGATATGTACAGCTAGATTAGTGGCTGCTTGATCGAGGTCAGAATAAGTGAGAATGCTGTGCTTTGCAGAACAAGTTGCAGAAGGTAAAGAATGAACGAAATCGAGGGCTATGGCATCAGGCTTTGTCCGGGCCCAGCCCTCAAACGCAGTGTGGAGAAGATGTTGTTGGGGTATCGTAGAATCAGTCAATTCATTCCAATCATGGCGTCGTGAAGGGGGTATCATAGATGGAGGGAAATTCATAACAGAAAGCTCGGGGAGGGAGGCCTCGAAGGCCAATGACGGAGACGAATCTGCCAAGCGAGCGGCAATGGTCCTGAGCATCGAATCCACTGCAACGACGGGGATCAGTCGGTCGGGATAGCTAAAGCAGATCTGGATGCTAGTAGCGGTGGTGGAAGGCCCCGCGTATAGCGTGAAATTCTGCCGGTCGATCAGTAAGGCGCTGTGGCGACAGTCAAAGAGAAGTAACGGGAAACCCACGTTTGCAGTACCCTTGAAAAGGGGTTGTTGCTCGCCATTTTCAGGTTCCTCGCAGAATCCCAAAGCCAGACAGAAGTGGACTTCATCAGCATCATGATACTGTTCGTCCACCTCTTTGATGGTGCAGTGCTGGCCATCGGCTTCCCGAAGTACAGAAGCACAGACCACACCGCGCTCTTTCTCTGGACCAGAGATGGTGGTTGCATGACGGGCGACAAGGAATGCAATCTCATCCAGACCTGTGAAGCTCGAGACAAAGCGAGCGTATCCTTGAACGAGGTCACTTGCAACAGCTTGGAGATTGGTATCGCAAGCAAGCTCGATGCGGGGGCTCAGGACTACTGAGCTCTGCGAAAAATCGTCGACTGCGTACTGATCGACTGTGTCCAGAGCAGGAAGCTTGGTAGTTGGGATAGAAACAAGCGTCATAGCTAAACCAAGGGCATTGTGTGTTGCAGAGGTTGGTGTCAATGAGGCGTTGTGCCCCTCATCTTGCGGAAGGGCGGTTGCCATTGATTTGAAAGGTCCGAAGCGGGGTACAAGTCACGCACCTAAAGAGGATGACCGCGACGCCAACTTTGCCCGACAGCAGGACAGATGACTCTTGAGATGGTAAAAAATGATGGTTATGGATCACAGGGGGCCACAGGAGAAGGTAGATATAATTTACTATTGCTGCATGGTAAGTACTTTGCTCACGCAGGAACTTCCAAGGATATGCATGGATGGTGTCTGGTCAGCATGACTTGCAGTGGATCCAGACGGGTGCCACGCGAAGCCATTGGGCATTGATCACATTTTCCAAAAGGTTGTGAAGTGAAAGTGGGGGGACAAGATTTCAGGATTATCCAATCTGTTGCAACCGAATTCGAGAGTGATTACTTCGAAGTAAGCAGATTGGTAGATGGTGCTACATGAGCTCGGGGGGTTGAGCGCATGATTTTTCTCACTCTTCCCTGATCCCGGTAAGGCTCCGTGGCAGACGCGCGCATCGCGCCACGGGTCTCGGCCTCAGGCCATCGTTAAGGCCAACCACCGCCCGGCCAGCCTTCCGCTTCGGCCTGAGGTTTCCCCGATCATCGGCACAATGCTTATCTGATTAGATCATCTGATAAGATTCTGCGTGCTGGGCTGTCCGACTGTCCGAGTGTTGTTGCATCTCTGACGCAAGTATGAGTTACAAATTTCTGCAACGCAAGTTACATAGAAAGCTTTAGGCTCTTGATGTCGTTTAAAGCATGATATCTGTCCTCAAATCTATGATTTTGCCCGTTTACCACACCTGTGATCCAATGGTTTAAGCGGGTCTCTTTGACTAATCAGTATAGGCAAAAAGTCTGCTAAATCCTTGTACTGACTGAAAAGGTAACATGCTGAGTGTGGCTTACTGTAATATTGTGTTAGATCTAAGGATAGCATTTTAATAGCACTAAAATTAGAAAATCCCCGCAGTCTTCCAAGTTACTGCCTTTCGTCATAGATCTTATCAATAAAAGCCTGTGCTTGTGATTTTATCTGAAGTTTGGATCCTTGAATCGGTAAAAGCTAGGATGAGCTGTCTATGCTTCCTTATACTTGAGCAATGAAGGTTCTGTGGCATCAATCTGCAGTTGAATGGCTCCGCAAAAAGACATATATATACCGTCGTTTGTAATCAATATATATTCCACGGCAGGGTGCTTCGATCTTGCAATGTAGGGCATAATCCATTTAATCTTCTATTAACCCCACAGCCCTCTAGGCAGAACTGGTATAAGGGTGCTTTGTAGGAGGTATGACACCAGCCTTACGTTGGCACTCGGAAGTGGTAGAAATTGTGCAGTTGATGAGCAGTCAGAAAACCCCTCACTCCCGACCGGTGAGGGACGGATCAGATAAACGGAACCGGAATCAGAGAGGTTTGTGTCTCTGTGAGTGTGGGATCCACTTAACCAAATGTTTAGAGGATTGATTGGCCGTATCTCTGAATGAATTTGTCAAATGTGCGGTTTTTATTCCACACTGGTCACAGGTTCAAATGAGTCTTTCGCATTCTGGGTGCTCCGGAGACCAGTGATTGGGCGAGATGCAGCCAGGACCCGGTCGCGCCACTTGGCGCCAATCTGATAAGATGGATCAAAGATACGGAAAACAACCATCCGGCTTCTTGTAACTTGGTATCCGTAGTCATCCGATTTCAATCGAGCCTGTGTCACTGGAATGTTCTTTCCAGAATGTTGAGTCCGAAGCTCCTCACTATGTGAAATTGACATCACTTAGCAATTTCCCATGTTCGTTTTTGGTGAAGAGTTCTCCCTCGGTCTCCGCCGAAATCCCCGAGACAACATTTCGGTCTGGTCCAGGCACCGCCGATACAGCAAGGGAACGTTTGGGTTGCGTTTGTGACAGATATCCCCATCGGATCCACAGTCTCTGGGCATCTGTCCCCCGGTCTCGGGTGACAAGTCGCTGGTTACACTCTTGTTATCATGGCGTTACTCTTAAGAATGGCCTGCGCCCCCTTTGCTCCTGGCTACTTTTTTTCACTCAACTTCCGTCTCTACTAATTTCGCCCAATTCTCCAACATTGGCTCTCTTCTCTCCCTTTCTTCTCTTATTTCCGATTAGAATAATAGACCTTCGAAAGCTACTAGTACGACAGTCTCACAATGCCGTCCAATGAGGGCCTTGTCTCGCTTGCGCGCGAGTTCCGCGTTCTGATCGTTGGTGGCTCCTACGGTGGATTGGCGTCAGCCATGACGCTGATCGATCTTTGCCGTGGTCGTCTCGCTCGTTTCAACTTCACGCCCAATGCACAGCCCCCTCAACATCGCATACCCATCCAGATCACATTAGTGGACGAGAGGGATGGATACTGTCAGTAGTCTTCCCGCTGATTCTATCCTATAACATACAGCCACTAATCCCAAGAATGACTCCAGATCACCTCATCGGCTCCCCCAAGGCACTCGCCTCGGAGAAATACGCCTCAAAGACCTGGAATAGATTCGTGGATATTCCTGCCTTGAAGACACCAGACATCAAATGGATCCAAGGAAGTGTCCACTCGGTGGACTGCCGGCGGAAGGTGGCTCAGATCCTTGATAGCCAGACGAGGCGATCGAGGGAAGAGAAGTACGACTTTTTGATCGCTGCATCTGGTCTACGCCGCGCTTTTCCGACAGTGCCACAGTCCCTGGAGCGTCGAGAGTTCCTGGAAGAGACAAGGAAGAATGTTGAGGCCATCCAAAACGCAAGGGAAGGCGTGGTGGTGATTGGAGGGGGTAAGTCTTCTCGCATACCCCCACTCCTGCGTATTGATGATAGCTAATGACCTGTAGGTGCCGTCGGTGCTGAAATGGCCGCCGAGTTGAAAGATCTTTACCCCAACCAGAAGATCACCCTGATCCACTCCCGCGACCACCTCCTCTCTGCCGAGCCTCTGCCCGATGCGTTCAAAGAGCGAATCTGCACTATCCTCCGCGAGCAGGAGGTCACAGTCATCCTCGGACAACGCGTGGTCGACACCACTGCCGTTGAGACAGAGGGAGGACGCCGCGTCTGGCAGCTTACTCTCTCCGACGGCACCAAGCTCACGGCTGGCCATGTGATGAACGCCGTTTCGAAGAGTGTCGCGACTTCCACTTATCTGCCTAAAGAGGCGTTGAACGAGGAGGGACTCGTCAAGATCAGACCCTCGTAAGTCCCTCTTCTTCTGTGTCCGACTGAGCCTCAACTGACTGCCGCCCAGCCTGCAATTTCCGGACAATGTTCCTAACGCAGATGACCACTTCGCTGTGGGTGATATCGTTTCGTGGTCGGGGATCAAACGCTGTGGCGCTGCCATGCACAAGGGTCATTACGCAGCGACCAATGTCCATCAGCGCATGATGGCTCAGGCTTTGAGCACTAAGCCTGAGTTCGTCAACCTGCAGCCGCACCCGGCCGTCATGGCTATTGCTCTGGGCAAGAACGCGGTGGCATATGACTCGGAGGGCGGGCTGCAGGACGGTGCGAAAACCTACGCTACCATGTTTGGTGACGACATGGGCTTCAGCAGTAAGTGCTCTCTCAGACCCTGCCAGTCTTACTTTCCGCATGCTAATGCTATACAGTCTGCTGGAATTACATGAAGCTGGGTGAGCCTTGCCAGGCTTAGACCTGTCTGTAATTTCCCATTATGCCCCTGACAAAGCAGGTATTTCTCAGGTATGTGGTGGAACAAGACGGTGACTGGGTGATCGACTTGGGGAAAACGACTATAGAGTCACTACCATGGAGTGCTATTTGAGCACTAATCATATAAGCAGGCATGTGGGAGATGATCTGAACTTCGATATCTGTAATCTTCATTAGCTGGATAGATATTGCATCTATGAGTAGGCTCTGGAAGCCTCTATTTACATTTCCAAATCAATATTGAGTTTAACCCGTTTCCCCTCAGCCCTTATGCCAACGTCCGTAGATGCGCCACTTCTCTGCAGCAAAGACTACGAGCCCTTAAGCCTAACACGTCTTGAAGATTATATTGATATATTTATTATTCATTAAAGCGTTACTGATGGACACCGCAGCCCACTGCGTCAAGCCTCCTCCAAGGCCTGCTTCCTCGACCTCGAGCGAGTATCGAGATAGGGTGCTTCACCCAGACTGCAGACCCGGTCGCCAGCCCGAGCCTCGGCGTAGTCGTACGTGGCACAGTGCCAGGTCGATCGGTTATCCCAAACGGCCAAATCATTCTTATTCCACCGGAAGCGAACCTGCGCGTCGTGGTTTTGGGTAATGAGCTAGGAATGAACCAGTCAGTCAACCCGCCCACATTTGAAGTTGTCTGTCGGCAACACTTACATTGAACAGATAGGCGAGCAACACGTCAGATTCATCCTTGGTGACCCCGTTGATGCGCTTCGTGAACCCCTTATTCACATACACGGACTTCCAGCCAGTCACCGCTATAGACGCAAAGTCAGAAGTCGTCAATCACAACACAGTCGAGATATACAGGAGGAACCCACGATTCGTGCGAATGACAGGATGCACGGCGGTCAGCGCTTCGCCTTGGTTGAGGGGCGAGCCTCGAATTCCCTTCCGCAACGGATTGCCCAACCGCCGCGCCTCGTCGTGGAAGAAGGTCGCGTCGTGCGTCGCCGTCAACCCCTCCAGCATTTCCGCCATGGCGGGCGACAGGCGGTCGTAGATCTCATAGCCCGACGCCCAGAGGGTGTCGCCTCCCGTCGCCGGGAGCGTGTGGATCTTCAGCATGGCGTAGTCGGAGGGGACGGGCTCGAAGCTGATGTCGCTGTGCCAGCCCACGGAGGCGAAGCGGCTCGTGTCGCTGAGTTGGTGCGTGAGGCCGCCGCCCTTCTTCTGCTTCTCGCTGCTGATCACGCTGATCTGGTCGCCTAGCTCGCTGCCTTCTTCTGTCAGGGGGTGGATGTGCAGCCCGGACGACTCGGGCTGTGATGGGGCGGTCAGTCAGGGGTTTTCGGGTGATAGCATCTCTTAGTGTGGTCTGTGTGTACTTACGCATCCGGCCAGGTGTGTCAGCTTCTCTCCAAACTCGCGCATCTGCTGCGGTGTCACGTCTTGATCACGCAGGAATACAACACCTCGGCTTGAGACTGTTCCCGTCAGCATCGGCGTGTCGAAACTTTTGGAAATCATGTCATACTTGTTACTGCGAGATCCTTGATGATCTGATCGCATTGCTCCGACTTCAAGATCTCTGCCACCTGAAGACCTTTGTACTCGCGACCAATGACCGGCGTCAGGTCTTGCTGGGCATACGAGTCCAGAGACCCGGAATACTGCAGTGGCTCGGAGATGCGCGGTCGGGACTGCTCATGGCCTCCTCTGATAGTCGAAGCCGGGGCGTTCTCAACGACAGCAGGCATGATGACGGTTCTGGCTGTTACAGAGGCTGGTGTGAGGTGAATGGGCATACAAAACAGGACTGTGCTTGTGGCAGAACCGACGAAGGGATCTGATAAGCTTCCCGACTCTTTATATGAACTATGATAGCCGACGAAATACGTCTACGTCGACTCTGCAGCAGCGATCGCAGTGGTATGTTGTCAACGACTCGTCCCCACCGTGGTGGAGGGCTACGGGTCATGCAGTGCGAATGGCGCCAACCCGTCAACCTCGCGACGCGAACCGTCTCTTACAGGCACTGGCTAATTATCGTTCCGCGGAGTTTCCTTATGGCATCTTCCGTACGGTTCCAGGGCCACATAGTGCACATACGAGTCAAGTCCCTCGTGGGCCCATCACCCTCATTTTCCCCGCATTAAGCATGCCCGATTGGTTTGCCTCTGGGTGATGCCAATCAGCGGCCAACGGGATGGCTGTCGGCGGGGCGTCGGCGAAATTCTCGGAGGGCTTCTTGGTCCGTGTTCTACCATTTCTCAGTCTCGCCAAACACCACCACCATCATCAGCGAATAGAAGCTGTCAACGGAGTCCGCCGTTCGAGATGGTGTGCATGCGCTTCATCTACAAACAGCAATGCTCCGAAACCTGGGGAGCATGGTAGACCACGCTCAGATAACAATTGGGAATGGCTGCGGTGACTGTGTGTTAACAACTTACAAGCAAAGGAATACCCGGGGAAAACCTACGCCCAAGAACCTCTTCAACCGATTAACCGTGAACTGTGGGGTTTAGCAGTCCGCCTCAACAAGTATACACCGTTTTAAGATTTCTTGATTTATTTATTTTTCTTCAGCTTAGCTCTATTCTTCTTTCCTCGGAATCAGACGGAGAAAGAGGCTATTGGCGAAAAGCTTTGGTTTTCCGTGAGAAAACTGGCTAGCGCACAGCCTGGGGCTCCCTGGCGGCGATGATGTGCTCGGCGATCCGTTTTGTGCAATTCTCTTAGTCCGATTCTGGATTCAGGGCATGCATACACACGGCTGTAACAATAACACCATGTCTGTGGTTGGCTCAAGCAAAGGCCTGTTGTCGATGGTCATCGCGAATAACGACATCAGAGAATAAATTATCCTTTATCCAACGCCACGAATTTCGATGGTATATAAGTCCTTGGCCATGGAAGACCATCCAGCCCTAGAGGTTTTCCATCCCCGCCCATTATTTCGCGTCTCTTGAAACTCTGCGTTCTTAGCAGCAAGGCGTGGCCTGTCAGAGAGACATCATGACGGACATCGAAACGGGGTTCAAGGGCTCCTCCATCAAAGCCCACGATGTCGAAGACACGCAGTCTTCCAAGGTATCGATCGAGGTCGGACAGGAACACCTCGCTGGCGTCGTGCCCCCCCATGAGTCGTATGAAGGCTTTCACCGATTCGACCCCACCGCTACCTGGACCGAACAAGAGGAGAGACGAGTGATCTGGAAGACCGATCTGTATCTACTCACGGCTCTCTGTATCATGGTACGTTTGCTGCAATATCCATCAGATGGCGGGTGAATGCTGACATGAATAGTTCTTTGGTCTCCAACTGGACCGTGGCAACTTATCAAATGCGCTGACGGACAACCTACTGGTCGACCTGAACATGTCGAGCAATGACTACAACAATGTGAGAGCCTACACGCCCCAGCATACAGACGCACCTTTCTAATTTCTGCAGGGAACCACTATCCAATTAGTCTGCTTCTTGTCCGCAGAGTTCCCCGTCCAGCTGCTCATCAAGAGATACGGTTTCAAGCGGGTCCTCCCCGTGATGATGATTTGCTGGAGTACTGTATCCTGGGCGCAAGCATGGATGACCAACCGAGCTGCCTTCTACGTGACCCGCGCACTCATCGGGGCTTTTGAAGGTGGATTCATCCCCGGCACCATCTTGTTCGCGACCTACTTCTACAAGACGAAGGAGCTCTCCGTGCGCCTGGGATTCTTCTGGTCCACGCTCAACGTACGAACCGAACCGTAACTCACATTCAAATGCAACTCCACTAACCGCGGAACTAGGTTGCCCGTATCATTTCGTCGCTGCTGGCGGCGGGCATTCTCGAGATGCGTGGCGTGCAGGGCAAACCGGGGTGGTTCTGGCTTTTCCTGATCGACGGCCTCATCACCTTTGCCATTGGATTTCTCGTACGCATCCCTCTCCTTTCCTTCCCCAAACTCACCACCTCCCCCAACTAACCCCGCAAACAGAGCCTCTTCTACCTCCCCAGCTCGCCCACCAACACGACCAGTCTCCTCTGCCCGAGAAACTGGTATACCGAACGCGAAGAAGTAATCATGATCAACGTACATCCCCCCCCCCCCTCTTTCCCTTGAAAAAGAAAAACCCACGAACAACCCAAATCACTAACTTACCGCACCCAAAGCGCCTCCTCCGCGACGACCCCTCCAAAGGCCTAACGCACATCAACGAATCCGCGACCCTGCACGACATCATCTCCGCCTGGAAAGACCCCTCCATGTGGGGTTTATATCTGATCGGCCTAGTCGCCTACATCCCCCAAAGCCCGGTATCCAGCTACCTCTCCCTGACCCTGAAGCGACTGGGCTTCACCACCTTCGAGTCCAACATGCTCTCGATCCCCTCCGCGGCGCTGCAGATCATCCTGATGCTGGCCCTGTGCAAGAGCAGCGAGTACTTCGGCGACCGGACCTGGCACAGCCTGTTCGGGGAATTCTGGTCCCTGCCGCTGCTGATCGCCCTGCTGTGCCTGCCGGCGGGCGGCTACAACTGGGCCCGCTTCACCATCACCACGCTGATCTCCGGGTACCCCTACTTCCACCCGATCGTCTCCGCCTGGATCTCCGAGAATACCTTCGACGTGAAGAAGCGCGCCATCACCGCCGCCACGTATAATGTCATCGTGCAGGTTGGGTCGATTATTTCGTCGCGTAAGTTTTTTTTCCTTCCCGCAAAAAGATAAAGAGGGCGCCCCCACCCCCCTTCCCCCCCTGCCTTCTCCTGAAAGGAGTGCGATTACTGGTACGAACCTCTTTGCTGATGACTGTGGCATAGAAATCTACCGCTCCAACGACTCCCCCTACTACTACACCGGCGACAAGGTCCTGGTCGCCCTCTGCGTCTTCTCCATGGCCGTCTTCGTCGCCCAGCGCGAGTACCTCCGCCACCTCAACCGGCAGAAGGAGCGCAAGTGGGCCCTCATGTCGGCCGAGGAGCGCGTGCTCTACCAGGCGGACACGGCGGCGCGCGAGCGCGACGGGAACAAGCGGCTTGATTTCCGGTTCAAATACTAAGTTAGCCAGCTGGGTATACATCCTGTGTTTCGAAGTTTGTTTGCTTTGTGTCGGGAAAGACTGCTTATTGCTTATGATAATTAATCCCTGTTGATGGAGGATGGTTTAATCTGACTGTCTGGGTTCCAGATGTTCACTATCCTGGTTGTTGTTGTTGTTACTGACTAATGAGAAAGCGAAGGGGGAGTTTTTGTTTCATCTTCTATTAACTCATAATATACGTGTCATTCGTCGTGAAGGAGCTCGAGGAATATACAAATGGCAAAGCTCAAGCTGGAAAGCTTGGACTCGACAAGGGTGGTGGCTCCGGCAGGTAGTCCCCGGTCATGCAGAAGTAATGCTCCGACGGCACAGAGTGAATCGCCCCGCCGGTTTGGGCCATGAAATCGCCCACCCACATCTCCACCGACTCCGACGGCAGAGACTGGGACCACGAGGGACCCCCGCCCAGTCGTGGCTCTCTGCCCTCCTCCAATAGCAGCGGAGATTGGGCGTTGGGGATGCCGACTAGGTATGGGTCGTAGGCGTACGCGGCCGCGGCCGCGGCAGCTGCATAGCCCAGTCCCGCGGAGAAGGACGGCCCAAACAAGTTAGAGGGCGCCAGGTCTCCTAAGGAGTGGAGAGCGTGCTGGGCACTAATGTCGCTTGGCTCCTCCGGCATCACGCCGTGAGGAGCACGGTTGTGGTCCAAGGTCTGAAACGTAGTAGTGGTAGTAGCTTGGTAGAGGTCGTCCGCGGCCGTCCAATCAGCCACGGTATCTGGAGCCCTGTGATCGGCGGTCCTCGTGAAGACGTCTGCTAGGGTCGATGCAGGCAGTTCGGCGGCTGGGCTGTCCCCACCGTTGGTGTCTGGGCGGGGTGTGGCTTTACGTCTAACTGGCGTGTGGACCTCGCGTATCGGCGGCGGTAATGCAGGTCCACTGCTAGACTGCGCATCCGCCATTTTCTTATACAGTAGCTCCGCTAGTTCTTTATTGCCGCCGCCGCGGAAGGTGGAGAGAATCGAGTGGAGTCGAGCCAGGATGCTGCTGGGGCGGGTTTCGCCATCCCAGACTGGGGCTCGCGGCAGCATGGCCAGATTGATTACGGCGTCGGCTAGTGAGCTGGCGATCTCATAGAGCTTGAGTTCCTGCGGATGTTTTAGTGACCCCGCTCTAAATGACGGTGGATGTACTGCACATACCATACCGAGGCCGTGGGCTTCAATCGCCGTTCGTGGAAGCTGGGAGACTATGTTCAGGAGCTCCTTCGCGACTAACACGGGAAACGAAGGAGAGTTCGGCCATTGGGACGAAGGTGAACCTTGCAAACCCTGCTTGAACGAGAACTTCCAGAGTATCATCCGCATCCAGTGTCGCGTCACGCACAGGTCGGCCTTTTGTACATCCGATATGTGGTCTAATAATGCTGATCCGTCCTGAAGATTCTCCTGCAGCAGCCGTAGAAACCTTGCATCCACGCCCTGCACCTCATCCGAAATCGTGTCTCTTCCAACGTTATCGTCTTCGATGAGATCAAACATCCGGGACTGCTCAAACAAGCGAAAAAGGTTGAGCAATTTGAGGAAAGCGGGGAGAACTTGTGGTTCATCGCTCGTGTCGAGTGCTGGAGTGGAGACGTTCGTTTTCAGAATAACGGGTAACTTGTGGAGGATGCAGACTCCCCTGCATGGATATCAGACACAGTTCGTTCAGGGATGCTGGGAGACCTCACCGTTCTGTGACGAATAGCAACCACAGCACGCGCCGACGCAGTTGTTGCTCCTCCGCTGGTAGTCCCGCATACGAAGCTTCTCGGTGGAGGGACATCATTTGTGCCAAGGTGATAGCTTCTCGCAGATAGAGTAACGATTCACTCGCCCCCGACTGTTGGTTCTCGTAGTAAACGTGCAGGAAGAAAGCGGTGCGCACATTGTTTAGATTGAGCCTCGAGCGATAGTCGTACAGCCGTCGTGCTCGCATGCTCTCGAGCGCAAAATTCTCCGCACTCAGAGATTTTTCCGGCTCTGAGTTTTGTCCAAGCCGTAACTGGGCGATGGTGGCGGCAGCTACTGCAGTTGCAAGGGCGTATGTTTCATGCTCTTTCTCCTCTACGTCTTGCTGCAAGATCGCCAGGACCTTTTCGACATCGACAATAGGCCAGACCGGATACATGCGAACATGATAGATGTACAGCGGGGATGCGAGGACATTGATCAGAATTCGAGATCTATATGCTCATGTAATTAGAATGGTAGACTTTGGCGTACGTCGGTAATAGGTAATACTGCGAAACGCAAAGCAGCGGAATAAATGCGACGCGCTTGGATGTAAAAGAGCAGCATACCTCGAGCTGTGTTGGGATTCGCACACTGCGGGGTTCTGAAGCGCGTGGTCGGCCTCGAGCACTTCCCCTCTCACTGGAGCCGAGGGTAGTGCATTCTGCATTTCCAAGCCTCTTTGCGCCTGGTCGATGAGGAATTTGGTGGTCGCGCGCAATTTCTGAGGACCGCGAGGCTGCTGCACACGGATATAGGTGCACTTGATGCGCGCATTGAAGCAGGACTGGCATGGCTGCCCCCCGCCGCATTTGATCTTTCGGATCTTGCATCCATCACAGGCCTTCTTGGTAATTCCGGCTCTGGAAGACATCTTGCTTGTGGGTGCCGTGGCAGTTGCAGTGGCAGTCGCATGCATCAGGCACGATTCGGTTCGAAGGCATGACCAAGCCAGAAATCTTGCGGTCGTAGCAGGTGGCAGGGATGAGGAATTGTCACAATGTTGACGGCCGAGCGATCATGTCGACGTTTTTGCGGGGCAAGCCATGAGAGGTTGCTTGGCAGATGTAGCTCGAAGCGAGGCGAGGCCTTGTGCGATCGCGGTAAATCCCGATCGGCGTGGCCCTTCTGCTTCGTAGCCGATGACCGTGGCAATGGGATTGTGTCCACCGTCCACGGTTTCGTCGATCGCAAGGTGATTGTTGACAAAAGTGATGGATGGATCCAACGGCCGGCAATCGATAAGGGGCAGGCAGACGATTGCGCCTTCGACTCCATGGGGCACGCCATTGCATGGACCCACTAGGTGCACTTCGAGGAACAGGTGAGATGTCAACACAGCATCGATGTACGGCACCGATGCGATGCTATTCGGAAAGCAGTACCGGAGGTAGGAGTAATGAGCAAATTTGAAAATGTACTCCGTAGACACTGTACCAGCAGTGTGCATAGCTCGTGATCAATATGCAAACCTTGCAAACCCCACTCCCCCCAAGACTACCCCAGATGATCCCACTTACTCCGCAACATTGGCCTCAGAAAACACAACAGTCAAATGTTATGGTTTAAACGTGTCTGTCGTCATCGAATCTCGAAGCTTTTTCCCATTCTCTTCTCTTACATGCCACTAAAATATCTATATTCTTAATCTAGGAAGAAGGATCTATATATCAAAATATCCTAACTGTCTTTCAGCTTACTTGGTGCTGATACCTTTCGAGTCCCTGATTTTCTCTGCCTTAGTTTCTATATCTTTGCTTTCTTCCACCTTGGAAAACTGTGTTTGCCCCTCCTTTCAGCTTGAAGGACAGTCAAGTCAGGCGACTTAATTACGATCTGACCCAGACTGAAGAAGTGTCAGAAATCTCAAAAACACAAGCGAACCAGCGGCACTGTATACAATCCCCGCCAAGAGCATGAGGTACATCAGAAATTGAGAGTCCTGCGAATATATGCTGTTGCGGCTTACCTTGGCGACGTCTCTTCAACAATGTTGGTGTATTGGCTATCATCTTGGACACAGTAAAGAACTGTTTCCATGGCCGATACATGCCAATTTGCCAACAGATTAGTGTCATTATCTTCCTCATGATATCTCCTTGTCAACGGGAAGCAATTCATGCGGTGACGCAGTTGGCAAGGGCAACAAGCATCCATCCTGTCTATCATGGCTCAAGGCTTGTCGACTTCCACCATACTGCAATTTCCAAGGGCATTATGCATGTCTGGATTAGTGATTGTAGGGCATGTTTGTAGTCAGCATGGGTCTCTGCGTGATACCTCAAAACAGATGTTCATGATCCGCGAATGCTCCTTCTCTATCGAGAGAGAGGAATCCAAGGCTTATATGCGTAGAATATGAAGCAAAAAGTTCAAACCGAAGCGTCCACAAAGACCTTATGTACCACGCATGAGCAGACATAACCCAACTAGTCCCTTCTGGGGCCATCCACCCCCACTAAACCCGGGTGGGTCTAGAACTCTCTTCCCCCCAAAAACTAAACAACGAGACCCTCCGAGCAAACCTCCGACGCCTCTTGCGCCTCATGCTGCCCTCTGCATATGTCAGTGTGATTGGACTCACAGGCTCCACCGCTGCAGTTGTGCAACTGTCGACAGACCAATGGCCATACCCCGAGGATTTCCAGCGCACGCAATGGCCCATCGTAGTCGGACTAGGTACAGATAAATTGGTACCGCAGCCCCCCCCTTGCGCGGGGGTTTGCCTACAAAGTTGAACAAATCTCTCTCTCTCTCGACGAGACTTTCATTTTACACACAGTACTGTACTGTACATCATGGCCTGGCCGAACAAGAACAAAGACATGCTCTACCGCCGGGTAGGCAACTCCGGCCTGCATGTCTCCGCGCTGGGGTTGGGAGGATGGTTGACGTGAGTTGTTGCATGACCGTCGGAGAAGGACAATCTTACTGATGTTTGGCTTGTTGGCAGTTTCGGAGGCCACGTGGATAATGGTACTACTTCTTGAGTTGAACCTCAAGTGCTGGACAGCGGGACTAACAACGGGCTTGACAGAAATCACCTTTCAATGCATGAAGCAAGCTTACGACTGTGGGATCAACTTCTTCGACACCGCGGAGAGGTAGCCCCGTAGCCCCTTCCCTCCCCGCTGCAGATCACAAGGCCCGAGCTAATCAAGCGCAGCTACGCGGGCGGTCAATCCGAGATCATCATGGGCCAAGCGATCAAGAAATTCGGCTGGAAGCGCAGCGATCTCGTCATCAGCACCAAGGTGCGTCCGTTCCGTTCCTTGACACAAATACATCCTACACCATACTACAACAAGCGACAAAGGAACCATCTGCTAACGTCTAGTGGCCGGTGGACAGCTAAACTGGGGCCTCGCCAACGGCGAGATCCTGATCAACAACCATGGCCTCTCCCGGAAACACATCGTGGAGGGCACGCGGGCGTCGCTGGAGCGGCTGCAGCTGGAGTACGTGGACATCATCTACGCGCACCGGCCGGACCGGCTGACGCCGATGGAGGAGACGGTGCGGGCGTTCAACCACGTGATTGAGAAGGGGTGGGCGTTCTACTGGGGCACGTCGGAGTGGTCGGCGGACGAGATCAGCGAGGCGTGCGGGATCGCGCGGGCGCTGGGGCTGATCGCGCCCGTCGTCGAGCAGCCGCAGTACAACATGCTGACGCGCCAGAAGGTCGAGGGCCAGTTCCAGCGGCTGTACACGCGCTGCGGGATCGGGCTGACCGTGTTCTCGCCGCTGAAGATGGGGCTGCTGAGCGGCAAGTACAACGAGGCCACGACGCAGCCGCCGCCGGGGTCGCGGTTCGCCGAGAGCAACGACAAGTACGCCAACTACGTGCGCAGCGAGTGGGAGAACGAGTGGGCGGGCACGATCCGGACGGTGCAGGGCCTGCAGGGGCTGGCGGACAAGCTGGGCGTGAAGCTGTCGCAGCTGGCGCTGGCGTGGTGCCTGAAGAACGAGAACGTCTCGTCGGTGATCACGGGGGCGTCGCGGCCGGAGCAGATCGTGGACAATGTGGAGAGTCTGAAGCTGCTGCCGCGATTGACGCCGGAGGTGATGGCGGAGATTGATGAGTATTTGCGGAATGCGCCCGAGCAGGATCCGGCGCGACAGGACTAGTATGAGCTTATCGACTACCTAATGAACTGAAATCACGTCCCAAACCCCCGAACCTTCAAATCAGTAGATATAACTCCCTCGTAAACGAGCACAAACAAAGCACGTGTCAAGGACCCCTCACCCTACGCAAATGACATCACATCACCCCAACAAACAACCACCACCTCCACAAACCATCACAACCCATAACAACCCTCTCCCATGCAACCTTTACAACTACACCTACACCTCCCCAGTCTACATTACACAGTATACAATACACAGTGTACCCAACCTGTGCTCCCCCATGACTATGAGTAAACTCCCCCCCGAACTCCACCTCGAAATCGCCACGCACCTCCCGGCGACCCCCGACCTCTCGCGGTCCCACTTCGCCCAAACAAACCACTACTTCCACGCCCTCCTCCCCCACCCCTCGCACACCGAGCTGCTAGCCGCAGAACTCGACCCCCTCGCCATCGCCAACGACCTCTACGCCTGTCGGTACTGTCTGCGGCTACGGCGAGTGACGCACTTCGCGGACCGGATGGTGCGGCGGGGCCGGGGCCGGTTCGGAGCGGAGCGGGAGCGCGCGAAGCGGTTTTGTTTGGATTGTGGGGTTCTCCCTAGACAGGGGGAGGAGGAGGAGGAAGAAGAGGGGGTGGGGGTCCGGGAGAATGGTGGAGGACAAGCTGAAGGTCAGGCACAAGCACAAGCACAAGCTACGCGCGGCGAAGCACGGTACGGATATGGGGACCTCGTGCGCGTGCAAGGGGTGTGGATGGTGTTCTGTGGGCGGTGTCGGGGGCTGAGGCAAGTGGTTCCAGTCGCCATGTCCGGGTCCCCGGCAGATAAAAGGCGGAAATCGCAGCATTTGCAGGTTAGTTGGGAGGAGGAGCAGAGTATCGGGATGCGCATGGGGAGGGATTTGGGGTGTGAGGGGTGCTTGCCGCATGTTTCTCATGACGAATCGGGAGGTTGAATTTATCCATCACCAAGTTCAACTGGTGAGGAATTGTTGCAAATTGATTCAAGTTAGATACCCACGAAAGTACACTTCACATATTCTACAAGAAGAGTAAACAGCTACAAAACCCCATCCAACGCCCCCTTGATCTCAACCGCCTCCTCCTCCGGAGTAACATCAACATACAAACTCACATACTCCACCCCCTTCTCAATCGAGCTCACCCCCAGCACCATCCTCTCCTCCACCCCCAACACCCCCTCCTCCCACGCCTGCACAATGCCCCCCGCCATCTCATCCTCCTCCTCCATGCTAAACTCCGCCAGGTACCCCGTCCCAACCGACACGAGATACCCGACGCCATCGAAGAACCGAAACGCCAGCGCCTCCCCGGAGGTGGTCCGCGTATCCTGCTGGCCCGGCGGCAGAAGCCGCACCACCGTCCGGTTGTTGCGGTACCAGGTGACGTGGATATCCCGCGCCGCGGTGGTGGTGCCAGAGGCGACGAAGTCTTGGATCACGAATTCCTCGAGCTTGTCGTCTGCGCTGAGGACTCCGCTGCCACCACCGTTGGTGGTGCAGGGGATTCCCACGGGGAGGATAGAAGAATACCCCAGACCACGGTCCCGGAGCGCGTGGGCCATGATGTCCTTGTATGTTGCAGGTTGTGAATCAGCCAGCTCGGCGGCGGTGGCAGCCTCGTCCATCGCGGAGTAGTCGGCGGCGGCGGCGAGGAGGATGGCCACGATCGAGCTCAGCAGGCCGGCGATGTCCCAGCATTGGTCGAGATGCAGGAGGGAGCAGGTGGATTTGACGAGGATGGCGGTGGCTACGGTGTAGGCGATTCTGCATGACGCAGAGATGTTAGAGGGGTTGTTACTGTACCATTCTGAAGAGGGGAGATGCATGTCACTCACCTGTTCTGGCTACGGCCCAGCGTCCGTAAGACTGCGTCAAGCTGCATACATAATTGATGCGTCCTGTCGAGCGGGATGGGCAACTGGTTGTATTCGTGCAGGATCCGGGCAAGATCAACCCCAAACTCTTCACAAACAGTAACCCTGCCGGTCAGAAATTCTCCCTGCCCCGCTTGCGAGGCTGCAAGCAATAGAAAAACGGGGATCAGGATTCTGCGGGATGTCTCGCGGTTGAGGACGATCTGGGGGCGCGAACTATTCCTTTCATGGCGCATTAGCGAGTTCCTCGAAGCCAGAAAATGGACCCTACCAGTTCTGAGGAGTGAGGTGGTTCTTGCATAAGAGCAACCAGAGTAGAGAAGTCAGCACAGAGACGATACAAGTCAACAGCCACCAGAGACACCCAGTCCAAGTGGTTTTGTCTGGACAGAAGCGAGCACGCGTAGCCCCGCGAGTGTGCTTGTTCGAACCCTGGGATGCTGAATCGGACTCGTAGGCAGAGTCAGCAAACACAAACTCATTTGTCGATGTGATCATCACGCAGGTGTCTCCTGGGTAGGACGCAGGCATTTGCTGGTGGGGCATAGTCAGTTGTACTTGTAGAGGTAAAGAAGAAAAAAAGGCAATACAGAAGAAGGTGGATATGTGAAGATGAGAGATTGAAGTGAAGAGATGAGGTGAGTGTTGCTTTGTCATAGCTTTCACACTGACCATCGACAGATTATCGCTTCCTTGTTGTTTGGACCACTTCCAGTATAGCCCTCAACTGCAATGTATCAGGTTCTGTCCGACTTCCCGTCCCCTCCTGCACGCTTCAGCATCCTACGTACTACCAGTAATTTACGAGATATACCTTTCGCTAGCAAGCGTGGGACTATCCGGAGAGAAAGAACTTCCGATTCATAACATGTACATGAAACTCGAGGACACCACCACGCGGCTTGTCACTTGAGGATGGTTTTGCAAGTCAACACTGAGCTTTACCTTTTATGCAACAGTTATTAAACATGAACATAAGGATATAGCAGGGTCCAGCCCCAGGAGCACACACGCTAATCCGCAAACCAGGCCCATACAACAGAGGTCACTTCAGCTACAGCCGGGCCATCGGATGCGTCTCACGACTGTCTCCCAGTGATTTGGCAATGTTCCGACTAGCCCAGTCAGCGATCGCCATATTAGTGATCATGGGGTTGACACCGCTGGCACTAGGGAACACTGATGCATCCACCACATACAAGCCCTGAGTCTCCCACACTTGACAGTCCGGGTCAACCACACTGGTCTTGGGACTAGCGCCCATCCGACAAGTTCCCATCTGGTGGGCGCTGGCAAACTGTGTCCGCTCGGGCTCAAATGGGACCTTATGAGCGCGCATATCAGCAAGCCACGCTTGGAAGGACGCGTTGTTGGTGCCTTCTGCAGCTTCAGAAGGTGTCATCTCAGGCCGGATGTATGGAGTCAGCTCTCGCCAGGTCGTATGGAATTCCTTGGCGCCAGCAACGAAAGCAATCTTGGCAGTGCCAGCAAGTGCCTCAAGCATATGCTTACGGTCATAGGCAGACACTGTATAGTCAATGCGACATCTCCCATCAACCGGGTCCGGGTACACTCGTCCACCATCTCGGTCCCGAGTGAGTGTGATGAACCCAACCGTTCGCGGCAAATTGAGCACCCACATCTTATAGTCGAGTCCGCCACGCCAAGGGAAGAGGGGAAGGTAGGCGGAAGGCAGCATGGACAGAGCTTCAATCTTGACGCCGTAGCCTTTTCGATCAAGGTTCTCGAATTCGTTGACGACAGTAGTCAGTGCAGATCCTTCCCAAGGTCGAACCTCTTCATTGAGGACGGCACCCGCAACAATCACTGGCAGTACAAGTTAGCTAGCCTTTCGAGAAAATCTCAATAAACAATAACATACCGGGATGAAGGTGAAGATTGCGGCCAATTTGTGAGTTCTTCAGCCCACTCCGCTTGAGAAGCAGAGGGCTTTGCAAGGACCCACAGGACACTACCACGCGTTTTGCATTGATGACCACTTTTCGCTTCACCGCACCATTACCCGACGCCCCCAGGTACGAATCTCTTGAGGTCCAAGTCCCCTCCACACCCGAAGCCACCGTTCCATATGGCTTTTTTTCGAACAAAATCTTGTCTGCGCGGAATCCTTCGATGAATGTAGCCCCTCCCCGAGAGGCGTCGGCGAGGAACGTCTCCGTGGGACCTTTCTTCCCACATGTGTGGCAGCCCAGAGTACAGTAGCCGCAATAGTGCGGGCCATGACCTGTGTTCTGGGGCACCGACTTGGCGGAATAGCCCAATCGGCGAGCTCCCTCAAGGATGAGGCGATTGGCTTTGTTGTGCTCTGTATGCTCGATTCCCACACCCATCCGGTCGCAGACACGATCCAAGCACTTCTGGTACTCTTGGCTTGTGAAGAATGGAAGTCCATTGTTCGCCCACTCCTCTCGCACGTATCCTTGTGTCTGCAACGCAGCGGACCAGTTGACTGTGCCACCGCCACCCCAGGTGGAACCTGCCAGAATAGCCGTACATCCATCATCGGTGACGATACCGCCTCCTCCCTCAAACATGCTGATAAAACCCTCGTTTGCGGCCATTGGAAAGTGGTCAGACGAATAGTAGTATGACTTATCCACGACAATCACCTTGTAGCCCGCCTCGGTGAGATTCTTCGCCGCGACACTGCCACCACAGCCACTCCCGACGATGACGACGTCTGTCTCGATGATTTCAAGGTCCTCATTCGGGGGGAACTGTAAGAACTCATACTTGAAGCTGTCCACAGGCTTGCCATAGACTGGAACACGCGGAAAACCGATAGCCAGGTTGAGCGTTGGGCTAAATGTGATCCAGGTCTTTTTGAAAATGTTGGATAGAGCCCGGTAGATAGCTCGAAGTGGTTTAATCCGAGCGGTCTCCCAGCTGCGGAAGATCTCCTCACGCACATCAACAGGCTGGTCTCGAATCAGGATCACTGATCCTGTCAGGAGGAGGGAGCCAGGCCGTGTACTGTAGAACGTGTTAGCTCACGAGCCTCTCCGATGCGGATGATACATACTTCAGGGCATTCAGAATAAACTTGATGCCGTTCAACCCCTCGTCGTGGACATAGACCGAGAATAGACGTTGCAGTCCCTCTCGAAACGTGTTATTCGAGGAGGCAGACTCCCGTAGATACTGGCCGGCAATCGTAGCCGCATCAGGGCCAGGGATCTTGGAGGTTAGGATTGTACGAGCTCGCTCCATTTCTTGGGATGTGACAATCTTGGTCGCCTTGGACTTGTAAGCGACAGGGGAGCGGATGGACGGAATCACGGTGTCAGCTAGAGCCAGAAGGGTCCTCCATTGTGTCGAAGTGAAGACCGCTCGAGTGGGTACAGCAGGAAGGGCAACATCCAGTGGGACACGTTGCTCTGTGTTCTCAGCAGCCATGGTGATGGTTGTGCGGTAGTCGTGTGTTTGATTAGGAAAAGGGTAGAGGAATAACGATGAGTTATAGAGATAGTCAGATGGCGATAAAAAAACACGCAAGGTGTATGGGGGTGACAGAAGTCAGGATCCTTGAAGACAAGAACTCGAGACCCTGGTTTCGAAGGCTTCTGGGCCCTCAGCGTGGCTTCCTTCGCTCGCAACTTTGAGAAGGGCAAGTGACGCCAAAGGAGGAGGAACGAGGCGGAAGGGAGAGGGGGGTTTTTCAGGAAGGAGAGTGGAAAGTGTCCACGGCGTCCGAGGTCGAGGTTCGGGTCCAGGTACTACCGAGTAATAAGAGCTTTTCTTAAGAGCAATCCCAAGGCTCCGTAATTAAGTCTAGTTAGGGGCCAGAGCTGGAAAATGGGCCGACAGTCTTGAGCGAGTGGTGGGTGGGAACTCGAAGAGGGGAGCGAGTGGGTCGGCGCTGTACGATCGACATGCGGACCCATACTAACAATGTGAGAATGAAACTCTGGCGCTCTTCGATGCGGGGAAACTGGTATAGCCGAGTAGTTTGGTTGCGTGGTACCACGTGAATTGAGCTATATGCCGTGAAGAAGGTCTATCAGAGCGTTGCGCTATGAACGGGTGAGGTTTTAGGCAGAGCCATCCACCCCGCGCGAATCCGTGGGACCTCGGCTGGGTCTGGATGGGGAGTTGGGGAGTTCATGGTGGAGTCCTGCAATGCGAACAGAATCGGAGTTCGTATGTGTGCCATGGTTGAGACTAAGCTTATCAGGTCGAGATAAAGGACCCAGCTGGGTGAGATTCGAGAGAAACGGAACCATGATGGCTGAGTGAGGTGGTGTATCCTCCGCATGAACCGCTGGAGTTCCCGAGCTCGTGACCGGCCTACCTCAGTACACACATTGACTTGGTGCTTAGTAGGTATAGAAGGTACTGTACAGTACTTTTCCTGTCACCCATTTAACCTCAACCAACTTGACTGATCAGTTTGACAGGAGTCTCAGCAACTTCTAAGGGTCAAAGGATCTAGAATTCTGAACCCTCTCTAAATCATAGGGAGACTTTCTATTGCTGACGGGTAACAGGAGCAGATGAGCTAGCATTTACTAGGGAGTCTTGCTGACCGTTTCACATAGACTCATATCAATGATGGAAGTACGAAAGATTCAAATGATCCCTACCTCGTACTGAGCATCGGACTCGAAACCTGCAGTGAAAGTGAGCGCATGTCTTCCCCGGACAAGAACCGAGGTAAATTTAAACTAAGCTCAGTAGGGAATCGTCCGCCCCACCCCCAGTCAGCGTGGTTTGCACCGTTTGTCTGCGATCGCAATCTCACCCAAAATGCCATGCCTTGCGATTAGCATTTCACCTGCCAATGTTTCACTAGCCATGATGTGATCCTGCGATTCAACGCACATTGCCTTCAAACTCTTGGCCTTTCCTGCGCCTCTTCTGCACCGTGCGACCGATCTGCGCAATTGCCTTGACCCGACGATTGCAATTCGTGCCCACCTACCCATACCCACCGATGACCACGTCCCTTATCGCGTCCAAGGATCCATCCCTCCCAAAATCCGCGGCATACCTACTAACTCTTCTGCACGCTCAACCATACAATAACAAGAAGTCACAATGTCGGGCGACTCTGGGCGGGCGATGATCAGCCCGTCGATGCGGCGCAGTCCCAAATCCAACCTCCCGCCAGAGAGGGTCTTCTCCATACAAATCGGGACGGAGCTATTTCGCCTGTCTGGGGCATCCATTGCGTCTGATGGTCAGTCTGCTAGATAGTCCCCAACTCACGAACCTTATCTAAATGTCCGTAGCTCCATCCTACTTCTCTCAGTTCTTTGAAGAACAAATCCGCCAAAACGGTGACAGTCCCAACATCCGCACCCTATACATCGATCGCGACCCGACCACGTTTAAAGAGATCGCCAAACATCTGCAGGGTAGGGCCGATAGTTCTGTGTCGTCGTGCCTGTACGCAAGTTAATTGATTGAGGAGGATAGGATACCACATTCAGCCCACAGACGGGTCCCAATTCGTCAAGTTCTTCGCCGATGCTCAATTCTACAGCTGTGAGTCGGCCTTCTGGCGTGGAAACCTTGTTATGCTAACGGTCGCAGTACCACGCTTGATCTCCCAGCTATTCGAGTCACAAATCTTCATCCAGATCGGCGATCGCAACTTCCAGATCCCCCGCGACATCTTCTCCGGTCCAGGCGACTCGCCGAATTTCTTCACGTTGGGGTTCGCCGCCTTCTTCGCGTCGCCCGTCGAAGTGTTCCCAGGACTCGAACGCCACGGTCTCCTCCGGCCCCCGGCCATCACACCCCCCAGCGTACCGAACCGTTCCGGGGAAGTCTTCGCGCAGCTTCTCCACCTCCTGCGGGGCTACCCTCTGCGAATCCGAAACGAGGAGCACCGCGCGGAGCTCCTGCGGGACTGTCGCTACTTCCACCTGCGCGGCCTCGAGCAGAAGATCATCCCCCACCACATCAGCTTCAATCCGATCCTGGGGCGCGACGAGATCATCATCCGGCTCGAGGACGTGCGCCGGTCCGGGGTCCACCTCGAACAGGGCGCCAATGCCTGCGACAGCAGCTGGGTGCGGTACTCGCGGCCGTTCCTTGATGAGAAGAAGTACGACCTGATAGTCGAGATCGGCGACGAGAGCACCATCCTCGACCTGACCACCAAACACCCTACCTTCCTGAACCTCACCAAAACCCGGGTGACAAGTCTGCTGCAGATCGTGGCGAGCAAGAAGCTCGCGGAGCTGGGCGAGGTCGCGATCAAGGACGAGCAGATCTGGTTCGTGACGGGCCCCGATACGAGTCTGACGGTGGATGGGGAGCAGACGAGTTACCAGGATGTTCTAGGTTACTCGACGACCCCAGGCGCAGACAGTTCGTCGCAGGAGTCCCCGAACAAGCGGAGACGAGTGGAGGAGCCCTCCAACAGCCGGGTCTGGGTCGTGCGCAACGGCCAATGGCGGATCTGTGTGCGGCCCAGCGTGAATCAGGGCAGTCTGGACTTTCTTCTGAGGGCGGTCCAGTTGGATGTATATACCCAGGAGACCGTTCGCAACCGGAGTCGACCATTCTTAGGGAGCTCAGGGGTTGCATGAGGTACTATGATTATCTGCACTGTACATATCTGGATGAGGTAGTTAGAGCTCCTATATACATCTAATCCGAGAACCCAGCCCATTCATCCTCGCTGTTGTCTTCGTTTTCGTCATCTTGAGCCTCGTCATCTGAATCCGACTCGTCGGAATCTTGTGCATTACTGTCTTGATGCACTTGATCGTCCTCGACATGGCCATTGGCGCTTTCAGCCTCAGCCACGACCTCATCGTCTCCATCGCGCACAAACCCAGCAATGAAAAAGCCGCCGGTGCCTTCATCATCACCGGGCCAACAACGCAGACAACCCTCCAGCACCTCATCCGAGAGACCGAGATCGCCCACCTCGACTTGAGCAGCACCACCTGCAGCAGGCTTCTCACTCCGCACCCCACGATGCTTCCACTTCCGCATCCCCTCCGGCTGCTCATCCCTCCGCATGATCCTCCACCCGCGTCTCTTCGCCACATCCGACGCCAGAATCCTGGCCACCACCGCCTCGTTCTCCACCATATGCACCGAGCACGTACTATACGAGACCCTCGTCGCCGCCGGAAAGTGCAGGGCATGCTCCACGATCCTCGTCTGCAGATTGGAAAGCTTCTGCAGCCGCTCTGGGCCCATATGCCCATTGGCAGGCAGATCGTTCTCGTCCTCCGCCAGCGCGGCCTCGTCCTCCTCTGCGTCAGGGAGTTTCCTCTCCTCCCGACCCTCATCATCATCCTGTCTCCGCTTCCTCTTCTTCCCATTCTGCCTCTCATTCCTACCATCATTGCCACCCACCTCCGGCAAAACCAGCGTCGGCACATCATCTCTCCCCAAAATCCCACTCCCCGAACAACTCGGATCGAGCAACAAACCCGTCACGCCCTCGAAGCGCTCCTCCTCCGGATCCAGCGCCAGGAAATCCTGCCCGGGCAACACCGTCACCAAAGCATCCGCCCCCGCCGTGGCCACCATCTTCTGAAGCGTCTTGGCGCGGACCTGCGACTGATCCATAGACCACACCCTCTTCCTCTTCCTCTGCCCTTCCCCGAGGGGATGCTTGCAAAGCAGCGAAGCCATATGCGTAGTCTTATTCCCCGGGGCGGCACAACCATCCAACAACTCCCCACCCTCCCACCTCCCATCGCCTACCAGCAAATACGCCGGAAAACACGACGCCTTATCCTGGAGAATGATCTCCCCACGCTTATAAGCCGGTGTGACTGTCAGATCCACCCCCTGCGCCACGGCCACCAGATCGGGTACATGCTGATCCAGATAGATCTTCTTACCGGCCGTGAGCGCCGCCTTTTTGGACACGATGCCCCCAAGCTCCACCAGCGACCCCACAACCTCATACCCCTTGAACGTGGTGGCGAGTTGCTCGGCCAGCGTCGTCCGCACGTTGTTGACCCGCACCCAGCGCGGGTAGACCGCTGTCGCAGTGACCGTGGGATCCCCGCCGGCAGCGACGACCTTCTCGCAGCGGATGGCTTCGCGCAGGGCGTCGACTGTGGCGCATCCGCGCCGGACGCGCGCCTTGGTGAACTCCCCGCGCAGGCGGGCCTTGTGACGCTCGATCGCTTGGCGCAGCGGGTGGGTGGCTTTGGCGGCGATGCCGGATTTGGCGAGGAGGTGGTCGTGGACGAGGAGGAGGGCGAGGAGGGGGGTTAACTTTTGCGGTGGTGGCGTCAGTATACTCTTGTAAACAGTCGCAGACACTAAGGACAGAAAAGCATGCGCGGTTTACCCGCGCATTAATTTATATAGCAAGAAAAGGGGTTCCTACCTTAGGTTCCAACTTCAAGATCCCCGCCTTCTCGATAACCTCTTTGAGGAGGAGATCCCATTTCGAGGCTTCGATGATCAGGGCGTAGATCTGCGCGGGCGAGGCCTTAAGGGAGCGGGCGTTGTAGAGGCGGGATTTGAAGGAGCCGCCGGTGGCAGGGCCTGTGAGGATGCCCACCGCGTCGTAGTAGAGGGACATCTCTTTGCTCTGGGGATGACTTGATCCTTAAAAGTGGAGAGTGCTGGGATGAGGAAGGGCGACGCTGGATAAATTTTGGTGTTTGCATTGTTTGTTTGGGGTCTGTATACTGCACTTACTCCGCGGGTTGTTGTTTTCACCCCCTATCAAAGGACCTACGATTTGGATTGCTAATTATTTCTAATGCTCGCCCTTAGAACTCCGTAGACAGAGCCGTAAAACAAGGGACTATACTGAATAGAAGGAGTGGTCGAACCCCAACCAACCCTCCAGCCCAAAATCCGGAGGTGACCGACCTTATCACCTCCGCTCCGCATCTCCGCCCGCACCTGCATCCAACTTATCAGTTTGCAGACAGTTCTCCCGATTACGGGGGGCAGCACTGACTCACTTCATCTCACTCTCACCCTCCTTCACCCTCAAAACAATCTCACCAACACATATCCCCTTCCCTTCCCTTCCCGTCCCTTCCCTCCAGTATAAAACCCACCAGGTACGCAACACCCACCTCCCCAAGCCTCTCCAACCCCCGAAAGAAAAATCCTAACACCCCTCCAGACCCTCGACCCTCAACCACCAACTACAAACCACCAACCCCTCCCCCTCAATCAACCAAACCACAGCAAACCACAAGGAACCATGCCCTTTACAACACACCTCCTCCCCCCGCCCGCCCCAAACTCCAAGGGCACCCCGAAATTCACCCTCCCCACCCGCACCACCCCAGACCCACCCACCAACCCGCGCCTCCTAACCGACGCCCTCACCATCCGGCAGACAGTCTTCATTGACGAACAGCACTGCAGTGCCGAGGAGGAGATCGACGCCGACGACGGCCGCAGCTGGCATTGGGTTGTTTACCACACCCCGGAACCAACCGCCTCCACCCCCGCCGGGGCACACCCCCCGAACCAACAACCTCCTCAAGCAGACGCAACGGAACGCAGCGATCGCACCCCCGTCGCGACGATCCGGCTCGTTCCGCCGCCGAATATCCACGAGCATCACAATCACAATCGCAACGGAACGGGGAACGGGGATGGTGCGGAGCAAGAACAAGAACAAGAACAAGAACAAGAACCCTACATCAAGTTGACGCGGGTGGCGGTGCTGCGCGAGTATAGGGGGTATGGCTTGGGGCGAGCGGTGGTGGAGACGGCGTTGGCGTGGGCGAGGGAGCATGCGCGGGAGATTGATGCTGCATCTGCTGCTTATGCTTCGGTAGAGGGGAAGGAGAAGGATGGAGCGGGGGTGGTGGTGGCGCGCCCGTTGTGGAATGGATTGGTGCTGGTGCATGCGCAGACGCAGGTGGAGAAGATGTATGAGCGGTGTGGGTTTGTGACTGACGAGGGGATGGGGAGGTGGGACGAGAATGAGATTGAGCACTTGGGGATGTGGAGGAGGCTTGTTCTGGAGTAGGCATGTAGAGGTTCCTTGCAGAGTGAGTGGTGTGTACAGCGAGAGTTTACGATGGGAGTAGGAGTTTGTAGATGCTCCTCTATAAAGGGTGTGGTGTGTACAGCAAGACTTTACAACGAAGTAGACTAGAAAATAAGATTCTTGGATATTGTTCATTCTTGTTGAGATCTAACTCTTGTGTATTGGAAGGTCGGGTTGATAAACACCGTACCACGAAGCAAGGGAAAAAAAAGATCGCCGCTCGTAGCAACATGACGGGGTATCCTAAGCATAAGGAGACAAGCAGATTGAAGACAAACACCTCCGCCTCTCTGACGATCATGAGAAAGGAAGAAAACACCACAAGACAAGCAAAGTAACACAAGGTCTTCCGAAACTCCGCACAGTAACACCGAAAAATGGATCCGAAATAAACGACAGCAGAGAAAAGATATGTTCTAAAACAGGTATGTACGAAGTGAAGTGAAGTGAGGTGGGCGTCGGTCAGCATGAATCATTGTGGAAGCCGACAACCCCTCGTGTATGGGCATGTTCATTAATGCGTGAAATCGTGGTCGTTTCAGAAAGTGCTCCAGTTCCAGCCGCGAGGGACGCTGGCCGCGATCTCGGTGGATTGACCGGGGACACCGTTCAATGCAGCGGCCTTGAGGCTCTCGACCGGCGAGGGCTTGGTGGCTAGAGAGACAGCGCGGTCGGCTTCGCCAACGGTACCGGTCTGTGCATCGAGCTGGGTCTGGATCTTGGTAAGGCGCTCAGTGCGCGATTCCTCCCAGCGCGAATACGCGCTCCAGCAGAGATCGCAGGCACGCGACGGGACACCCTCTGGGTGGAAGCGGGCATTCTGATCGAGAGGGACGACATAGGGGGGTGTGGGAGGAGCAGAAGACATGGCCGCAATGGCGACAGTGGTGGCGACGCAGGAAGATGCCGAAGGAAGAGCGACAGGTGGGAGAATCGCAGTTGGGAGAAGCAGAGTCGGCCTGAAGGAAGATCGTTGTTAGCTTAAGTTCGAGCGGATGATGCAGGGGTGCGATGGCGTCATGTCGATCACGCGATGATTCGCAATGGCACGCCTTGCGCGACAGTGCGCCGCAGGCACGCCATAGTGACTTTATAAAACAACCGATCGCCCACCCAGACAGAGAAGGGGAAGAGATACTCACTTTCCAGTGTTCACGAGTAGGCTGGCCGGTCACCTCGCCAAGGTCTTCTTTCTTCATCCACTCATCCTCAGCCAGCTTGCTGACAGTCGAGCCACTGCTGTAGCTTTCCATGGTGGAGCGACGAGTAGCCGGGACGCCGATCTCGCCCTCAGTCAGGCTGTCCAAGGAGCCGTGGACACTGCGGGGAGGAGAAGGCGGGGAGACTTTCTGAGTAGCGTGGTCGTTGTTGGGGCGCAAAGCAGCGGGGACATACAAAGGACCCTTCAATGGACGAAGCTGCTTGCTGTGGAGCGGAAGGTACTGCTGCTGAGGCGAGGCCGGAGAGTTGTTGGCGGAGTTGTTGGCGGTGGTATCGGCGGAGTTGATAGGGGTAGGTTGACCGTAGAGGGAGATTTGATTACCCGCGAGAACGGGAGAAGTGGTAGTGGCGGTAACAACGTGGGTGGCCATTTCGGGGAAACTATGATATCACCACAAGTTTCGGAAATGCGATTAGGGTTGAGAGTTTGATATGACAAAAGGCGGTGGAGAGGAGAGAGAATGCACGAGATAGATATGGATATGAAAAAATCGCTTCAAGGGATATCAAGAATCGAAAGGATGGGAGGTAATTAAGTATGGAGAGATCTTGACGGTTTCGGGTGATGGTAATGACAAGGACGGGGGATGATCCAGATAATGATGTTGAGTGATGTTAAGGGTTGGTAATGAGTTTAGATCGAGCACACGATTTTCGACAGAGAAGCTGGCTGGAACCAAAGAAGCATCGCAGTGGCACGCAGGAGACGCGGGTTGATAAAGTTCGCTATGACGAAGGCAATCTGAGGATAAGCGCTGATAGACAGATGCTAAGACGAGACCGGTTGTGGATAAAATTGGTTTTGGTTTGGTGGAAGGTAATGGTGGTGGTGGTAGTGGTGGTATAGAAGTGTAGTAACCAGAGATCAAGTTGATCAAATAAACTTGGAAGGAGGTGGTATTGGTATTATGTATCCAGCACTATCACCAGTGCAGTTGGGAAGTAACACTTCAAATCCGGAGAGCGAAGGGGGGGGATGACCCGGATACTAATATAGTTCTGGGTGTTCTGTATTCTGCGGGTTGAGGTTGGGAAATTAATTTATTATTAAGGTGGCTCTGTTTGGACGGACGGACTACAACTGCTCTCTTTCACTGTTTCTTGCTGTGTCTCTCTTGTGTCTCTCTCTTTAGTCTAACATTTTGCCATGCCTGCCTTGTGGAGATGCACGCTAGCGGGTGGAAGTACCAAAATAATTTAATTTACCAGGAAAACATAAAATCAATTAAAATAAAATAAAAATCATAAATAAAATAAATTCAACAGGCGGGTAAGCTAAACGAAAGTCGGCGGCGAGATTACCATTGGGGGAGAAAAGAGTAGAGAGGGAGGGGAGGGGAGGGATCAGCATCTTTTTGGTGGCTTTTTACTCGATAAAAGGTTGAGGCTAGAAAGTCCCGAAGAAACAGCAGCCGGTGGAGCCGTTGGAGGCGACTCTTTCCCGTCAGAATTACCCTATTCATCATCCACATCGGACTCACCATGCTTCGAGTACATACTCATGTACATACATGCCAATCAATGGCATCAATCCCCAGTCGGATAATATACAGGCGCCTGCAGGAAAAGAATATCTGCAAATCTGACGCTGACCACCTCCTCCCGGGGAAGTAGGAGGAAAGGGGAGAGGGGAGGGGGAAAGAAGACCCAAAGTGAGAAAATTACCCCCTGAGAGTGATACTGCACCTGATACCCGGGAAACTGTACATCACTGCAGAGGTTGTAACATACCAAACAACCTACTGGCTACTCAGTATAGCGCCCTCCCGATCGGAAGCATGCCAACCACACTATTCCTAAACCAGCACGGCTTTTTACCGAGGATGGCCCTGAGATGAAGGGACGGATGGATAGTCAACTAGTTAACCTGGAACTGATCGGATGCAACTGTTACTTGTTCTATCAGCATGAGTATATCCATCCGTCCTTGACTGTTAAGTCCTTGACTATAACATCACTCGCCAGCCTGGATGTAGTCTTGCACATGTATAGAAGTCCCAAGCAAGGCACAGGAGTTAGTAGAAGACAACCAAAGTGACAAAGTACGACAACGACTGGTCCAGGTAACCAGCAAGTAGTCTTCTCATTCCTCTACCATCCGTCGGATCTGAGGAACTGGAAGGGCTCAATCAGGGATGGATGCATCCATTGCCAACCAGTCCTCTTTTTCCGAAGCAGTCAAGTCATGATGACAACCGAATCTAATTCCTTCTTCCCCCTCCTCTCTTTCCCCGTGTGTCCCCCCAGTCTTCTTTCTTGACCGCCTCTTACAATCATCCCATCCCATCCCCCCTATCAGCCTCTTGCCCAGTCCCTCTAATTACTCACATTCTCACGATGAATCATCGATCAAGCCGGTGGTATGAGAATCAAGTATGCATCCCGGTCTTGTGGCAACCAGTTAATCAACCCTGAACCGACAAGCATGATAACTTTCCCCTTCAGGCGATCTCCATGCTCTGCTCCTGTCTGTTTCCCCACTCGTCCTCAGATGGATCATGGATGGAAGTGAAGGGGTTCCATCTTTTTTCCATCTCCAAAGTTCAAACCCACCCTCAGTCACCCACCAACCTCCCCCGTGGAGCGGTTCTCTACCGCGCTCCTACCAAGCTGGAACGCTACATTTCGGCGGCTACCGGTGAAATCAGAATAGAGATGGTGCTGGTTGGACGAAGAGAAGCCGGAAAGTAGCCCCACTGCAACCTCGGCTCCACTCGAGCGTCCGCCTTAGCAAAAAGCAGTGACCGCAGAGGGTTACTCTGTTAGGAAGAGTTCACGAGACCACCATCTGGCATCGTGTACTGTACTTCCTGTATAGCCTACTAGCTACTCCGTACACACCAACCAACTCAACCTCGAGTGATTATGGCTACTATAGCACGGGCTTGGAATTGCATCCTTTCTGTCGCCGACCTCACTATCTATCACCCTCCCCTTGCAAGTGGCTCACTCTATTACTTCTTCCTGCTCGGCAAGGACACGGGCAATCTGGCGGTGACAGACCGACTAAAGTCGTACTACCTAACCCGTGCCAATCAATCCGGTCGGATAAGGATTGGAGGATAGATGCAAATGAAAATGAAAGAGCTTCGGAAGCCGTGGAAGTCCCAATTCAATCTACATCACACTAGTTCGGAGGGCCGGAACTGGTACGGTCCACCTCTTGCACGGTGAAATTGAAGCCGGTACCCAATGACTGCTGCGGACGGCCATTCCCAATGCAGCGGATCTTCCTGAGCTCGCCTGCGGATTGGCGACTTGGACCAGCAGCTTATCGCTACACGATCATTGGCCCTGATCCCCTTGCCACGTTGTTATTGGTCAGTGCTCTCCGACCAGCACGGACAGACCCCGAAAGACGCTGGACTCAGTCTCCAGGCCCGCAGACTGGACAGTCGCCGCCTCTCCAGGGCGATGTTCCCGCCGCCGCAACATCGGGCAAACTGGAACCCGCCTGGAGTCGATTATGTAACGGTTATGACTGTCGCGGTGGCTTCATTTCCTTTTTGGGCTAGCTCTTCCGTTGTACCTCGGCCGTTGAGGGTTCGACTTGTCTGCTTTGAGTGCTCTCCAGCTTCACTCAAGTCACTCTCACTGCCACTGACTCGCTGCAGGCGGATCTTTTGCTGACCGACCGTTGAAATTGGAGTTCCTCGACGCCTCTGCACGGGATCCAAGCCCTGTCAACGTACACCCTACGACGGACAGAGTATAGGTCAGCTGGGCTCACTCGCGTACCTGACAGCTCCCGGACAGATAATTGACCCGTCTGCGACTCCCTCGTCGAGTCGTCCTGCAGTCTGAAACAGCATCCGAAATTGAAAGTCGTTCGGGAAGCCGCTACGGCGAGTCTAAATTGGTCAGGATTTCACTAGTTCTCTCATCGGGCTCGCTGGTTGGTGCGACCTGCAGCCATGGCTGTAAGACATCCGCCGCCGTACAGGTGCAGTCAGCCCCGGCACTGTCGGCCATCGCATTGAGTAGCTTCGACAGTCACTTACTAGGTACAATCATTATTCAGTTGCCCTGTCAGGGCAGTCTAGACTACTCCTCCTACTAAGGAAGCAGCCTGGGATGTTCATGTACACACTGCAGGATCCGAACTAGCCTGTCCTGCCAATCGCCTTGTCTTCACTTGCAGGGGCCAGGAATCATGACGACAATGGCGTCTATACATCGCAGGGATGTATGCGACAGGAACTATAGTTCGTTCTACTATATGGAAGGCGCTGGAAAGGGCTCCTCCGATGGTCCCAATTTCGGGGCCAACCTGGAACGCAAGTCGGCATGGACGATGTAACAGCAACCGGCAGCTAGATCAGCAGCTAGAGCGCATCAAAAACAAAGCGCGTGTGACGAGGCAGCCAGACGCCCTGCCCAACAATCCATCACCCTTAGGCTGCTAGTCGCTGAGTAGCACAAGTCGCTGAGGAATAGTGCCAAGGCCAAGCATTCTGGCAGTTGATCTATAAATCAACTGCCTGCCCCTATGAAAGCACAGGCATTTTCGATGATCGCCCTAACTCATTTTGAATTGGACGAGAATCAATTTCCCGGCCCAAGGAGAATGATCTCCACGACGCTTTCTCAGAAGTATACTACTACGGAGTAAACGCGTACGGCATTGTATCAAACCGGCCGGATTGCTAAAGTAGAAACCTAAAAAAGGCACTCAACCACAGAAAACCCCTCAGGTTCTGGTTGAAGATGGCTAAGATGGCTGGAGACTTCGAACAGCGACGACTCCCGGTGAGGGTGAAGGGGACGAAAACAGACCGAAAAGTCTCCGGGCCATTTTCTGTCTGTCTCGCCTTCTCCAAATTGGAATTCCCCAGCAACCCGTTCTTCGCCTCCCGACATCAACTGCCAGCAGGGCCCGGAACCATGGTTCGAAGGTTGATGCTAAGGAGAGACTCGGGGGGAGGATCTCCGTCGATCCATCCTAAATCAGTAATCTCGTCGAACGCTCGTCGAAGGGCTCCAAGGGCTCGAAGCCCGCGGCTTCCCCCCCCCCCTCGCCCGTCCGGTGGTCCGAGAAACGATGCTGTCGTTCGAGAGATGGGAGAATCCATGTTTCTTCAAACTGTGAATACGGGGATGGTCCATTTGTTGTTGTTGATCAACGTGGGCAAAAGGTGGCGAAGGGGTCCAAGCTGGATCTTGGGGTAGTTTCGAGTCGATGGAGCATGTTTTCCCTGCGATTGGGAACAATCCGGTCTCCTGGCTTGTTTCTCTTCGCTGAAAATTCGAGTCTAGCGCTCTGCTCTTGCAACGACAATGAAACTAGACGAATGCCTACACCGCACTGTCGTTTCGATGAAGGGCGATTGAGAGGGTGGAGAGAGAGGGCGGCCGCAGGCACCAACAACTAAACAAGCTACTAACTACTCTCAGCGCTAGTATGAATACTGTAGTAGAGCAAAGTAAACAACAATCCACTACGGAACCGACTTGAAGACCACGCAGCAATCAGCATCCAAGACAACCACCCAAGCAGCCGAGCCGAGCACATCAAGCGACCCAGTGAGCCAGACGCCAAGGCTCAGAGAGGAAACTTAGCTCGTGCGCGGAACCTTTTCTTCATTTTGATCCACTTGTCATCTTAATCTTTCTTAACAACCCGCGGACATCCTCATCAGAAAGTGCCCCCCCCCGCTACGAATAGTAACGGTGTACGTATACTACCGTATACCTCGGCTCCTACATCCGTCTACGTGTGATAATGAATGCTTTACTCTTCACAAGCAATCACTGAGATGTCTTGCTGCTCAAGAAGCTCCGCCACACCGTGGCTGAGCTCACCACGCATTCTTTCTTCCGCCCTCTTTCTCCGTACATGTCCCCATCGCGATACATTGCTAAATATACTTCTTCAAAACATCATCGACTACGTAGTCTAGACTCGATTTAACTCTGTCCAAAGTGACAAGAGCAGTAAGGCCGAGTTTATACTCTACACCAAGAAAAATCTTAACAGCGCAAAACATAAATTCAATGGACGGTCTAAGCCTACCTAAGTCTAGCGGTGCAATGCAGTGCAGTTGCAGCCCTGTCAATCATTATTCCTCCCTCGACCGGACCGGTTCAGAATTCGAATCTCGGTCGAGAGAAACAGAGAGGAAATTCTGAGATCCCAAATGCGTGAGATTCTCGATTTGGTTTGGCGCGAGATGATTTCCGCTAGGTTGGTTTGGGATTAACCTGCGCTTCTGCCAGATGGTGCAGTTCTAAGGATTGAAGTGGAGTAGGGGGAGGGGGGCGATGGGTTTCTTCTCTGGTTGTGTTTGTTTGTTTGTTGCCCGCATAGTATGTATGCTACGGAATATGTAAGTGTTTGTTTTTGGTGGTTGGATTTGTTTTTTTTTTTTTTTTTGCTTCGGCTGGCTTTTGGAGGGTGTTAAAGGAAAACTCGGGATGGGTGGGCTATGTGCGTATACCAGCTCTTTTTTTGAACACATACCACCTCAAATACGGAGTACTCGGATAAGTGTACGTGGTCTGTTTCGGGCGTTGTGCTGGGGGAGGGAGGGGAGGGGGGCCATAATTTAATCAGATGGAGGGGTGTCAACTTTCAAGAGGTCAAAACGGGTCGAGAGAGAATTTGGGGAATCGGGGATTGGTCGGGTGGGGTGAGAGCCCAGGACAGAGGGGTGCGCACTCGCGCACTGCAGTTGTTTACTACAGTAAGTTACCGTACATCATTGTGCCTTCAACGTTTGTCTGGGATGGTCTCGTCTAAGACTTCCTCAGACAGAGGAAAGGGGAAGTGCTATCCGCAGTGCGGCGTCGTCGGGATTTGATATTGCCAGAGCCGGGAGATCTTCCCCGTGGTACTCCGTACAGTATTCCGTACAAACATTCCTTTTCCTTTTTGGTTTCAGTAATGGATGAGACGCTTCAGATTCTCGGCGATCATTCAGCCAGCAGTGCTCCATGGGTTTGCACATGCAAAGCTTAAGTCTACGAGAGTACTCCGTACTTCGTACTTTCTACCCCGAGCTTGATGCCTGAGCCCTTACTTGCAGTGATGCACATACCTCGATGCGCATGATTTACATAGTTTGGGCCCGTGTACCCGTACATGGATCAGATTCGATATATCAACATCTTCCCAAAGCCACAGGCAGCGGCCCTTTCAGCAGCAGTAGCCAGAGATTGTATGGAATGTGCAGCTCACAGTATGCATCTATCCTATTTCAGTGGCAAGCAGGAAGATGAGTCCATTCGGTTTCTCCTGAATATGTTTGGATCTCGATCAGCTGGTGGCTACCTTCTATTCTACGGAGTACTCCGGGCAGGACCTTAGGTACCTCTCAGTACTTGCGGTGTTGGCCAATGACACCGCCACCCGTGATGGAAATGTGGCAAAGGCATCCACCCGCCCACCCGTCCTCATGGCTGTGTCTTCACCGGCCGCTCATCGATCACCTGACTGACCTCCCCGCCGCCACGATAAGGCATAGCAGCGGGGAGGAGACTCTCTCTAATCGCAATCCCCGGGCGCCTCAGTGGCGGCGGGGTTCGATTCCATGTTCTCCAACCTTGCCTGTCCCGAACCAAAGTGGACTGTTGTTATTCAATCAGATTGTTGTTAGCTAAACCTCAGCTCTCACCGAAGTCATTCCAAGAACAGTCCTTGCCACCTCTACGCAGCATACGCTCATACGATGAGAATGGGGTTGATTGGGGAAGTTCATCGATTGCCCCTTCAGGTCACCGACCCAAGGCTCTGGGGCCTGGGGTGCAATGTCAGTTCCCCCTTCCATGATCACCCCAGATGGCATGTATCAAGAATCAGTTTGAAAGGATGAGCGGTCTCGGGTTTGTTTGAGGGGTCGATCTGCAGCGCACGGAATGCAGGCGGGGTAGAGGGCGCGGCTTGCGAGTACTACTGTACTGTATGTACATCGACCGTCTCTGCGTTGTCGGGATGAGGGGGATAAGAAAGTCTTAACCAACAACACAGGCTAACACGATGCCGGTTTCCTAATCATCGACTTGAGGGTGGTTTTGCCGAAGAAATCCCTATGCTGACGGTCTGGTTCTCACAGCTAAACCTATCTCGCTGCCGATGACGCCAGGGTCCCTCCATTACTGTTATCTATGGCGTCAGTCAAGATAAGATCGCATCGCGAACCCCACTCAAGGCACATATCGTCTCACAGCTGTGTACCCATACTTCGGAGGCTCTTCAACCAGCCACATCATTGACTCCAACTCGACAGGCTAATTAGGGGTCTCTCACTTCCATACCAGTGGTACTTGGGTACTTCAATTTCCGATCCCAGTAACAATCGGGAACGCTTGCGTCACATGGCACCCTGTCTCCGAGCCGATCAGATACAATGCAACCTGATTGAACACGGACCAGTTCGAAGTCTAGCCACTCCTCCCCCAAGGCCTCAATAGCCTGGACCGACCGTGTCAAAGATCCAATGGCGCTGACACGTGTGCATCTGCAACCCCGAATGTAATCAGTGCGTCATATGAGGGGTCCAATTTGGTCCAAATCAGGATATGGCACCTTCGCGGCCTATAGACTGAGACAACAACCAGTTGCGGGTGGTTGTCGGGCCCAGAACGAGCTGGGCAGCATCGAGGCTCTATGTCGATATCGAGATGCCTCGACAGGAACCGTACCGACTCGACTCTCATGCCTTTGGGAGGGATCGCTTAGGGCGCTTCCGTGACAGCTGACAGTCGATGCACAATCTGGTGTACCCCGCACCTGCGTCCCTGTGCTACTCACATGCGGACTGCGCTGGAGGGGTACAGCATGCCGCCCAACGCGTACCCTGTACGTGAAATGAATATGCAGCTCATAGTCCCGATGGCGTCTTAGCCCCATGACACGTGTGAACCTGGTGTGAATCATGTCTAGATCCCTGTTGATGCCCTAGGACGACAAAATATCGGAACTGTCTGCTATTGATCTCGAAGCGCTGTATGCGCGAATCGCGTTGCGACCGAGGGCAGAGTAGATCGGAGACTGTACAGTCGGACTCCAGGATGACCCTGCTCACAACCCGACGCCGAGCGCGTCGGAGCTTCTTAGTTGTTGCAACCTCCGGCTCAAATGATCCATTTCTCGTATCGACGCCGCATGGCTGTCACCCACCCGATGCCTGCGATATGACTCGACCAGCCCTTTACAGACCGCCATTCGAGGCTGCGATGTCCCCAAGTAATCAGCACGATCCCGTTTGTCCGGTGATTGTGCATCCTTATGACAAATGCTTGATGCGCATGTTATCCTTCGCGTTGAGGTGTCATCGTCGTTCGCGCAGGCTCATGTCAGATTATCCGCAGAATGTATACAAACTACTAGTGTCACCAATATGTTTCGAGTCGAGATTGTGGCTTACAATCAGTCGAGCTGGCTTGATACAAGCGTAAACACGCGAAAGAGATGTTGCGTCTCTATCAGCAGGACGAGGTCATCACAGTCATCCGGTGCAATCTGTCCTCCCTTCGCGTGTTGTTTGACAGCTCTCGTCTGCATCAGCTACGGGTACGATCACATGTCAGTCTGTCGAAGCATTTGCCAACTGGTCGTTGCATCGGCATTGATGACCAGACAGTGCCATTCTTATGTCTGTCGATCGAGAGGTTTCGCCAACCTCGGATATTATGTTAGGTCACAAGCATCTGCCGCCGCTGTCAAAGGACTCCGTCACGGATGGCCGCACACTGACCATCGGCAAGCGACCGCTGTGTTGTTGGATTAAGGATGTTTGCTTCATCCTGCATGCGATGCATTACACCGCGGTGTGCTCATCATCCGATGAACGTGCAGCAGAAAGCAAACTACATTGCGACTCACGGTTCAACGTCAGTGGATAAGCTACGTTCTCAACCTGAGCAGCCCTTGTCGGTAGTCCCGACCACGGCGGTCCCTTGGAAGGACGAGATATTGTCTATTTGCAGGTCGGAAGGTAGGAGCAATGCCAAATTTTATCGTGTCTTCCGAAGCTGGGATGTTTGCTGCTCTCATCGGACGATTGTCTAGGTTTCAACTACCTGTAGGGGGGCGGTATCAAGATTTTTCGTTGTTTGCGACTAATGCTAAGGTCAACGCCAGTTTTCGTCTTCTAGTCTCAAACTTGGGCCAAGTGCTGCTTCATCGGACGGCCCTACACTTTCACCTACTCGTAGCGACTAAGAAAAGAGTCATTTGCAGTCATTCTCTGTCACGGGTCGTCTGTATTGTCCAGAATCAAACAACAAGCGTTGGTCGCAAGCGCTAACAGTGTAGTCGTTCTTCAAGCAGCTGGCTCTCAGCTGCTCCTAGGTGTGGATAGCACTTGGGTGGGGTGATTCGCTGACCATGTTAGAACTTTCTGCAATTCCCCTACCATTCTAAGAGTCTTGGTGTTCGACGAGCAAAACCACTGCGGTCGCGTGACGCTTTGCTCAGTTGCAAAAAGCCTACGATGAAGGTTGGCGGTATTCGGTTCAGGCGTTAGACATTGGGGAGCGCGACATAATGGCTCATTGGCTCATTCTATGTGATCATGAGCAGCAAACTTGACGCAGGAAGCTATTCATTGTACGAAGTTATACCACAGTTGAGTGACCCTCTTTGAGAGTACGGAGGACTCGTTTCGCACGTTGACCGACTCCATGTGCATTTTTAGATCAATGCTGTCTCGGATACCATAGGCGAGCAAGAAAAATCCTTCCGGGGTGTAGGAAGTATCCCCTAGTTTCACCTCGTTCCGCCTACGTTTAGAGGCGAATCCTTCGCGTCAACAATATTAAATATATATCGACCGAAGGACGATACGAGCTCCTGGTTCCGGATTACTATCCGACAGCCTGTATCCTCCGGGTCGGTCGCTTCCGGACCAGAAGCGTGGACTTAGGACAGTCACAGTTGTCGCAATCGCGACTATCCCAAGTTGAATGAGTAGGATCACTCTGGATGTTCAGGCTGACTCTCGTGCTGTTTCGCTGGCTTCAGGTTCTGCGGGGAGCATATCCGAGAGGTTATTGTGTGTAACTCTCAAGACAGAAATCTGCACGAGACCGGAAGTTCGCGCAACAGACCAAGAATAAGCGAAGCGAGGGTCGATTGGGCCATCTAGTCCAGCGACTAAAGGAATAGTAGCCGCAACGGGCCGGGCATAATCTTCGAAAGAGGATGGAATTTCCGCCTCCGGCTTGAATAACCCTTACACCCCTGCTGCTCTGGCTGGGCTAGTTGGATCTAGCACGGCACCGTTCGAGATGGCGCCGGCTCTACATCAGGCGTGCGCAGTCATCATGTTTGTTTCGGACGAGGACTCGGTCTGCAGAATAAGAGCGACCGACTGACCGACCGACCGACCGGTTGGTTGCTGGACCAAGCATTGCTTTTTGATATCTCACCTGCAGGTTGATCAGCTGCAGGTACAAACCCTGGCAGGCACGAGGCCGATGCTCACTTCAACTGGTTAGACCACCAGGAATGAATGCAGCAATGCGATGAAAATTAACTTTGCAGCTTGTCTCAAATGCATAAAGTGTTTAAGTATTAGTGTGGCCCAATCTCCACCGGGGATTGGTCCTACGAATCCACTTGGTTAGTGTTCTGAATTGTCTTACGCCAGCATCCTTTGTAACTCGTTCTTGGTTTGAGGACGAGTTCCTGGAGTATGGAGAACGGAGATTCGTTGACTGCGGCTGGTGGAGCCGGCAGACGGACAATTGAGAGTTTGAGAGGTTTTTTTTTCTCTTTTGCAGCTTGGTTTGGCTTAGAAATGGAGGGTGCCTTGGCTTGGTGTGGGCAACGGCACGCTCCGTCCGGATTTCCGAAGATTCCGTGACCAATTTGAATGTCTAAATGTCTAACCTGTGGTCCTCAGGGACCGGGGACTGATCTGTGCTTTGGGGAGTTGTATGGGGTCGATTGCTGGCCAGATGAGCTCCGGATATTGCTTCTGATAGTACTTACTATAGACAATGTGTAGTGCCTTTGGTGGAATTGGTGTAATATCGGTTGTCGCTTGGCGTGTTCAGCTGATTAGTGGCTGGTTTTTGGGTGGTTGTTGGCTGTTAGACAGCCTGAGGCTACAGCCATGTGTCAGGTTGATTATCCGACAGAACATCTTTCAGTATCTTCTGGATGATAACGGAGGGAGGGAGGGAGTGTCATAGTTGTGAGTCAATTTATGCATGCAACAAATGCATCTGCGAAGAGTCCGTCAGGTGTGTGTCGCGTGCCTGTCTATTCTAGTAGTTGTTAATTTCATTGTTGTTTATTGAATAACTTAACATGCATGATGACTTAACCTGACTTAACCATTCTCATCCATGGCTCCTCCTCATCTTCTTCCGCTTGCATGCTTTACTCTCTCGAATGAGTCGACTCCTACTCTCCATCTTGTCGATCCCTGCCTTCTGCTTCATTCATTTTCATCCATTGGGGCAAAGTTAATATCCTTTAACTTTGGCCCAAGGATGAACTAACCACACACCAAATGGGGAATCCCATACTGCTCCCTCCTCTCGTTGGCTGTCTCTGCCTCCAGGCTCTCTTCCCCCTTGCCGCTCTCCGGTCGTCGTACGATCGAGATCTCGCGCTCTGGCTCTTCTTCCTCATGGTCCTGCAGCCTGCTGAACTTTTCGGCGGGAGGCGAAGAAGTAATAAACCCTGCATGCATTAGTGGAAGTTGAGAAGATTGAAAAAGCAGTCAAGCAAACCAGTCTCTCTCTGCCCCTGGTCTCTTTTCCCTCTTTCTTGTTTGCTTCTTCTCCTTCTTCTTTTGCAGCTTTTCTCTTTTCTTCTTCCTTTGATCGATCCTCTTTCCAGCCTTACGGATAAGATAAGATCTTCCCATGCTTCGCACCTAAACAGCATGGAGCAGCAGCAACACGAGGCCAAGCAATATGCCGGCGATCCCGCGGCGATTGAGTTGCATTCCCCCTCTGACGGTCGTCGTTCGTCCGTCTCGGCCCCCATCAATGCTTCCGGCCACAAGCAGGAGCTGGATCGGAATTTTGGCTTCATCAATATTTGTGGTCTGGCTTTGACCAGTGGAAATACCTGGATCGCCTTGGGTGGGAGTATTGTATGTGTATCTTGTTGGCCGTGGTGGTGGTGGTAGTCGACAGTGGCTGACTGCTATGTACAGGTCACAGCTATCTATGATGGCGGCCCGCCCGGTGTCATCTATGAGATGTACGTTGGTTCTACTGCATGGCTTCAGGTATAAGGAGCAGAAAGCTGACTGTCGCTTGCAGGATCGCTGCCTCCTTCTTCTACTGGTTCATCGCCGCCTCCCTGGCCGAGCTGGCCTCGTCCATGCCATCCTCCGGTGGAGGTGAGTCCAATCCTACCATGAGAGGACTGATAATCAAAGGACTAATAATTAATTTGTTCGCTCAACAGTCTACCACTGGGCAACCATCACCGCTGGTAGATACGGACGTCCGGTCGGCTTCTTCGCCGGATGGTGGAATTTCCTGGCCTGGATCTTCGGCGCCGCATCCACGACGCAGATTCTAGGCACACAGGTGGTGTCGGCGTACGCGCTCTTCCACCCCGAGTATACCATCCAGCGCTGGCACGTTTTCATCGCGTACCTGATTTGCTCGATCGGCTGCTGCCTGACTGTCGCCTTTGCCAACCGGGCGCTTCCCATGATCGAATCCGTCGGCGGAGCGTTGACGGTAGCCGGCTTCCTGATCACGGTGATCGTGTGCGCGGTGATGCCGTACGTCAACGGCCAACCCTACGCGACCGACGACTTCGTCTGGCGAGACTGGCTCAACGAAGCCGGCTACAGCAGTAACGGCTTCGTGTTTTGCTTGGGAATGTTGAACGGAGCGTTCGCCGTCGGCACGCCGGACGTGATCTCGCACCTGGCGGAAGAGGTCCCGCAACCGGGCAAGAACATCCCCATCGGCATGCTGGCACAGTACGTGATGGGCTTCTTCACAGCGTTTCTCTACCTCATCGTCATCTTTTACGGGATCACGGACCTGGACGCCGTCCTCGACGCCCCCTACCTCTACCCCTTGACCGAGATCTACGTCCAGATCACCGGCTCCCGCGGCGGCTCTCTGGGTCTGATCATCGTCTCGCTTCTGCCCCTGGTGGTGGCCATCATCGGCTGCTACCTCACTTCCAGCCGTGTTCTGTGGACGCTCGCCCGTGACGGCGCCACCCCCTTCAGCGGCTACCTCCGCCGCGTCGACCCGACGCACAAGAACCCCCTCGCCGCCGTGCTCGTCAGCGGCGTCATCCCCCTCGTCCTGGGCTGTATCTACGTCGGCAACTCCACCGCCTTCAGCGCCTTCGTCAGCTCCTTCGTCGTCCTCACCACCATCTCCTACCTCGCGGCCATCCTGCCGCACCTCCTGCGCGGGCGTCAGGGCATCCCCCGCGGGTGGTTCTGGATGTCCGGCCCCGTGGGCTTTATCGTGAACGGTGTCACGTGCGCCTTCATCATCGTGTTCATCGTGATCTTCTGTTTCCCATTCTCGATGCCCGTAGATGCCGAGACGATGAACTACACGTGTCTGATCACGGGCGGGTTCACGATTCTGATTGCAGGCATCTGGGTGGCGAAGAAGGGGGATTACCAGGGTCCCACGGTGGTGGCGATCGAGAGTGAGGCTTTGGCGAAGGATGCTATTTAGTTTGACTTTTAGATGGTAATCGGCAGGAGCAGAGCAATGATGGGATTATATAGTATATATTTTAATTTTCTGATGAGAGGGGGTTTTCTAGATCTAGAGGTAATTCAAAAGTCGTCGATTCTGTACTTCTTCATTCGATTCCTGAGAGTCTTTGTATGATGCTGTTGTTGCTGTCGAGTAGTGAGCTTCAGGCTGCTATATCGTTGATACTACTACTACTACTACTACTACCGGTAGTCCTACCGTAGCTCGGACATTCTCAGCATCGAAGAAGACTAGTCTCATAGCCAAAGTTCCATTGTACTGTACTCAGAGGATCCAATGAGATGTAATCCAAACGATCCAATGTTTCACTTTGTGACTAGCCAGCTGGGACGGATACTTTTTTTCGTGTATCCTGAGCTTGTTTGTTAGTATGTACAATGTTGCACTGCGGCGCTCGATGGCGCTGCTATGCTCGAAGATTTCCCGGGGTTTGTACTCCAGCGTCTGTTGAACTCCCACACTCCCACAGAAATTAGATTCCCTTCGAGAGTGTCATAATGACGAGGAACCGACGGTCTAAGAGATCGAAGAGGTCTTGTAGAGGTCCGACATCGTCAGCACCGCTGGTCTGTAGTAATCGGGTCGGCAGTAGAAATGGTCCATCGGGCCTGCGGCAGCGTCTGTTACGCAAGTTCATCCAAGCACCGCGTTGTGCCAGGTCTGCCTTCCCGTAAGATGTTCTTGGGCTTCAGGCTGAGGTGATTGTTGACCGTGCCAAGGCCATTCTCTCACGATGCTTAGTGGACGTGCATGACCCGAGTCGGAATCCACATCGTCAGTGTCCGTCCGAGAGAAGTCGGGAACCGGGCGCATTGGATTGTCCTGACAGAGACAAAATGATTAGCAATTGATTAGACGTTGTAGACATTAGCCTGTCCAGGGTGCGGGCCTCAACGACTCAAGAATTCGCAAAGATGTTTTTCTGCTCGCAACTGCCGAGAGCACCGGTAGATGTAGTGTCGTGGATGAATTGAGCAAGAAATGGCAAGACGCGAGAAAAGAATCGCACCACATCGGATGATGTCCGACAAGCTCATTTACCCGACTGTGACGCATTTTCGCCTGCACCTTCTCCTCCTCAGCTCCTCTCCGGCTAAAGCAAAATCAAGCAACATGAAGCTAGGGAAGGATTCAGGCTAAAGTGAGGAAGCGAAGATGATCGACACGCCTCTTGCACCAAATCGCCGGTTTCTCCGCAGCCACCCCGCATCTATACTCGACTTGACTCGACTCGACTCCTCAACTCGACTATAAATTCCTTCAGATTTGCCGGCACAATTGAGGTTTCAGTATGACGTTGTCACTCAATTCCCCTAATCCCTCTCACCCTCCGTTCGACCGCAACCACCACCATGGCTGTGGCGGCTCTTGCTCTGCTGGCGCTTTTGCCTCAAGCTCTGGCCCAACATAACAGCAGCTACGTGGATTACAACGTCGAGGCCAACCCGGACTTGTTTCCGCAATGTCTGGACACAATCTCCTTGTCCTTCCCCGACTGCCAGAGCGGTCCTCTGAGCAAGAACCTCGTCTGCGACTCGACCGCCTCGCCCTATGACCGCGCCGCGGCCCTGATCTCCCTCTTCACCCTCGAGGAGCTCATTGCCAACACTGGTAACACCAGCCCCGGTGTCCCTCGTCTGGGTCTACCTCCATACCAGGTCTGGAGTGAGGCCTTGCATGGCCTGGACCGCGGCAATTTCACCGACGAGGGGGCTTACAGCTGGGCGACATCCTTCCCCTCGCCCATTCTCTCCGCTGCTGCCTTCAATCGCACCCTGATCAACCAGATCGCATCCATTATCTCAACTCAGGGGCGCGCCTTCAATAACGCCGGCCGCTACGGTCTCGATGTCTACGCCCCCAACATCAATGCCTTCCGTCATCCCGTCTGGGGGCGCGGACAGGAAACTCCGGGCGAGGATGCGTATACTCTCACAGCCGCCTACGCCTACGAATACATCACGGGTATCCAGGGTGGCGTGGACCCAGAGCATCTGAAGCTCGCAGCGACAGCCAAGCACTTTGCCGGCTATGACATCGAGAACTGGGACAACCACTCCCGGCTGGGGAACGATGTCAACATCACGCAGCAAGACCTGGCCGAGTACTACACGCCGCAGTTCCTCGTGGCCACGCGCGATGCCCGCGTCCACAGCGTCATGTGCTCGTACAACGCCGTCAACGGCGTGCCCAGCTGCTCCAACACCTTCTTCCTGCAGACGCTCCTGCGCGACACCTTCTCCTTCGTTGACCACGGCTACGTCTCCGGCGATTGCGGTGCCGTCTACGGCGTTTTCAACCCCCACGGCTACGCGGCCAACGAGTCCAGCGCCGCCGCCGACTCCATCCTCGCCGGCACCGACATCGACTGCGGCACCTCCTACCAATACCACTTCAACGAGTCCATCACCACCAGGGCGGTCGCCCGCGACGACATCGAGCGCGGCCTCACCCGGCTATACGCCAACCTCGTCCGGCTAGGCTACTTCGAGGGCAACAGCAGCAGCAGCAGCCCGTACCGCAGCCTGAGCTGGTCCGACGTCCAGAAGACAGACGCATGGAACATTTCCTACGAAGCGGCCGTCGAGGGCATCGTCCTCCTGAAGAACGACGGCGCCCTCCCGCTTCCCTCCTCCTCCTCCTCGGGCAAGAATAAATCCATCGCCCTCATCGGCCCCTGGGCCAACGCCACCACCCAGCTCCAGGGCAACTACTACGGCGCGGCGCCATACCTCATCAGCCCGGTCGACGCCTTCACGGCCGCCGGCTACACGGTCCACTACGCCCCCGGCACGGAGATCTCCACGAACTCGACGGCGAACTTCAGCGCCGCGCTCTCCGCCGCGCGCGCCGCCGACACCATCGTATTCTTCGGAGGGATCGACAACACCATCGAGGCGGAAGCCCAAGACCGCAGCTCGATCGCCTGGCCCGGCAACCAACTCGAGCTGATCTCGCAACTGGCCGCGCAGAAATCCGAGTCCCAGCCCCTGGTGGTGTACCAGATGGGCGGCGGGCAGGTCGACTCCTCCGCCCTGAAAGCGAATCCGAAGGTCAACGCCCTCCTCTGGGGCGGCTACCCGGGCCAATCCGGCGGCCTCGCCCTCCGCGACATCCTCACGGGCGCCCGCGCCCCGGCCGGCCGCCTCACCACGACCCAGTACCCCGCCGCCTACGCCGAGAGCTTCTCGGCGCTCGACATGAACCTGCGGCCCAACACCACCACCAACAACCCAGGCCAAACCTACATGTGGTACACCGGCGAACCCGTCTACGAATTCGGCCACGGCCTCTTCTACACCACCTTCAAGGCTGCCCCCGCAGCGGCGAAGAAGTATACCTTCAACATCACAGACCTCACCTCCTCCGCGCACCCGGACACCACCACCGTCGCCCAACGCACCCTCTTCAACTTCACGGCGACCATCACGAACTCTGGGGCCCGGGACTCCGATTACACCGCCCTGGTGTTCGCCAACACCTCGAGTGCGGGCCCGTCCCCGTACCCGAACAAATGGCTCGTCGGGTTCGATAGGCTCGCTGCTGTGGCCAAGGAGGGGGGCACGACGGTGTTGAATGTGCCCGTGGCGGTGGATCGGTTGGCCAGGGTGGATGACAATGGGAATTCCGTGCTGTTTCCGGGGCGGTATGAGGTGGCCTTGAATAATGAGCGCGAGGTCGTGGTTGAGGTGGAGTTGGTGGGGGAGGCGGTGGTGTTGGTGAAGTGGCCGGAGGAGGTGCAGGGGGTGCAGGGGGATGAGTAGATTTTTTCTGGGGGCTGAGGGGAGGGGGGAACAGGGAAGAGGGAAGAGGGAAGGGTGCTTGTATATATCGTAATAGGACGAGTGCGGGAGGGGGAATAGTGTTAGATGAGGTAGCTCAGGTTGGCTTATGTCTACTCTATCCTCGACGAACTGAGTACCACCAAGTGGTTATGCATAGTTATAGTTAATGAACGCATGCAAAAGTTACACATTCGGTATTTTTAGTGCAGCGAAGTAAAGGAGGAATCATTCCGTGTCTCTAAGAGAGAGAGCAAGCAGGCAAGCCAGCAAGAATAACACGCTATATAGACAGCACACACACTCCTCCCCCAACCACTAACTAGTAAAAGATGATAACAACAGAAAAGGAAAACGCCCTCCGTGCAGACTTTTGTCTATAATTCGATAACATACTCCGGGGGAATAACAAGCCCATAACCTCCACTGCCGATCTGCCTCACTGTCCTAAGACTGACGACACAGACAGAACTACCGCGTCTCCTTCCCTCCACTCCGCACCTCCCGCTCCAACACATCCAGCGCCTCCGCATACCGCTTGCGCGCCTCCTTCATCCCCTCCAGACTGACGGCCACCCGGTGCATTTTCTGCGAATCGGCAGCACCGCCGCGCACGATCTTCCCGTCCGCCGCGCCGCCGATCTGCTGCGCGAACCACTTGCCCTCGCGGTGGGCGACGAGCGTGTAGGCCTGCCCCAGCTGGCCGGCGCGCGCCGTGCGGCCCACGCGGTGCACGTAGGTCGTCACGCTGGTCGGCACGTCGTAGTTGACCACGTGCGTCAGGCGGGGCAGGTCGAGGCCGCGCGAGGCGCGGTCCGTCGCGATGATGATCGACAGCTTGCCGCGCCGGTAGGCGGTCAGCGTCTTGCGCGAGGCCGAGGATTTGTTGGATTTGATGATCGTGCCTGTGCGGGAGGCGAGGGTCGGCTCTAGCAGCGCGAGAAGGCGCGCGAGACGCGAGGCCGATTCGGAGGATTTGGTGAAGATGAGGACGGTCGGGGTGTTTGTTTGTGTGTTGGAGGGGCGCGGGCGGGTGGGTTTGGTTGGGGAGGTGGAGCTGTCGCTGTCGCTGTCGCTGTCGCTGTCGCTGTCGCTGTCGCTGCCGGAGGAGGATTCGCTGTCCGAAGAACTCGAAGAGTCAGACTCGCTGTCGGAGGTGTCGTCTGAATCGGAGTCCGAGCCTGAACTGGATGTGTCCGAGTCGGAGTCGGAGTCCGAATCCGAGTCGTCCGAGCTGGACTCGTCGGAGGAGGTTTCGTCGGAGGAGGTATCTTCGTCGGAGGACTCGTCCGAAGTGTCCGAATCGGGGGCCTTGGCCGGTTGCTTGGTGCCGTTGATCCGGATGTGGGAGAGGAGGAGACGCAGCAGGTAGAGTGGCTTCAGGGACCCGTCGCCCACCGAGATCGAGTGCTCCTTCAAGGTCGGCGGCAGGGTGAACTGCTCGTCGGCGCCGGCGATCACGCCACTCTCGTCGTCGCCGGCGACGGCGGTCTCGGTGGAACCCACAATGACGAGCTTGGGGTTGGCGAGTCGGAGAGAATTCAACTTCGTTACGTCTCTGGTCATGGTCGCACTCAGAACCACCTTCCTGGGCTCTCTGCTGTGGATCGGGAGGCCCAGCTCCGACAGGAAAGTCCCGCTAAAGCCAAACGCCTCGGGGGATCGGCGCGCATCCAGCGAATTCATGACCACGTCAACCCATTCTTGGAAGCTCTCGTTGAGCAGCCGATCAGCCTCGTCGATCACGAGCCACTCCAAGTGTTTCAGCGTAAAGCCTTTGGTGTAGCGGATGTGGTCGACAAGTCGACCCGGGGTACAGATGAGGATGTCAACGTTCGGTTCCGAACGGTGCACGTACCCCGGTAGAGCCTCGCTCGAATCCACCGCATCGGAGATATAGTCCTGCAAGTTGAAGTTGGTCCAGTCGTCCCCGGTCATTTTCACATTCTGGCGGCGCTGGAACGTCGCGGGCCCGTACACCTGGTCGATGCGCATCAACGAGCGCTGCTCGTCCTTGATGGCTACGTTACCCACGGCCGATCCCACCCGCAGGCCGGAGCCAGCAGCACACAGCTCACACGCCTCGCGGGCCTGCTTCACTAGTTCTCGGGTTGGCACGACAATGAGACCCCGCAGCCGAGGGGCAGGAATCTGCTCAAGCGCGGTGACGAGCGGTAGAACGTAAGATAGGGTCTTTCCGGAACCCGTGGCTGCAGAGACACAGACATCGCCGGCGTGGTTCTTGGGACCCTGAAGTAGCAGAGGAATGACTGCCGACTGCACAGCAAACGCTTCCTTGTAGCCATTATCCTCCAACACCCGCAGCAGGTTCGCATTAATTCCCAATTCAGAGAACTTCGTCTTCTCGCTCGCCGAGGTCCGCAGGGGATTGGCCAACCAGGCCGGAAGCGACGAGTATGTAGGCTTCTCAAACACCTCAGGAACTTGCTCAGGCTGTGGTAGAGGTTCCAAGCCTTGCGCTACAACTGGTTCAGCCGTCAACAGTCCTGGAGAGTCGTCCTCAACCGTATCCTTCTTGCGTGCTTTTTCCAGCTCTCTCGCCTTCATAGACTTTTCGAACTTCGACCTGATACCCGCAAACTTGTCCTTCTGTTTCGCATCGCCGTCATCGGCCTGAGTAGATTCTGAAGCTCGGGCAGACTTCTTTGAGTCCTTGGCGCTCTTCTCTTCAACATCGTCTAGATTCGCAGGTTCCTCAGCCGATTCAATAGCAGTTCCTGATGTCCGTCGCTTCGAGTGCTTCGATTTCTTCTTGTCTTTAGCGTCCTTGCTTGGAGTAGGCGCTTCGCTGCGGATCGACGAGACAGCACTCTCTTTCGGGGTCGATACTTCCGGAACAGCACCGTCGGCCGCCCCCGTGGATCGCTTTCTCTTCTTGCGGACGTCGGAGGACGGGGTGGAGTCGGCTGCAGCACCCGGATCTTTCTTGGATTTCTTGGTCGGCGTGGGTGTCGAGGTAGCGACGGTGGAGCCATCGAGGTCTCTCTTCCTCTTCTGAGACTTCTTCGTGCTCGACGGGGTTCCTGAGCTCATGTGGGAGGTATCCTGACGCGCGGAGCGGTCGCCGGCCATGATCGCGAGGTCAAAAGGGGTCCTGGGCGGACGTTCAAAGAGGGGTGGCTTGGGAAAATGCGGCGATCTTGCCTGTTGTTGCGAGTCTTTCTTTTTTCCAGCGGGGAATCTTTGAGGCGGCAGAACGGTATACCGCCTCCATCGCCGCCCGCGCGTGGCCCTTTCGGGATGGCCTCATTCGACCTCCTTTCTCCTCCTGTCGCTCACACAACCTCCCTTTTTTGTGGATTGGACGTGGGGACTGAGTGTGATATGGACGGCGGGTGAGCGGATTGGATTGACAACTGCGCAGAGTCTCTCGAAGTCAGCTCAGGGCCAGCCGCAGCCATGCCTTACAACATTGCGTGAGTCCCGTCGCATGTGAGTCTCGGAGCGAGTCTAATGGTCTGCACAGTATGGTCAGTGACTTCTTCTTCCCCCAACCAGGTAGGCACACTGCCCTCGAACTGTCCGGTCATATACTGAAATGCTGAGATTTATAGGTGGGGTGGAAAGTCACATCTACCAGCTCTCGACCGTAAGCGACTATACTTCATCCCTACCCTCCATGATGGTCTACTCACCAGCCAACAGAAGCTCATCGATCGCGGACATAAAGTCATCATCATCACACATGCGTACAAAGGGCGGACCGGGGTGCGATACTTGACAAACGGGCTCAAGGTTTACCATGTCCCATTCTTTGTGATCCACCGGGAGTCGACCATGCCGACGGTCTTCTCTTTCTTTCCGATCTTCCGCAACATTGTCATCCGCGAGCAGATCCAGATCGTGCATGGTCATGCGAGCTTGAGTAGCTTCTGTCATGAGGCCATTCTTCATGCACGCACCATGGGTCTGCGGACAGTGTTCACCGACCATTCGCTGTTTGGCTTTGCGGATGCGGCATCCATCTTGACCAACAAATTGCTCAAGTTCATCCTGAGTGACGTTGACCACGTCATTTGTGTCAGTCATACTTGGTGAGTACTTAATCGCAGTGACTCCCAGAAGGGCCCGACTGACCTGCGCGCAGTAAAGAGAACACAGTCCTTCGAGCCTCCCTGGACCCGCTGATGGTGTCTGTGATCCCGAACGCGGTGGTGGCTGAGAACTTCCGACCGGCAGAACCGCGGTCGATGAAGCCCATCGGCCCTAATGACACTATCACGATCGTTGTCATCTCCCGTCTCTTCTACAACAAGGGCACCGATCTGCTCATCGCAGCTATCCCGAGAATCCTCGCGTCGCACCCGAATGTACGGTTCATCATTGCGGGGTCTGGCCCCAAGGCGATCGATCTGGAGCAGATGTTGGAGCGCAACGTGTTACAGGACAAGGTTGAAATGCTGGGACCGGTCCGGCATGAGGAGGTTCGAGACGTCATGGTCCGTGGCCACATCTACCTCCATCCTAGCTTGACCGAGGCCTTTGGTACGGTCATAGTCGAGGCCGCCAGCTGTGGACTGTACGTGGTGTGCACACGAGTGGGTGGCATCCCCGAGGTGCTGCCTCAGCATATGACGACATTCTCAAAGCCTGAGGAGGACGATATCGTTCTAGCAACAGGAAAGGCCATCGCTGCCTTGCGGTCGAACAAGGTGCGGACGGATCGTTTCCATGATCAAGTTAAGATGATGTATTCCTGGACCGACGTAGCCCAGCGTACCGAGCGAGTCTACCAGGGGATCTCCGGGGATATCAGCCCGGAGGAGTTCTACGGTTACTACCCGGGCGAGGGTCTGGAGGCTAGCGGCGACCGTGTGCGCAGCTTTGCACTGATCGACCGGCTGAAACGATACTATGGATGCGGTGTGTGGGCAGGCAAGCTCTTCTGTCTGTGCGTGGTGATCGACTTTCTTCTCTACGCCTTCTTGGAGATGTGGTTCCCGCGGGCGAACATCGACATTGCACGCAGCTGGCCGAAGAAAATACACCAACGGAACGACAACCACTCACTAGGGAATGAGCAGAAAACCGATCGCGACCACCTACATGCAAACTGACCAAGATCCCTACCCTTTTTCACAATACCCATTTATGATTCACCATTGGCGATCTACATTTTAACAACAGTGTATAGACACCCTTCAGATACCCTTCATGACAAGCATCATTGATTCTTCTCATCATATTAATCATACATGAACATTCGTGGGAAACCTTCTCGCTCGAAAAAAAAACAGGTTCCTTTTGTGTCCATAAGAGATTCACCAGGGTCCAGCCCCGACATTCTTTGAAGTTTTTTGAAGGAATACTCAGTGCTTGTGAGTGTTGTCCCGCTTGGTGCCGGGCTCATACTTCCACTCGGCAGCCGCGGTGGTAGCGGGCTCGGGCTGGCGGTCCTCGGCCGCGAGAGCACCCTTGTCGCCGCGCGAGCCGGCGAGGTGGGCCTCGTCGCGGTCGAGCGCCCGCTGGCCGGGGATGTCACGCTCGAGTTTGCTGTCGGCGTAGGCGCCAACCTGCTCGAGACCGGCGGTCTGGCGCTTGCGGCCGGGCTGGCCGTCGTGGCGCAGCTCGGCGCTGGACTGACCGGAGCCCGGGTGGCCTAGGCCGGTGTGCACGTCCCGTGAGGTGGCGCCCATCAGGGTGTCCGCGGCGGAGGTCTTGACGGGCTCCTTGCCGTGGCTCCGCTCGACGTTGGGGTTCAGGGCCTGGCTGCCGACCTCGCTGGTGGTGTTGGCGCTGTAGGAGTTGGAGGCGGGCGCCGTGCCAGCCGGGTATGTCTCGGCGCGGAACTCCGGGGCGAAGTCGGCGGGCGCGACCTTGCGGCCGGGCTGGTGCTGCACTGTTGGTCAGCTTGCTTGTCCTCAAGTCAGGTGAGGTGAGGACACAAAAGGGAAACATACCCCTCCTTCCTCGAGTGGGCCGGTAGGCTTAACGGAGGGCTTGAACTCGCCCTGCTGGGGGTTGGCAACGGAATCGGGGTTGCTGAAGTGGCTCATGTTGGATGGTGTGTTGGTATAGACTTGATATAACAAGAGATATAGCGGAAAGGGTGTGTTGTGTGATTCGCAGGCGTTTCGTAGTGTAGTCAGGAATGGGACTCTGATCGATTTACAGAAACTCTAGCTCTCGCATGGACAGACGGACCTTATATATAGGGGAGGGGGGAACAAAGCTACACAGCAGGTAAGTTAGGGCTTCCGCGGGCGGCGGGAAGGGAGGGGGGTTTACGTCAAGGTGACTTCGACTGACTTCATCTCTCTCACCTAACCCCCTTGAGTATCCAAGGTAACGTCATGCAATGCATGGATTGCATGCCACTTGACGGGTCTGGACTTTTGTGTACTGGGGGGGGTTTTTTTTTCGGAGAGGGCCGGTTTTGGGTGGTTGTGCGGGTGGGGATGCGATGATGTTGTTTGATGGAATATTCATAGTGGTGGTCATGCTAGCCTTGTGGGGGGTTAGCATGTTTGATGAGATATGTGTAGGTCGTTCGGATAAGTTTGCTGCGTGAGATTGATGATGTGAGTGTATGTTATGTTGGGTGGTTGATCATACTATGTGAGACGGTTGATCGATGCCTGATGATGTAGGTGAGGCGAAGAGCGGCCTTACAGCCTTCCACAGGTCTATTTCTTGTATCTAGTTCTATTGGCCGATGCAATAGGGTGGCTATCTATGCACATGGGAACTCCAACAGGTATCGTCAAGAATCACACAAAAGCGAAATCATTTCAATCAGGATAGGTATCTTTGCATAAACACGATGCTCCCCGACGCCGAACGACAAGACAAACATATTTCAAAGGGCGGGATTTCCCACCGGAGGTGCGGATTATAGTTTTGAGAAGGCAGTGTGATTGAGTCCCTCCAGAGAGAAGATAATCACCGCATCACCGGCGGCCGACCCTCCTTATTCCACTTGACCCGACTCTGCACCCACTCCACCGCCTCCTGCACGCCGGACCCCATCAGCGCACTCACCGGCAGCACACGGCTGTCGCGCACGCCCGCCCCGGACTCCCCCTCGAAGACCTTGCGCACGAACCCTTCCTTGATGCGGACGACCTCGACCGAGTCCTCGCGGTCCTGCTTGTTGGCCAGCACCAGGATGGGCACCCCGGCGACGTCCGCGTGCTTCAGCACCGACTCCAGCACCTGCCGGCACTCGTCCAGCCGCCCGAAGTCGCTCCCGGGAGCGTTGATCCCGACGTTCTCAGCCGTGAAGGTCACGTTCTTTGGAGAGGTGGATCCAAGGTCGCCGCCCTCCTCCTGGTCTTCCTCCTCGTCTGCAGCTGCAGTCTTGTCATCGTCACCGGCGGTGACGCCCCCGCTCGCGCGGCGCCGTTGCGGGAGGCGCGTGATGTCCGGGTCCTGGCCGACGTCGGCGCTGTCGACGACGAAGATGATGGCGTGGCAGCTGGCGTAGTAGCTCTGCCAGAGGTTGCGCATGGAGATCTGGCCGCCCACGTCCCAGATCTTCAGGTACATGTCCGGCAGCGAGATGGTGGCGACGTTCTGGCCGACGGTGGGGACGGTCTTGCCGATGCTGGCGGGGAGGAGCGAGGCCGGGAGGCTGCCATCGGCGCGCGGGGGCTGGTAGAGGGCTTTGATCTGGGAGAGGAGGGTGGTTTTGCCGGCGTTGTCGAGGCCGAGGAGGAGGACGGAGTATTCTGGTTGTGGATTTGATCAGAATTTGGACGTCGCAACCGGACAGAAGGGGGAAGGGAGCATACTCACCCTCTTTACTCGTAGCGTACATGTACAGCGACTTGGCGAGGTGATACATGGTGATTGGGGGGGTGGTGGGTGGTGGTGGTGGTTGCAACAACCCCACCGAAAAATCCGGATCAAATTGGACGGGATGAATGTCGCGGAGTGTCGATCATGTCATGGCAGCGTGGTGGTGCGGGGATACGCTCTTCTCCTTCCTGTCTTCCTCTTTCTCCGCTGGGGGTCCCGCTTATCGTGAAGGCGAGGGCGAAGCCATGCGGGAGGCTTCGCGTCAGCGGTCAGCCTGTCTGGCCGTCCGTCCGTCCTGAAGCGGTAAGCAGGGCTTGGGTCATTGCCCTGAGCCCTAATTGCCCGAAGCGTTGACCCCGCAGAGGAAACCGGCATGTGAAATGCAGGGTCGATCCGTTGCCTGTCAGTGGCAGAAAGAGGGATAAATTAGGTCACCGAATAATGCAGGAGGCAACCTGCAGGCGCAGTTGGTTTGCTATTGTCAGGAGATGGCCATGGCATTGAGTTGAATGGTGTGACTTTTGAGTTGGTGGTGGTGGTCCTCAGTATAAGAACAATGGCAGAACATCTCGGAACTTCTTCAACTTCTCTTCCCAATGCTTCCTTGTTTTCCAACCCCAGATTCATCTCGCTCAATTTCAAAGCCAATTTCCTTGGCTGGGCGGGGGCGGAACCACGGCCGGGTCACGATTACATATTCTCGTCGTATTTCTAGAATTATTCCCCGATTACGGCCAAATCCCGACTTCTCCTCCAACGGTGTTTTGTCAGCGAAAATCGAACGGTCCATTGTCCGCCTGCGGAATCGCGCTCCTCCTCCTCCTCCTCCTCCCCTCCTCCCCTCCTCTTCTTTTCTCTCACCATCTTCTTTACTTTCTTCTATCTTTCTCCTCCAGCTCTTCTCATGTGATAGCCGCTCAATGGCCTTCCGCTCGGCATCTGTCTGCTTTTCCGCTGGGATCCACTGATCGCATTCCCCGCGCATGTCTCGGTCAGGATGCCCCGCGCTGGATGGGCGGCCGGCGGTCTCCCAGCGGCCTTCAATGGATAGTACTGACACCATCATTGTCGGTATGTCGTCATTTGCATCCTCGCTCCTCGCAATTGGATCCTCTGTATGACCAGGCAACTCTAATCGTCCTCCAGGGAACGGCCCGTCAGCCATGATCCTGTCCTACATCTTCCATGGTCATATTCCCTACTATCAAGCCGATCCGCCGCATCCGGATCCCCTGCTGCATGCCAAGCTGCTGCACAACCCGGCCCTGCTTCAGGCCGACGTGAACACGCTGACCGAGCATTTTGCCGCCTCGCGCTTGTCCTACTCGACCCAGGCCCTGCCGGTCAACGTGCTTCTCGACACCCTGGTCCGACCCAGTCTGGACGTCGAGGAGCTGGAATGCGTCACTAACGTCGAATGGCGGTACGAGCCTGAAAAGGCCGTGCCTCACCTGGTGTTTGGTGACGCTGCGTGCGCTGGCGGTCAATGGACCGAGAATCTCATGCCTGCGAGCTGGGATATCCAGACCCTGAGCTATGCATCGATGTTATCGCTGCCGGGGTATTCGTTCGCCGACCACCACCGTGCAGTGACCGGGAAGGATCTGCCGGCATTTACGCGGCCCAGCCGGCAGGAGACGGCGGATTACTTCCGTCGGTATCCCGGGGCCGTGCACATCGGCGATGTCTTCCGCTTCAACGAAACCCTGTCGGGGATCTCGCGCACGGACCAGGGCTTCTATATCCGCTCCCACAATCTCCATTGTAAACGCCTGGTCCTGGCCACGGGGATCTTCACCGAGGTGCTGCAGCCGAGTCCACTGCTGCAGCCCTTGCGGTCCCTCGAACCGGTCCCCTCCATCCCGTTGCTGGTGATCGGCTCGGGATTCTCAGCGGCCGATGTCATCATCTCCGCTCCTAAGGATCAAAAGATCCTGCATGCCTTCAGGTGGGATCCAGAAGGCCGGCCGTCTCCTCTACGGGGTTGTCATCACCAGGCTTACCCGGAATATGCCGGAGTGTACCGTTTGATGAAACGGGCGGCATTGGCGGCGGCCCCAGCACCGCCCAAACGGGGCAAGATGCGACGGACGACGTCAACGCCGTTCCTGGAATCGCGAAAATGGAACGATGTCTACGAGGGTCTCCCCAATCTAGAGATCATCAACGTCGAGATGGCGGCCGATCAGGCTCTTGTCACGTTCCGTCAGCCCGACGGGCAAACCATCGTCCGTGCTGTTCGTGGGCTGGTCTATGCCACAGGCCGTCGCGGGACACTGAAGTATCTCGATCCTTCTCTGCTCGCGGAAGTCTTGGGTCGAACGGATGCGGACTCGATTGTTACCAACCAGACTCTACGTGACAAAGCACTCAACGACATGGAGGTGGCGCCGGATGTTTTTGTCATTGGTAGCCTGACCGGAGACTCTCTTATCCGGTTTTCCTACGGGAGTTGCGTCCAGGCGGCAGGCAAGGTCATCGGAGCGTCAATGGGACAGGACTGGATGTGGAACAGCTCGGCGCAAACGTCGCGTCCACCATCGTCCTCCGTGGGGGTTCTGCGGGGGATTGACGGACATGATGTCTATCCGGCCGAGGCAACTTGGTCCCAGGGCGACGAGGATCGGTCGGTGTTATACACGATCCCGGAGCGGATCTTGCCCGGCGGACTATGGAAATGGCTCCGAAAATGGTGGAATGTGAATTGATATGGGGTATGTGGTGTATATGATACGATCCTATGTTAAAAGGCCATAGATCTGGCCACGGATTGAACTGTTCATAATAGACATGATCTACTGCGTAGATTGTATATAGCCGTGGTTGTTGTTTATAATGCCAGAGATATGATACTTGCTCAGGCTTGAATTTATCAATATGTAGTATCATAAAATGTGTGACTGCTGAGAATAACACCCGTATACATCAACCCCACTCAACCCATAATCTGCAACTGGTCGTCCGGCGGCCACCGGGTCTGAGCGAAGCTGAGACACCGCTTGATACTCTGGAGATACTTGCGGGTGCTCTCGTCGCTCAGAATATGGGCCTGCTGGTCACTCTGATGCAGCTTCTCACGCGCCGAACGCTCGTGGATACCCACCATGGTCACACCGATGGGCCACGCACTACCAACATCGACTCGTTAGCCAATATTCCAACCCGAAAGGGAAAAAAACCAAAATAACAGGGGACATACGCTTTTCCAATACTCAAGCGCAAATACGCATCATTGGCATCGACATAGCGGCGCAGCTGCGCCTTGTGCACGATCTCAACCACATGCTCCAAGACGCCGGTATCGAGATCCCCCTTCTCGAACTTGCGGAACAGCGGCTTCATATTCTCGCGCGACTGCACCATCGCGTTGAATGCCTGCCGGCCCTGCAGACTCTGCTTGACCGAGACATCGCGCTTCGCCAGCGCGGCCTCCCACTCCTTCAGGACCATGGTGAAATACGAGGCCAGCTGGCGGAACAGAAACTTTTTCCCGGCGTCATCTTTCGGGAGTGTGGCGGGGATCTTCATCTCCACCTCCGGCACCAGCTCGAGCGTCGTGGGAATCGGCCCGTCCGTCCACTTCTGTTTCTGCACCGCATCGCTATCGGGCTGGTCATCCTTCCTCACCACCCGCCAATACCGTCTCGCGCGCGCTTTCTCCCCCTCCCCGAACAGCGTGGCCGGCTCCCCCAGCTCCCGTAACCGTTGCTTCACCTCCTCCGCCGAGAGCTCCTCTTCCCCTGCCCCCGCCCCAGTGGCAGCCTCACTCCCCTCACCCTCTGAGGGGGTTAACTCAGGCAACCCAAGCCTCCTCCTCCTCTCCCGCTCGCGCAGGGCATCCTCCTCCTCCCGCCGCCGCCGCGACTCCTCGGCCAGCCGCCGCTTCTTGTCCTCGCGCTCGCGCCGGCGCGCGGCCTCCTCGTCCTCGGCCTTGCGCTTCTGGGCTTGGCGGGCGGCGCGCTCGGCGGCCAGGCGGGCTTGTTCTTCGTTGTAGGCGGCCAGGCGGGCGGCTTCGAGGTCGGCGCGGCGGGTGTATTTTTTCTGTTCTGTCGATGTCGTGGGGGTGGGAGATGGGGAGGGGTTTTGGGGTTTGGGGTTGGCGGTGGCGGTGGCCTTGGCCTTGGAGATTTCTTTGGACATTAAGGCGGCGAAGTCCATTTTTGCGGTATTCAGGTCTTCATAAATGTGGGGGGTATGTGGTTGTTGGAAGGGAGGGAAACAACGTTAGAGCGTATGGGCTTGGGGGTGTAACTATTATTGTATGGAGGGCTGTAGAAGGTAGTAGACGATAAGATTAGTACTGTGCAGTATTGCCGTTGCGGCAGCGGTAGGGCGGTAGGGCGGCCAGAGCAGGGCAGGGCAGGGCGGAGAGTTACCTACAAGTTCCGCGCATCCACTGCTCTCTCGCGCTCCATGCTACACCTACCTCCTACCTTACTCCAACAACTACAACAAGAACCACAACACAACCTACATCCGCCAGTTTATTCTCTACTCGAAGCCACAGAACGCGACGAGCAAACCAAAGCATGACCAACAACTACTAAACAACCACACCCATTCCATCCACTCAACAAAACCAACAAACATGTCCCGCCAAACCACAACCCCCTTCCACCTCAAACTCTTCTACCGCCAATCCACCTACCACCCCTTATCGGAGTTCTCCCCGGCCCCCGGCCCCGCCGGCCGCAGCGGCGGCGGCCATCTCCCCGCCCACCACCTCCAAATCTACACCTGGCCGACCTGCTCCCTCCGCGAACTCGCCCACCTCTTGACGTCGACCCTGCCCCACCTCCTCCCGGAGGTGCCCATCGGCACCCGACTGAGCTTCCGGCTGATCTACCCGGACACCAAAGGCGCGGCGATGAATCTGGGGGAGCATGGAAGGGGACGGTATCTGGCGAAGGAGATGGGGAGCGTGGTTGTTGCGCCGAGGGGGTATGATGATGATGACAACATTCATAGCAATGAAGGGGGGAAGGGGAGGGGGATGGGGAGGGAGCTGGGGGAGGTGGACAAGGCCCGAGGGCGAGGGCTGCCGCCGGCGCATTCAGAATGAGCGGTGCGGATGCGGAGAAGACGTTGCAGGATTTTCGGTTCGTGATTGGCGATTATGTCGACTGTGCGATTGTGCCGCCGCTGGAGGATGGGTCGGTTGCGCCGCCGCCTCCTGTTGGTTCCGGGGGTGGTGGTGGTGGTGGTGGTGGTGGAGGGGGGATGAGGGCGTTTCCCCAGGGGGGGAGGGAGGAGAGATCGTATTTTGGACGGGGAGGGGGAAGAGGGGGGCGGGGGTTTGGGGGTGGGCTCGGGGAGAGGGAGAGGGAGAGGGACCGTGATCGACAGAGGATTCCGCCGGGGGATTGGAGGCGCGGGGAGAGGTTGCCCGAGGGTGGTGGTGGTGGTGGGAGACGGGAGAATGGGGGGAGGGAAAGAGACAGGGATGGGGGGAGGAGGGGGTGGATGCCTTATTAGTTGTTCAGTGGGTTTCCAGTGATGGGTTGAGGGTGGTATATTTGGTAGCTGGGATTGAGGGCGTGTACGATAGTGAGGGATGAGGGGAGTGGAATGGTGGAATGGATTATACCCCGTTTCTAAACGGCTATGGAGTTAACTGCCTGTCCGGGTTTAAATGCTCTGCGTTACAGTAAATGCATCTTCCATCTCAAATGCTATACCGGTCCCAAACTACAATCAGCTACCAGTACACCCGAGCACTACAATTTCAACCCCCAAATAAAACAACGAAACGAAATCAATTGCACCGCGGTATAATAGATACAACCCAACCCCCATCCTTCTGCCCTTCTATCTCTTCCCACCAAATCATTTCACCCTCTACCACTCCACAATCGTATCTCCCTTCCGCTTTCCGCGCAGATCGTATTTGCCCTGTCGTCCCAGGTTAGCCCCTCGCCTACCACCCCCTATCAGAGAACCACATACATCAGTGTTATAAGCCACATAGCCCAACGCCCCCGGGATCAGAGCCATGTACAGGAAAGAGAACCAGGCATGGCGCGGCGTCCACCGGAAGTACTTGTACCGGTTGGCGGTGAGGTCTGCTTGTCGTTAGCATTCCGCTTACAGTTGGGTGATCGTAGCTTGTCTATTCGAGCTTGTCGTTCGACTTAATGGAAGCGGGTGCTATTTCGTCTGGGGGGAAGGTTTCACGGACCGTAGTATTTCTGGAGGGCCGGGTCGAGGATCAAAGCTGTGAATGAGGTTAGTTATCTTGTAGCAGTGATGAAAGGGGTAGGCGAGGACGTACACTTGCTGGGGCCGGCCATGGTGGCGGATGTGGATGTGGATGTGGATGCGAATGGGCTGGAGAAGGTCACGGCTTGTGCTGCTGCTGCTGTCGCTGCACTGATGGTGATGTCGCGGGTGAGGGAACGATGTTGCGGGTCATGTGATGTGTGTGTGCACAGTTGTGCTGCTTAGTCATTATGTTACAGACTGTGCTGTGTATTGATGAGTCAGCAGCTTCATGATGATGCACAGGCTGCAGGGGTTGTTTACTAGATCCTTCGCAGCTCACCTACTCTTCATTTTGAGTAATTGAAGGTGCAGCACAATAAGCAGCAGCATGTGAAAGACCCCTCGCAAAAAAAAAATTCGCCGATCTCATTTTCTCGAAAATTGGGGAAAGGTTGTCCCAAAGACTGGAACAAAGAACTAAACGGCAACCCCACCGCCATGACGCAGTATCACAGGTTCACAGGTTCATCCGAGGTTCCCTTCACCAGCGTCTGAGCCTTAAATGATAACACTCCTTTTCCCTTGCACAATCAATCGCTTCTACACCTACCACACTGTGACAAGTCCAAAACAGAACGCAAAATGACCGACCCCAACAAAGGCGCCAAAATCACCCTCTACTGGTATGCTCCCCTCCCTCCCAATTGCACCTTACCATACCCAACACTAATATCCCCCCCCCCCGAAATCAAGGCTCGCGCAATCCCGCTCCCACCGCATCCTCTGGCTCCTCGAAGCGCTGCACCTCACCTACGAGCTGAAGATCTACCACCGCGGCGCCGACAAGCTCGCGCCTCGCGAGCTGAAGGAGATCCACCCGCTGGGCAAATCCCCGGTGCTCACCGTCCAGCCTGCTGCCGTCTCCGGGCAAGAAGAAGGCAAGCCCATCGTGCTGGCCGAATCCGGCCTGATCATCGAATACCTCCTCGACCATTTCGGCGCCAACGCTGATGCCTCGCTAATCCCGGAGCGGTATGCCGCGGGTGCAGAGACTGTGGTCGGCGGAGAGACCGACTCGTGGCTGCGGTATCGGTATTACATGCACTACGCGGAGGGCTCGCTGATGCCGTTTTTGGTCATGCAGTTGGTTATGGATAGTGCGTGCCCCTTTCCCCTCCCCCCCCTCCCCCCCCCCCAAATATCTTCAATTCAGGGGGGAGCTCTGTTCTGAATGCTAATCTCTGTGGCCGTGGAACAGCCGTCAAAAACCCGCCCATCCCGTTCTTTCTCAAACCCCTGCCGCGGGTGGTGGCCGGGCAGGTTGAGAAGGCGTTTCTGAATCGCAATATCGCTGCGCATCTGGATTTTCTGGAGGAGCAGCTGCGCACGAGTCCGGGGGGTGGGCCGTACCTGTGTGGGACGACGCTGACGGCGGCGGATATCATGATGAGTTTCCCGGTGATTGCGATGGCGGGCCGGTTGTCGATGGAGGGTTATCCGGGGTTGAGTCGGTATGCGGAGTTGTTGCAGAAGGAGGCGGGGTATGTGGCGGCTTGTCGGAAGATTGAGGAGGTGGATGGGAAGTTTGAGGCTTCTCTTTAGTCTTTCCCTCTCTAGGCCTAGGTGTTGAGCGTGAGAGAGTGGTTGTATGGGTTATGTATGTATGTATGTATCTTAGGATCGTAATGTAATGTCTGTCATTCACTGCATTCCTTTTTTGGAGAATACCATGTATAGAATAGTATAGTACAGTGAAGTATATACCCCAGCCAGCGCCCTCCCTAGCTATATACAGCACAGCACAATCAACCCCTACCCCTAGACTCTAACATATAACCCCTGAGTCAAACAACGCAAGCAAGCAAGCAAGCAAACAAGACAACCTACAACTGAAACTTCCTCGCAATCTCCTCCTCACTGAACCGCCGCGTCTTCCGGCGCAACATCTCCGCCTTCTCCTCCAGCGTCATCCCGACCTGCTCCCCCATGGGCACCAGACACTTCGCCAAATGCAGGTAATCCTTCCGGAGGAGGCAGATGGTGATCATGATGTAGTCGATATTCCGGAAGACGAGGGCCTGCTCGGCGGCGTAGCGGCGGTGCTGGCGCAGGAAGGCGACGGGGTGGTCGCGCCAGTGGCGGCGCGGGTTGAGGTGGTGCGAGGTGTGGTAGCCGTCATTGTAGCAGAAGCGGTTGCTCTGCCGTCTGTCAGTATGCATAACGGTATGGGGGCAGGAGGGACGGAGGTGTTGAGGAGAGGTAAGGCGGAAGGAGCAGAGCGGCTCTCCCCCCTTTCGCCCCTCATCTCTCCCCCCCAAAAAAAGAAAAGCACGTACAGCAACATCAATCAACGTAATACTACTCCGAAAATCTGAATCGGGATCGATCTCATCCACCAGCGCATGCTGGCCCCAATTGCCCACCATCAACCCGACCCTTAACTGCAACACGGGCAACAGCAACACAAACAAGGTCGGCCGCCACCCGCCCCACCGCCACGCCGCGGCGATCATGGCGTACGTCCCCAGCTCCCACAGCCCGGCTTTGGCCGCGGTGACCAGCTGCCCGCGCCGCAGGAAGTACGCCGGCAGCTCCACCCACACCAGGAAGTAGAAGCGGGCCACGTAGCAGGCGAAATCCCTGCCGGAGTCGCGCTGGTACCGCAGGGTGCTGGAGAGGTCGCGGGGCCCGTTGCCCTCGACGTGGTGGTGTTTCACATGGTGGTAGAAGTAGGAGTTCCAGGTGTGGCCCATTAGCGGGTCGAGGATGTAGGGGAACACGGTGTCGAAGAGGACCGCAAGCGGGTGGGCGCGGGTCAGGATCCCGCCCATGTGGATGTGCTGGTGCATCATTAGGGTGTACGTGCCCACGTAGTAGGACTGCATGAGCCAGTGCAGGAGGCCGTGCCACCAGTGAAATGTTCCGAAGAACAGGTACAGGGCGCTGGGGATGGAGGTGCTGAAGTACAGGAGGAGGTGGGTCAGCATCACCACGTCGGTTTCGACCCGCACCAGGGACCGCGCGGTGCGGATGTACGGCTGCAGGAGGTAGTCCTTGAGAAGGGTGGGGAGTTGAGTGGTGAGCTGCGGCAGATCCCAGGTCACGAAGACGGTGGGCGTGAAGCTGCTGCTGGAGGGGCTGTTGAGGGCTGCGAGGTGTGTGATGGTTGCTTGGGTTTCTGAGTCAACCTCTTCTTCTTCATGCGCTGCTGCCCCGTTGGTGCCATTGCCATTGCCATTGCCATTGGTGTCTGCTGTACCGGAATTAGCTGGGAATCATTTGCTGGGGATATTGGGGGCGTTACGGTTTTTCTTCCCGGCGGCTGTGGCTGTGGCTGTGGCTGTGGCTGCGGCCGCGGCCGAGGATTCCGCTTCCTTGAGCAGATGCTCCAAAACCAACCGGTCGGGGACCGTCAGGTTGGGGTCTATAAAGGTGGCTGGATCCATGGTGCTGTTTTGGAGCTGTGGGAAAAGCGGAAAAATGAGCCAGCCTGGAAGGACACAAGCTTTAGGTTGGATTAAGACCCCCCCGGGGGCAGATAAAAAGGGGGGAGATTATCGAGTGGATCAGCCGATCCTTGGCATGTCAGATCGGTGGAGTGGAGCTGGCTGGAGCTGGCTGGAGCTGGCTGGATGGAGGGGACTATAACTCGGGAAGCTATAGATGGGAAGTGCGGAGGATGTGCAATTCAGCAGGCAGGAGAGTATGAGTCGAAGCTGGCACCCATTCGACACATGGGCAATGTCATGGCAGGCATATCATGCTGATCCCTCCGGTCGGATCCAGCGTAACGTTAGTGGGCATCAGGTCATCAGATGATCCCAGCAACCCTAATTTCATTGCGATTCCGGGGATTCTCAACCCGACCGCAGCTGCAGACCTGACTCAAAGATAAGCAGTCCAGATTCGATCTGCAATGGAACGTAGCCCCATGCACGGTTAAGCTTAAACAGCTGTAACCCTGATTATGCCGAGTAAAGCCAGGGACCGGTGATTGAGAGGACTGGGATGGACGACGTCATTACTTCCCCTCTTGTACTCTGTACCACTACTGGTACCACCTCAGCCCACAAGGTACAGACAGTACTTCTGCCCTGTACCGTCCCTTATAACAAGGTAAACTTCCCCTCTCTTCCCCGGTCCCTCGACCCCTCAACCCCTCCCCGCATTACACCCACACCCTCACCTCTCACAACACCATCACGCTCACCCTCACCACAACCCCCCAAAATGAATCTCACCCTCTTCTCCACCAAATCCTACGACTCCCACTACTTCACCAGCACCCTCACCACCCTGCAACCCACCTTCCCCGAACCAATCACCCTAATCACCCACCCCTTCCCGCTAACCCTCTCCACCGTCCCACTCGCCCGCAACAGCACCGCCATCTGCGTCTTCGTCAACGACAGCCTCCCAGCCCCGGTCCTCCAAGCCCTCTGGGACGTCGGGGTGCGCGCCATCCTCCTCCGCTGCGCGGGCTTCAACAACATCGACCTACCCGCCGCCGAAGCGCTAGGCTTCTTCGTGGCCAATGTGCCCTCCTACTCGCCCGAGGCCGTCGCCGAGTTCGCCGTCGCCCTGCTGCAGACGCTGAACCGCAAGACGCACCGCGCGTACAACCGCGTGCGCGAGGGGAACTTCAACCTCGAGGGGTTCCTGGGGATGACGCTCCACCGAAAGAAGATCGGGGTGGTGGGGTTGGGCCGGATCGGAATGGCGTTTGCGCGGATCATGCGCGGGTTCGGGTGTGAGGTGGTGGGGTTTGATCCGGTGCGGCAGGAGGGGTTTGCACGGGGGCAGCTGGGAGCTGGAAAGGATGCGAAGGCGGCGGAGGTGGAGGAGGATGAATTCATCACCCAGCTGGCAGGCCGCTACGTCGCCAATGTCGCGGACCTGCTCGCGCAGTCCGACATCGTGAGTCTGCACTGCCCGCTCACCGAGGCCACGAAGCACATCATCAACGCCGAGTCGCTGCGCGGGCTCAAGCGCGGCGCCATTTTGGTCAACACCTCGCGCGGCGGGCTGATCCACACGCGCGACGCGATCCGGGCCCTCAAGGCCGGCACGCTGGGCGGGCTGGCGCTGGATGTGTACGAGCAGGAGGGCGATCTGTTCTACAATGACCACTCCGCTGAGATTATCCATGACGATACGCTGATGCGGCTGATGACGTTCCCCAATGTGCTGGTCGCCGGCCACCAGGCCTTCTTCACGCAGGAAGCCCTGGGCGAGATCGCGCAGGTGACGCTGTCCAACCTGGCGGATTTTGCGGGCAAGCGGCCGTGTCGGAATTCGTTGGTGCGCGAGGGTCATTTGTTTGTGGAGGGGGATAAGCAGCCCGTGCGGTTGTAGGTTTCTGTATGTGGGTTTGATGGGGTGGGGTTGGTGATGGTTGCGGTGGTGGATGTTGTTTGCTTGTGATATGGGTTTAGTTTCACTCCGAGGCGGTCCCTCATGACAAGTTGTGGACTTCAAACTCAGATAGGGCCATGAATTCGCAGCCATGCACAGTGGGCTGCTCGTGCCAGTTTGCAAGAATCCTAGTTTTGTCGGCAACACTTATGCTTTATCAGCGAAGTCTCCAAGTCCCTGGGTCGATATGAACTACCTTTGTAAGCTACCCTGGTTAAGTAGAGCTATACACCCTCGAGTCCTACTAGGACTGCTAGGGCTATCAAGCTCTTAGGTGTGGAGATACTGGGAGGGACTAGGCTATTTGCAATTTGGCACGAGTAGCTTGCCATACTTCCACCTATCGAACCTCAATTGAACTGGATAAAATGCTTACTTGATGCTTAGAGGCGGTTATTCTCACTATTATTCTGCCTACCTCTGTCTCGTGTTGCGATGGTAGTCCTCAATTGCATCTTCTCTTAGGCCTTGTTTGTGAGCGACAGGCGGGATTCATCGGCTATCGGAGCTACTGCCTCGACCAGTATGTGTATCCCTACGTCGGGCCAGCCCTTTAGCCCGACCTTGTACAGCGAAGCACAGCTAGGTCCACACTAGAGCAGAGCTCCTAAAGCTCGTCGTGCATGCGCGCGAGGTCCTGGAGCCATTCCTCAAACGCCGTGATATTGTATCTCGGATCGACGATATACACCTTCGCTCGCCGCGCAGCCCCCACGGCTCCCACCCAGGTTGGGTCCACCTGATCCCGAACAAGGGGCCGCCAATCCTCTGGGATGGCCAGTTGTAGAGCTTGTTTGAGGGTGTAATGGCTGCCTCCGATGCGTCTCCGCTGGTGATGATCGCCCGAAGATACTGTGCGTCACCCGGCCAGAGGATCTGCTTTTGGACAAAGCCGTCAAGGATGCGACGAAGATCCTCCACCGCGTCCTGCTGCCAACGATTACAAAACTTCCTCATATCGTTGTTCCAAAAGGAGCCGTAGACTCCTCTAGCCTGGTAGCGGGGCCAAACTCACCTTTTGAGCACCCTCATCGTCCTCCTCCTGCCCGCCCGCCACCACCACCACCACCACCACAAACTCCCCATGCCGCCCTCGTTGGTACAGCTCACCATCATCCGTGTCAATGTCGGTTTCACCGACCAGACCGGCATACAAATTCAACCGTCCATCCAGCCCATAATCCACAAACAGCATCACCGCCGTCTCATCCATCAGATCGCAGTCCGCCGCCTCGCTGATCCCCAGAGCCCGGCACGTATCCAGCCCGTACGCCTACCGGACAGTGTGCAGGAACTCACGGGACTCCCACTCGTACTTCACGGCCGTGGCGTTAGATGCAATGATCGTAGCCGTGAGGTCGCGGTGCGGTCCTAAGCCGATAACCCGCGGAAGGCTGATCGCCGTGATGTTGATCGGGTAGTCCAGGAGCTGCGTGGCTTGATCTTTGATCTTTCACGTCTTGGAGAAGATTATCGATCATGGTGGCATCGTCGGGGTTGTGTACTTGTGCAACATTCACTTCCTCCTTTCCCTGTTCCGCCTCCCCCTATCCCACTTGTACTAATTTGGATTTAGCCCCCAGTTTGCGCATGCAGAGGACGATTGGAAACATGGGGAAGCACAAACACGGGTGTAGCATCGAGCATCGGAATCGTGATACCACCCTTTGGAATTCAACCAGGCCCATTGTCAAATAATAGTCAATGATGATCACGAGACCTGGAGCAAACCATCAAGTGGTAGCGGGCAATTGGCTCGAGGGCAAGGGCCGATACATCCCGGGCTCGAGGGCTGCCTGGAGTGTCTAAGCGCCTCCTGCTTAAGCAGTACCGTAAACTGATTGAAATGAACAGCATTAGGGGCAAGGCACTCAATTTGCGAAAGGGCTGGGTAGGTTCCCCATCGCCTTGTTCCGGTGGCCAAAAGAACTCATCGCGCTTTCAGGAATCATGAATTCGGTTCATCAGTTCCCAAGTAAGGAAAAGGATAGGAATCCCGAGACAAGAATTGTGTATCGCTGTGATGGTCAGTCATAGATATGCAGACAGCTCCCAATCACTACTTTAGCCTGCGCTGTCGTTCTTAACAGGAATCAGGATTCTTTGGAGCAGAATGTCCGGCAAAGGGAAATATATAGAAGATCATTGGAACTAGTGCCAATTGTGAGCGGACAACCCAATACTAACTTAACACCCACACACCAAAGCATTAATATGTGCAGGAGATCAATTGGTTGCTCGCAAGCAAAACGAAACATATACAGGTATTATCAATTCAAGAAACAAAGAAGGAAAATAGGTGCATCCCACAAGAGCAAAAAGAGAAAGCAAAAAACGACAGCAGTCGGATTTGAACCGACGCCTCCGAAGAGAATAGATTTCTAGTCTATCGCCTTAGACCGCTCGGCCATACTGTCTAATCTGTTATATTGGTACGTCAATATAGCAGATATCCAAACACATACTAGCAGTGCAGTTGTGGTGACGAGCCCAACTATACTTCACGCTCGTTAGGACGCAAGATATTGATACCCTGCACAGCTGAAGACATAGGCATTACTGGTCCCCATTTGAGGTTAAAGCAATTTCAGACCCACTGACAAAGACCCTCATTCGCCAGGGACAGCAAATCCAGCAATCATGCTGATAAGTTACAAGTCTGCACCCACCACAAGTCAAACTCCAACCCTCCCCAACCCTCCATAATCTATCCCAATGCCTCCATACATTACCTCAAAAAAACCCCTACATCAAGCATCAGAGTCCTGAGCCCCATCAGAATATCCCCCCCAAAGCTAAATCCCGTTCCCGCATCGTATACTCACACAACACACCTCCAGCCCCCCTCGCCACCGCCAACAGCAGCCCCGGATGCCGCAGCGGCAGTAGCAGCAGCACCTCCTCCGGTCCAGGCTTGTCCAAAAAGCCCCCAAAGTTGCTGGCGAGGATATCCACCACCGTCTCCAGGACTGCCGTCCCCTACCGCAGGAACGGCGGCAGCTCCCTCGATCTTGTCCAGGAGATCCGGGAAACCGTCCCGTTCATTTTCGTGCCAAAGCAATAGGTTTTGAGAAGGGTTGACTGGGGGTGATGTACAGTACCTTGAGCCCGCTTCCTAATGCCGCTTTGAAGAACGAGGCCGGTGGGCAGACGATCGCGCGGTGGACTTTGAAGGTGTGGCCCTGGCAGGATATCGTCAGATCGGGGTATGGTATTCGCTCTTGTCGAGGAGGAACTTCATCGTCCTTGAGAGGCGTGGATGGCTCATCTGGTCTGTTGGCATTCGAGGAACTGGAAATGTAGACGCGGATGCAGATGTAGATTGTTGAGGGGACGCGACCATCAGACAGAGCCGCCGGCGGCTGATCCGGGAGCGTGAGAATGGCGGTATTACGGCATCAGTATGAGGTCGACATGGACTGCTGCGCAGCTGGAATAGCACGCCTTAGTTGGGATTTCCGGAGGCCAGTCAGTGAGCTCGCACTGCATCAAGTATCCGTGATGGTGCCCGCATGGTGGAAGAAGGCCATTGACATATCAACTTCTAACGAGAGCATGCATCCAAGATCTAGCTCTCTTCACTTCCTTTACAAGCCTCTCTCTATACTCCAGCCTTCCTTATGCATCAAACAAACATTTGTATATACCCGACCCAAGAACAACACAAAAAAGAACAGAAAAATCCATCTAAATCATCTATCATAATCATCATCGTCATCATGATCACCAAGTATACTAAATATATACCCGTCCATCCACCCCCAACGCCAATATTCATCTCCCCTCTCCCTCCCCCTCCCCAATCATCTCAACCAACTCGTCATACTCGCCCGTATTCCGCAGCATATTCCAAAAGACCCCCTGCTTGGCCACGAGGTTACGCGGCGAATCGTTCCTAAAGAATCCCACGTTAGCTGGGCCTCCACCATCGAAACCATAATAAATCAGGATGAAGGGATGGGGCAGGCAAACAACATACTCAACAATCTCCCCACCAGCCATCACCAACACGCGATCGTAATCCATGATCGTCCGCAAGCGATGCGCAATCGCGATGATCGTGCAGTCCGAGAACATCTCGCGCAGCACCTGCTGCATATGCATGTCCGTCTCATGGTCGACGGAGGCCGTCGCCTCGTCGAGGAGCACGACCTTCGAGCGCCGGCAGAGGGCGCGCGAGAGGCTCAGCACCTGGCGCTGGCCCTGGCTGAAGTTCTCGCCGTTGGCGGCGACGGGGGTGTCGAGGGTGAGGGGGCGGCGGGTGGGTTTGCTGGGGATACCCTCTTCGGTTGACGAGGAAGGGTGTGCATGCACGTGGTCAGGCACGGGGACGGGGACGTGAATCGAGGAGGTGCAAGCCGATAAAGCAGACTGGAGTTCGGATTCGCTGGACTCGCCGAAGGGGTCCAGGTTCGACTGGACGGTCCCGGAGAAGAGGACGGGTTCCTGCGGGATCAGGGTGACGCTGGTGCGGAGGCGGTTCAGCAGGATCCGACTGACGTCGACCCTGTCGATGGTGATGGTGCCGCCGACGAGGTCGACGAACCGCAGCAGGGACAGTCCCAGGGTACTCTTGCCGCTTCCGGTGCGGCCGACGATGCCGATGCGTTCGCCCGGGTGGGCGACGAAAGAGACCCCGCGGAGGACGTCAGGGCCGTCGGGCTGGTAGCGCGCGGTGACGTTGGAGAACTCCACGCGGCCGGAGGTAGGCCAGCTAGCGGGGAGGGTAGTCAGCGCCTTGTGGTACTCTTCCTTGGTGAGCCTCTCCTCGGGCTCGATCTCGGCGTATTCCTTCATGCGCTGGAAGGAGTTAAGCTCGATTTCCAGTTCATTCATGGTCCGGACTAAGGTGAGGATCGTCTGGCTGAGGCCGATGGCGTTGGTCAGTGAGAAGCCCACGAGGCCGGCCGAGCCAGACCAAAAGTAGGCGACGCAGCCGGCTGCGGCAGAGACAGAGGCCGCGCAGAAGTCAGACCGGACGGAAACCCAGCGGTTGCAGTTGTACTGCGCCTCGGCGGTGCGCGAGTGCACGGCTAGCTTTTCAGCGAGCATGGCCTGGAAGACCTGGTCCATACCAGTACGGGCACGGATCACGCTCAGACCAGAGATGGAGTCGGTGAAGTGTGAGAAAACAGGTGAGTAGCTGATGGAGCGAAGCCGCTTGATGGACACCTGGGCGCGCGTGTACATCTCGCCCATGATGAAGCCCGCGGAGCAGATGATCGCGGCGGGGAGCGCGAAAATCGGCATGATGGAGGCGACGCTGGCAATGCGAAGCAGGAACCGCAGTGCGTTCTCGATGGACATCCGCAGCCACTCGACCAGGATCGTGTCCATCGACCGGGTGTCGTTTCCGAATCGATTGATGGCTCGTCCGATAGGGTTCTGATCAAACCAAGAAATGGGTGCTGACAGCACGGCGGTCACCAGCCTTTGATGCATGGTCTTGGCGGCTACCCAGCTGCCATACTGGTATATAAGATTGTTGCAGACCTGCAAGAAGAGGAAAGTAAAGATAGCGGCCGCATAGATCCCCAGATAGAACAGAGTGTCGACATGTTCCTGTTCCTCGTACGCCCCTGTCCATATAGAGAGCCAGTACGTGATGGAAAAGTAGGCAAATTGGACCGAGATAGTTGCCAGAATGACAAGAGGGGCGTAGCCGACGCCGCCAAACAGACGCATATAGCTGAACACTGGATAAGCAGGTCAGCAAGGCTCGTTCGTGGTAGAGTGATACCGTAAACTTACTTAGTGTGCGCGGGACACGTCCGGTAGAAGAGGTTTCTTCAACAATTCTTCCTTGCGCAGTCTTCTGTTCTGCTACAGGAGGAACAGGGGGCACCGGAAGATCCGCCGAGTTCAAGGGCTGCTCTACCACCGGCTCGTTCCCAATTGTACTAAAATCCGGCTCACTGCCAGGCGTGCTGCAGCCCGACGGCGACGCAAGGACCGGCGTGAGCGTCCTCGGAAGCGCTTGTACGGGGACCAGATTGCCGTGTTCAAGGCGAACAATGGACTCTGCATCTTGCAGAGCAGCGGGGTAGTGAGTGACCAGAACGACAGTCCTATCCTTAAGCAATCCACTGCGGAAAGACTTGTCGTACACGAGACTAGCAGTGTGGGTATCAAGGGCGGAGAAGATATCATCCAGCAGTAATGTCGAGGATGACGAATACAAGGCCCGCGCAAAAGACACTCGTTGCTTCTGACCCCCCGACAGAGATGTACCCTTCTCTCCTACACGGGTCATGTCACCGGCGGGGAGCTGTCTCAGATCCTGCGCCAGGCCACTTGCCTCAACAACCGTGGCATACCTAGTCTCGTCGAATGGGCTGTAGAAAACGATGTTCTGACGGATCGTATCGTTCTGGAGCCAAGGAGCTTGTGGAACATATGCAACGTCCTGGGGACAGTATGCAGTGCCTGACTCCAGGACGGTCTCGCCCAGACAAGAGAGCAGCACAGTCGTCTTCCCACTTCCCGTAGGGCCGGTCACGACGTTGAGCGAATTAGGCTTGAATCTGATGGTCACATCCTGCAGCCTGAAAGCGGCGACAGGCGATGGTTTGAAAGTCGCATTGATCAATTCCAGCGGACCCTCGGGGTGCCGTTTGATCTCGCCCGCTGTCTCGAGAAAGTTGTCAATGCGGCGGAGTGACTCCGAACCCTGCGCGGTGTATCTGCTGACGTTCGAAAGCCAGACAAACAAGACTCGCAGCGTTTCCATGATCGACAGGGAGGTAAAAGCGACAGGGGCGCGGAGTGGTTGACCTGTGAACAGTATGTAGATCGAGAACATGACCAGTAAGCTCAGCAGCGGCAACAGCTCTCCAGCCATGGAGATCAACGCGGCATACACACTCCGCCACCACAGACGGCGTTGCTCCACGCGACGAACATTATTGATTGAATCGATGGCAGCATGTTCCCAACCAAAGTACTTCAAAGTCCGGATCGAGTTCAGGTATTCAGAGATCTTGGACAACCGAGCATCGGTAGCCCGCATAACAGAGCGTTGGATGCGAGATACCTTCCGTGACGCCAGAGCAGGAAGGGGTGACAAGCATAGCAACGTCAAGACTCCAAACAGCGATGGCCACCCAAGCATCTGGTACAGAAATACCAGAGCCAATGTGATGGATATCGGGCCTGCAGTGGCCAGGTAGAAAATATCACGGGAGTTGTAGATGGCGTCGACATCGTACGACATCAAACTCGTCAAATTCGCTTGGCTTGATTCAGGCGTCCCCTTTGGCCCTGCGCCGTGCTGAGATTTCTCTTTTTTCTTGTTATGATGATTATGATGGTGATGCTCGCCAACAGAGCCATCGTAGATATAAGAGCGCATCGCAGTCTGATACAGCTCCTGAACGAGGGAAACATTCACCCGAACAACAAGACGAGTGGAGGTGAAGATGTACTGCTGATAACACAGCGAGCGGGTGATCGGACCAACAAACAAAAGCGCAATCCACAGCGCAGGGTGGAAAACCGCGCTGTCCGGATCCTCCAGATACGCCAGGAGTCGCAGCATCGAATACGGCGCCATGAAATCAATCACCGCCGTCATGGCCGACCAAGTCATCATAGTGTTGATTTCGGTCTTCAGCAAGCGGCACAGCGTGCGGAAGGTCTTGCCGCCCTTGCGGCGCTGCCTCTTGATCTTTTCCAGCCATCTCATAGGTTCGTCGTAAGACGGCAAAGGCGGGAGATCATCCATGGTCAGATCCCGCCGACAGCCCCGGAAGATCACATAGGTGATCCACTCATACGAGCAGTAGTAGGAGAACAGGGAGCACGTCTCCTCCGGCGACGCGTTCTCCTCCTTCACGGAGCGCTCGATCTCCGCGTCGCGGATCATCGGCCGTCGTGGACGGGGGGCTCCGAGCGCGATCACAACCACAGCAGCCAAGCTAGCGACAATTCCAGCGCCAACGGAGCTAGACCGGTAGGTCGCGTCGACGATCGTCATGGGCACCAGATCCTGCACCACGGCCAACGCCAGAGCCGTCACCACGACGCCGTTCATGTGCCGGTAGAGGTGTGTTCGATAGCCCTTGTTCTTGCAGCAGATATAGCCCACGCCCAGCAAAACCACGTATGTCAACAGCAGAGACCGTTTCCAGCTCCCGCCGTGCCGCAGGTCGAGCCAGCTCAGACAGCAGGCGGCGAGAGCAGCAGCCAGGTGCACGAATGCGGAGGGCAGGTGCACCAGGATCTCCGACGGGCCGTCTACTGCTGTGGACTTGAGGTTGTCGCGCGACTTGGGCCGACAGAGCCGACAGAGGAACCGCAGGAGTATCGGAAACAAAGCGATTGCCCACGATGCCAGTAATATGACTAGATGCAGGTTCCCAGTAGCTATAAAACCCGACGCCCGCCGGGTGCGATTTTGCCATATACTTCTGCAGGATGGGCCCACGCTCGTTAGTTCACAGTACCATACTGGAATCTAGCAATGGGGGACAAGTCACTCACCGCTGAGAAAGGCCATGGTCAGGGACCTGTTCAGTGATCTCTCCCGGAAGCTGAGCGATCACAGGCCCGATCGCCTGTTGAAAGGGCGCAATGAAGTGCTCCATTGTGAGACGGGTGATGAGAGGGAGAGGAGAGAAAGAGCACAGCAAGGGGAAAGGCTCAATCAACTCATAGGCAGAAGCAACAATCCCGTCATAACCGAGCACGCAAATCTTTTGTGAGGCTTATCATCGGTCACTTTTCGTCGGCAACTGTTATTCGACGGCCGCAGCGCCCATTGCGTGTGCAGGAGGACGATTCGCCGGACAAAGGCCTAAGCAAGGGACTAGCAGCGCTAACTGGGGCTGGCGGGGAAAAGGTGGGCGTGGGAGGGAAGAGGGAGCTTGGAGAAGGGAAATTGGAGAGGGGAAAGAGGAGGAAAGTGGTGTCATCGCTAGCAGAGGAAAATAACGGACGTTGCCGATAGCGGGGTGGGAAAATTGAGGTAAACCTGCCAATGGAGAGGATATCGGACCAAACCCTGGCTCCGAACCATGGATAGACTGAATGCGATGAGTGTCGCTGCCTGTGGCTGCCATCTGATAAGCCCCTCCAATGATTAGAGGAATGGAGCACTTGCACAACCCGGCTGATACCGGATTTATGCCTGAGGCAGACAGCGGTCTCCCACTCTATCTACCTACTGTGTACATTTCAAGCAACGTCAAGAGTACTTCTTCCATGGTCAAGGACCACTCAAGGCCCTGGTAATCAATAATGATGCACGAGTGACGAGCTGTCAATCCTGCTTCGCCAGCGAGGCACAAATCACACCGGCAATCTTCATCAACTTCTTTCATCACAAAGAAAATAAACGATAATGATAAATGAAGATCTTCGGTTCTTGGGCTACGCATGAATGACAGGATCTGAGGTTCAAACCCACCCAACAGTCTTAGGGCTTGACTCAGTATAATCAACGCAATAGTGTTCAAAGAAGCCTAAACAATGAGCATGATTTTGGGGGGCCTTGTCACCCATTAGTACAATGGCATAGCCTATTGACTAGAACCTCAATACTTGAAACTGATCATAAACCAGAGAATGACAATCCCCCGGATATTACCCTGTGAAAGTTGGAAACCAAACTTGCCAATGAGCCTATAAATTGCCCTTGGCCACCCGTGATCTTCCGTGTCACTCACACACCACGCAGATTCACTTGAGTGCTCAGTGCTTTTATGCTTTTATATACAATACATCCACTAAGCAGAGAGGAAAGCTTCGCCGCCTGGATTATAATAGTTGTTTAGCGCAAATCTCCAAGCCCAAATCTGTGTGCCTGTAAGCCAAGCCATCCAAACCCAAACCCTCCACATATCGTTCAAGATGCTGGACTACTACCCCCATTATGCCGCTGACCTCACCAAACAGCAGTTGAAGAAACTAATCGAAGTCCTGAGCATCGACAGCGACCAGGATGCCGCCGAGACCGAGTATCTCGGGCAGATCCGCAGTCCCCAGGTCGTCCAGCAGATCAAGGAAGCCATCCGCGGGCTGCCGACGGAGCTCCGCCAGCGCTCCAAGTGGGTGCGCATGCTGCGCCACGATGCGGAGGCCGCCGTGCTGTGCGAGGTCCACGAGGAGCTCAACGCCTCTGTCATCGGCAGCATCTTCGCGCTGCTCAAGCGGGAGGTGACCCACAATCTGACCTTCTTGAAGTGGTACCGCGAATTCTCGGACGAGGCAGTCAACAACCTCGTCGACGCCCTGCTGGCGGTTGCCGGAATGTGGTGGATGCCGGAGGCCAAGGACGACGTGCCCCCCAAGGGCGCGGTCTGCTTCCAGGAGAACAAATGCGAGGCGTGTATGTTGGCGAGAATCGTGAATGAGCCATGGTGTCTGCGCAATCTCCGCACAGCGCTGGTCAGTCGCGTGCGAACCAAACCTGAAATACGGATCCCGAAATTGCTCCCTTTCGTGGAGGCGGCCATCGGGTCGTTCGCTCCCGAGGGGGAGGCGGCAGTCAAGGCCTACGGAGGCCTTCCGTGCGACTTGGGCTTCACAAGCAGCTGCCTGGCCTTCAAGGTCAAGGCCGCGCGCGCGGACGCTCTATATGTTGCCGCTCGGCAGCTCCGTCAGGCGAACAAGGTGATGCAAAGGGAGCAAGTCCTGAACGACAAGCTGCGGCACCGCACGCGCTCTCACGCAGCAGATCATCCATACCAATCCGAGGATATCATCTACACGGACGAGGACTTGCAACAGGCAGATGTTCGTTCCACGGTCCATGTCAGGATGGCTCCCAGCCCCCAACGACGGAAGAAGTCGGTCAAGCAGCCCAAACCCAAACATGCCAGAACCACACGACTGCCGCACCTTGACAGTATCGGGGAGGAGGCAGGAGTTGAGGATGTCGTCGTCGAGGAGGCTACCAAAGTACAGGTTGATTACGCGGGAACCGCCATCCTAGTAACCCCGAGCCATCCAAAATCCACTGCTGACAATATGGTAACAGTTCGTCCCTTGAAAGTGAAGAAACCGAGCTTGGGAGAGGAAAATGCTACCCTAATCCATAACGGAGGTGCCTCGCCAGAGGCCCGCATGGCGAAAGCCCCCTACTCTAGCAGTTCAGATTTGGAGGAAGACACGCTAGAGCACGAGATTCAAGCGTTGTTGCTGCCGCACCTTGCCAAGGGACCTCCCGTAGGTCCTAGATACCCTTCTTTGACCGGGGGTTTGACGCAACGCCGCCGAGCAGAGCCTTCCGAGGATGAGGATTTGGAAGACCTCGATCTGAATAGCATATGTAACGAAATAGCTTCGCAAGAAAAAGCTCTTTGGACGCCGACCTTCGTTGATCATATAGCAGCCCAACCCTTTCATCACGACGAACCATCCTCGTCAGAGAGTAGTAGTATCCATACCACCACGCGATCCGCGATTCCATTCTTCAACAAGTCCGGGACTAGCAGGCGGGGTTGAAAGATCGAGGTGACTGGGGGCGATTTCATTGATTGCGGAGGACGACAGCGTTTGTAGGCAGCAAGTTGATTTCCATGTACATTGCATCTCAATTATAATGTGAGCTCCATCTAATAAGCTAATAAATAATAATGAACAGAAGAGAAAAGTAAAAGCAGAAACCGGTCATTATTTCAAAGTCTCACAGCCATGCGTGGTAGTCCAGTGGTAGTCCAATGTCGTACTGAGCAAGAAGTGATGAGACCATGGTACAGTCATAGTCATGGGATCCGCGAGGCCGAAAAGGATATTAATACAGCATAAGACAAGATCAAGGTAGCGAAGAGTAAACAGCGATATCCGCAATGGTTAGGAGACGGCCTGCAACTCCCAAGACACCCGGTGAGTGTTAAAAATTAGCAAGAAAATAGTTACAAGCGAACTTTAGGCGTACACAAGAGGGCAACGGCCGCCTTGTTTTTTAGAGGACGCTGCTGGCGACCCCGTGACTCACGCCCTTGAATCCATCGACGTGGGGTGAGAGAGTCACAGTTTTTCTGCGTCGAGGACGTGAGGTCGATTCATCGGATGTCCGGCCGAGTGTGGGAGTTGAGGTCCCGGAAGAGGTCGGGTCGCTGCTTTCGTTGGCGATGCCGGCAGCTTCGTTATCCACCTTCTTCTGGGCAGCTTCGCGGGATCGCTCATAGCGAAGCTTAACGTCACCTTCCCACCGAGTTTTGAAGAGACGATCCCAGATGGTAAAGAAGGGCTGCGAGAAGTTGGTTTTGATGCCCCAGCTTTGGTGGTGGATATCATGGTAGGCCGCGTTGTTGGAGGTAAAGTGCTGCAATGGGTCCCAAGGAAAAGCGTAGCCGCAGTGATCATCCACGGTTTTGATGGTGGAGAAAGTGAAGAACCACATGCCCTGACGGTTGCTCATGCCAGCCGTGAGGAATGCAACCCCAGTGCCAGCCGTATCAAGCAGAAAACCTTCGACGGGGTGGTTGTACAGAGCTCCGAACGCATACGGAACATACAAGCGATGGTGGCGGGAATGGAAGGTCACTGATCAATAGTTAGTTGGTCTTACTCAGACTTTTTTGAATCACGAGCCTTGCGCAGCGGAAAGTTGCTGATTCACTTACCATAGAGCCAGCGGTTCATGTGCATGGCGCGGTGCAGGAAATACTGCCAGGTGTCGACCACACAGACGGCCCACACGAATTGCAAGGCAGGGATGAGGTACCAGTAGAGGGCACTGGCCGCTGACAGCTCCCAGTTGGTGAAAGCCGGAACCACGGCTTCCACTCCGCTGTCCAAAATCATCGACTGAGTGCATCCCGGGTAGCGCCCACCGGCTACGGCTCCTCCCAGCATTGACCAGCCATTCTGCGACAGGTTCTTGCTAAGACCCAATGCGTCGATCCCGACCAGGGCCAGCAGCTGAGGGAGAGCCTTCTGCGCCAGACGAAGTCGACGAGCCCAAACCGCAACATTGTATTCATCCTTGCCCAAGTACTCCGGGTCATCGAAATATGCGACAGCCAAACCGGCCATGGTTTGAATGACTTGCTGAAGAATGACATCCCTCACCACCTCCCAGCGCGTGACATGATTTCGCTTCAAGACTTCCGCGGGTGTGTGAAGACGGTATTGCGGGAAGTAGTCGTTGACATCGATGTAGTGATAGACCATCGACAGAGCCCAGTAGGCAATAATGGGAAGCATGAGGGCGAGGAGGTTGTCCGGAATGGGGTCGAGAAGTGGAGGACGCGGAGTCAGGGTATAGGTCGGAAGAGGCGGAAGCTCGAAGACGACCGAGGCATTGGTAGCCATGACGAAACGGCTTCGCAGTTGTGGACTGACGATGAGTTGTGTATGTGGTAGGATAGCAAAGGGAACAATCGATCAAGCACACTGCCGCATGGGTGGCTTGAAAGTGCCGATGTGGAGGACGAAGCTACTGGTGCTCAGTCCGCTTGCAGATCTGGTCGGCGCTTAGATCGAAGGGAGGCTGGGTTTGAGAGTATAAAGGGAGTCCGACTAGCGATAGTGATAAACCAGAAGGAGAAGAAGAGACCGTGAAACCAGGGATAAATTAGAAAGATATAGTCCGCACTATCCGGAGGTAAGTGGGACGGAGGGGAGTGGGCGGGCAATCACTCGAGCAGTGGCGGATGATATTGGTGGTGGTGGTGGTGGTGGTGGTGAGATCCTCTGTGCTTCGGAATCCTGGCCCAGGGGAGCGGCCCACCAGAAATGAAAATCAGGGGACGAACGAGGCTGACAATCACTCCCGCCCGGAGAACTGTTGGGGCTGGAAGGTATAGAACAAGAAGACAAAAGTTCAATCACTCGAGACAGAAGAAGAAAGTATTGAGGTTATTAGGGGAGGGAAAAAAAAGGACGAGGCGATAGAGTAAAGGATAGTAGTAGGGAATGATCAATTGTAGAATAGATCTTTTTTTTTTAGGAGGGTAAGATAAAGACTGACTGATTGAAGATTGATTGGGAGGGGAAACGAAGAAGAGGAGGAGGCGGCGAGGGTGAAATGGAGAACACAGAGAGAGAGAGAGCGAGTGAGAGAGCAGAAAGAGTAGCCGCAGTGGCACCACTTAAAAGCTACTAACTACTTGTCTGTCAGGTATGGTAAATTGATCGAGTGGTTGGTGGCTGCAAACAGCAGACGGAACGGCAAACGGGAGGCGGTCAGGTACCCGAAGACAAAGATGTGACGAGGTAATTTACCGGATGGACATGGAGGGAGGTGAGGCCGGTGTTGATACCTTAGGCAGAAAGAGGGGATGCTTATGCGCATACGAGAGAGTAACTACGGAGTAATAAGTATCAGATGCTGCAGTGTAATCTAGACATTATGCAGCAAGCAATCTCCATCCTACCTCCCAAGTACTCATCTTTTCAAAAGAGACAGCAACCACTGTCTCCCAATATAGAAAATCCAACCCCACTGCTCTACACGAGCACAATATCATATTTGCCATCGGACTTTTCCAGACTCCAGACTCTTTCTCTGCTTCATTTTCCCTCTCAGGCCGAGACAAATCGACCACGGCCCAATCCGGTTAGCGTATCCGTTTTGCCCCTCGAGGGAAAAGAAGGAAAATTGGAAGGGAAAAAAAGCCAGCGAGAAAAAAAAACGACCCCACCAAAGTTGGAGGGAAAACAGCGCCACTAAAAGCAATATTAATCTTCAACTCTTCCCCTCTTTTTCTCCTCTTCCTTTTCCCTTCCTTTCTTTTCCAGCCCCGTCTCTTTTTACCTTCATTCCCATCTCTTTTCATCTTCACCCCCCTCACCAGCCAAAATGATTATCTTCGAGGTATGCTGATTTGTATCTTCATTGCTTTCGTTTCTTCGTGATTGTTGTCTCTGTTTCCTTGGCAAAACAACCACGTTGCTTTTGGGAAGGAAGGCCGCTTTTCAGCCCAATGCAGCATGACAGGCAGGCAGGCAACCTGGCAGGAATGTCAACAACGACAACAGCAGCAGCAGCAGCAAGCATCCTGTACATGCTGCATGCAGCTGTAGCTGTTGGACCTGTCTCTTGCTCCTCTGCCTCGGACCTCTGCCTTATCACCTCTTGATTGCAATATACCCAACATTGGAAAAACACCCCACTAATGCATCAATTCTGGAATAGGACATTATCTCCGGCGACGAGATGGTCGCCGACACCTTCAACCTGAAGGTCGTCGACGGCGTTCTCTTCGAGTGCGACTGCCGCAAGTACATGAAGAGCACCAACGAGGACTTCCAGCTCGAGGGTGCCAACCCCTCCGCTGAGGGTGGTGATGAGGATGAAGGTGGTGAGGGTGAGAAGGTCATGGTCCACGACATCGAGGACCAGTTCCGTCTCGTCTGGCTCAAGACCGAGGAGGGCCTCAAGCCCTCCAAGGATGCCTTCAAGTCTCACCTCAAGAGTATGTTCCCTCTCAACCATACCACCCACCCACCCACCCACCCACACACACCCACACACACACACACACACACACACACACACACACACACACACAACAACT